TTACATACACATCATGTGACCCACAGAAGCCGCAGCATCTTATACTCATTTCCTGCTTCTCTACTATCTAGTTCCCTTCTTCAAGAATCAGTAATATTACATCCTAATATGAAGCTGCTGCCACCCCGATATCCATGTAACCAAGTCCTAACATTAGTCTGCAACCTGTTCAAACCGAGCCAGAGGTCTGAGCCCGCTGAGATAAGTACCCACCAGCTTGCCCCCTTTGGCGGCTCAGATATTTAACCTGCCTAGTTCAACAGCATCAACTTATTGTTCATTTAGATATTGGTTGAGGAAAAGCATTTGATCAATAAAGCATTTGGCCTGTGATTTCCAGTTATATCATTGAAATCCACTGCACCTCTCTATGTACGGTTGACGGTGGTATGTAAAAATGCCAGAATATAAATGTCAGATATATAGTTGTCCCCAGTGGCAAATCCACTGGACAGAATATGAAGAAAAAGGTGAAAAGGAAGGTAGAAAGGATGGGTTGAAGAGAGAGGGTTTAAGCGGAGTGAGTACACAAGATACTCGTCATAGCGAAGTTCAACAAGAAAGGGACCAAGGATGGAACAAGTAGAGTAAGAAAACGCGACGGAGATTGCCAAAAAGTAAATAAAAAATAAAAGAAATAAAAAAATAGAAAAATAAAACGCTCCTCCGCGAAATGTTAGAAAAATCCACGAAAAAGGAGAACAGAAATGTTTGCATAGCCACCGTATCAAAAACGCCAAAATTGTCGTGATAGCATCAACGCCAGATTGAGTAATTCATGTTACTTTGGCCCATTCCCACGTCTTCCCAGCAACTTTTATCGCTGTGTCCTCGTCCCGGCAATCATCACAAAGCATTATGGAACATCGAGCGCACATAAACAGCCTCAGGCTAAGCTTCTCCTGGTTTCCACCATCTGCGACCGACTTTTCGGGGATGAATCCATGCTCCAATAGTTCTACCACTTCGGGATATGTAAATGGCCTGGGAGAGATATGACGCCAGCATTTCTCACAAGCAAAATCCAGGCTCCGGTTTACATCTTCAGTGGTGGCTTTCATCCAGGTGTGATAGCAGTCAAAAGGGTCAAAATTTTGAGGAACGGGCTCTTCGCCGAAGAAAAATTCTCCATCTTCCCAACGTTCTCTAGTGCCGCTGTCTAGGTCTCGGTCTTCTGGATGAATTTGATTGTTCCTTTCATCATTTCCAGTTTCATTCTCGTTGTCGTTGTCGCTTTCGCCCAAATCAGAATCGTACGAATCGCCCTCTTCGTCAGAACTCTCGCCGGGGCAGCCATATGCCTGACACACTTCAATAGGTTGTCTACAGTGCCAGCACCATTGATCACCGCATCTACAAGCCATATGGCTGCAGCCATACATTAATCGTACTGCTCCACGGCATTTGGGACATCTTCTGATTTTCCATTTCTTCAAGAGCGCGGCTAGTTCTGGATCCAGCTCGCCTGCACCTTCAGGACACAGCGCGCCTTGGTGCGCAAGCTGTTTGCACTTGCAGCATATCTCAATGGAACAGCCAGGGCACGGGATTGAGGCGGGCTCCGGAGGTGGCAGTGAAGTCGAGGTTGGGGGTGTTGGAGGTGGGGTTTGCAGTTGTGTTGGGCCGGGAGGCACTGGGACGTCCCTTTTCGCTTTCGGCTTTGGAAAAGTAGAAGTAGGGCGGTAATCGGGAGGAAAAAGCCTGTAGGGAATAAACGCAGAACATATAGGGACAGGGCAATAGACACGGTTGGCGGTCGCCCATTCCTCATGTTTGCTTTTGAACATCTCTAATTCGTCTGGAGTAAGAACCGAGACAGCGGCACCGATATTTAGAGGGCCGCAACAACGTGGCGGCATACAAGACTCGTCGCTGCAAGCTGAGATAAACATTTTCCGAATGCAAACTGTGCAGGTACGAGTAGTACATGATTTGCACGGGGAAGACAGGGCTGTCTCGGAAACAGGATGGTAACAAACGGAGCAATCCTCAATTTTCACCTTCACCTCGGGAATGATTACTGGGGTATCGACTGCTGCAGGAATCTCTTGGTTTCCATATTGCTCCGTGAATATTTCGTCAGCTATGTCCATCATCGCAAGATCGAACTCCTTTTCCTCCTCCGCAAAAATGCCGGGAGCAAAATCTGGGTTTCCATATAGCTCTGTGAATATTTCGCTTGCTATTTCTAGCATTGTAACATCGAATTCCCGTTCGTTCTCAGCAAATACGTCTAGGGAAAATTCCATGTCCAATGCTGAATCCTTCGCTAGGGGAGGTCCCGCTTGTGTAGTCGTTTCGAGAGTTAGGACATCCGGTAATAGAAGGGTGGAGTTTGTTGAGGGCGTGCCGATTTGATAGTGATCCAGAGATTTGATAACGGTTCGTTCGGCGTCGGGCTCCTCGCCCGCCTGGGTGGAATTAGAACAGCCCATGACTGAGGCTGCAATATTACTCTAACTAAAGAAGAAAAAGAAGGGGAGAAGGAAAGTATATATTTTATGTGACCGAGTCGCAAGTGGAACGACTCGCAGAGGGATATTTTGACAAAGCTTAGGCTCTTACCTGCTGAGGAGTATGAGAGAAATCCAGCCAAGGGGAGAAAAGTTAGGAGCCAAAGGGGTCGAAATGGATACGGGAGAGTGGCTGATATTTATTTCACCTATCAACAACATTGACATGATGACATGGTTAGTTTTTCCAGCGAGCGAAATAGAACCTGCCGTTGAGTTTTACTCTAGTTCGCAGGCAGCAAGTCGCAATTGACTCAGAGGCGAGCCAACTGGACAAACCACAGCTGAGGAAAACCCGCGGCTCCATCAGATATCAGGCACCTAGTGCAAGGAGCAACAGGCAGCTTAGCAAGTTAACAATCGAGCGTGCCACGATACCGTCGCCTGGACGCTTGCATATTGTCGCGGAGCGGAACAGCCCTAGCTGCCAAGACATAAGCAGCAAACCTCTTGGTCATCCATCAGGGCCACTGTGAGTCACTGAGGAGTCAGTTAGTTACATGATTGGCTCTCCCTGCTAAAGAGTTTCCCATAAAATTCCAGCAGCTGGCAGCATTATACAGAATAATCCGTAAATAGATCGTGGAGCGCATTTGAGAAATAGCCTCCGGCTTTTGGAGCTTCATAAGCCACACTGCCACAGACAAGGGTTATTGCCTGAGGATGTGGCGCATGCACTCACCAGCCACGCATGCATTATCAGCCCCGTTTGTACGACGACTTACATCTTTGCTGAGGCATCAAATCAAGGAGTTGTGAACATAAAGAGCAGCATGTTAATATTATTAATTGTCTCTCTTCAGCCATGTAGTCTTCAGGTTCGTAAATTCCTATCACGCTCACAAGAGACTCCTCATCATTCATATGAATACTTACTGACTTAGCCTTCTAATGTAGCTCACTTGTTGATCTATGTGATACACAGTACAGTACTTACTGTACAGTACAAGAACTAATGAAGACCTTGGAGAGATTGACTTTCATGAGCTATATCATAGTTATAGTTTGAGGGGGTTTGGATGAATACTGTCATGGGTTTTCTCTTCCAGTATGTACAGTACATGTTCTCTCAAATATCCCCAAACCTTCTTCCTTACATTCTTGTTGTAAATTGTAGTGCTCCTCATGATAACATCTATGTGCGCACATTAGAAGGAGATAATCTAATAAATCAATTCAACTTTTTTTGCTCCATTGAGAGGGGCAACACACACAGAGAGAGAACGAGAGACATCTTCGAACAGACATTAAGAGCCTGTGGAAAACCAATTCCCTTACCACCAAATTCTGGGGCAGCGACACTAGTTCTCCAGTGAAAATAATTTGATACACACCCTCAATGGCTCGCGAGCTGTTGAGGTGAGCTGCTCGGCCATATCAGCAAGAAACGTTCTTGATTGTGGGGTAGGGCCGTTCAGTGGGCCTCTGTGAGGCTGTGACTCTTAACTAATATTGACTAAAGCTAGTGTTGGCACCTCCTAAATCATGTTCAATCCGGTCAACGACATATCAGCTGGATAAGGGGACTCCAGAGGGCAATCAATCTGCTGTCCTCTGCTTATACTGATTCCAGTTCCCTTTTCCTTGTGCCAATGTAACGGCCATCTGTTTGCACAGAATAATTTTGTCAGCCTATGACTTGAAGAAATATTTTATCCCAACAATCGACCTGGTCGCCTTTTGCGCGTCATAAGGCACACACCCACTACTTACTCTTACCAGAGCCCATGCGTAGCTGACTTTCGGGGTGGGATAGTTATTTCTCGGAATCTCGGTTTCTCTACAGGCATGTCAACCAAATTCGGAATTCATGAAGTAATGTTTTTAGCTTCTCCGAATCAGAATACTACATGGCGATGGGGGAAAGGTCTAAAAACAAATAACCACCAGAGCTTCAAAATCAGAGCCCAAAGTTGGATGCAGGGTAACTACGGAGTAGTTACGGTGTTTGGACTCCGCCGTCCAGGGCTTGGTGCCTAAATTTCCCGATCTTGCTTAGCTTCCCTGCGAGCCGAGCCGGGCCCGTTAGTTGGCACTGGTAAGTAACTCATTCCAGTCAACCTTTAATCGCCAATTTCTGGAGATTCAAAGCGTTAATAAATAGACTTGTTTGTGTTTGGAATGTACGAGTCACACGTGTACCAATCACCAGCCGGCTTCTGCCCATAGCCGCCCAGCCAAAATGCAGCGCCTGATGCGAGACCAGGGTCTCTGGCATTCCAGGGCCGGGTTCAGGCCCAATAAACATCCCCCAAGCTCTGTGGTCAAGCGCCAATGTCAGCCCATTGTACTGCACACAAGGCTGTGTTTCTAAAGTGCCTCGTCAAGCCCTTCAGTTATAAGGAAGATGGCCTTGCAACATATTTTCAGCATGAGTCGAGATCCCGAGTTTGTCCAGGCTTTGGATCTTACCTGTCTAGTGGCCTTGATAGTATTGGGGGTTTGTCTATTCGTTGTCAACAGCGATCTCTCGGATAGGGGAAAATTATGCCTACCAGGGCTTGGCTGAAGCGCCTTTGGGGGAAAAACCACCAGGCTAACATCACCAAAGATGCAACAACTGCTGTGAATGTCCGTTTATCCTCTCCTATATTTGGGGATAATTTTGACGTGCTCTCCACCTAGGCGAATACGATCCCAGAATCGCATATCCCAAAGTTGGATCCGGCTAACATTTCGGTCTTCGTTGCCGCGTCCACCACAGTCCTCGCAAACTCAGACAGTTTAGGGGAACCCAGTTCGAAACATACTCTAGAAGTTGTTAGCATACAAAACGAGGCTCCTAAGCCTATCCAGGACCTGAATTTGAATAGCCTCTGGGATGAAGCATACGATGAGCTTCGAAAGGAAGACGCAAAGCTTGTAGACGCCTATGAGCGAGACCTGCTTGCCATTCAGGACTTGGAACAGAGAGGTGTGTGTGATTGAAACTGCCCTTTGCACAAGGACAAAGGAGCAGAGACCAATTAGCTATCCGGGGGGATTTTATTTTTAACTCCCCAGGCTTATCTTCTGAAAAATCCGAATATAAGCTAACGTGTGATGGAAATTTAGCACCTGAAGGCGACGATAGAGAGATGCAGCTTCAGAAACTACTGAATTCGAAGCTCCAGGACATTGAACACTCGCAAATGAGGATTTCAATACATGGAAAAGATGTTGTTATTAAAGATCAGGTTAGAAAAGTTGTGCACTCGATCCTTTCGGTGAAGGATTACATCGGCACTGTGGCCTCCGTAGAGCCGCATGCTGCGCTAGTATGGACGGGAGTAATGATTATTCTTCCAGTAAGTCACCATGTACCGAGCCATTCTCTACTTTGCTAATTGTTCCATTTGGCAGGCCATTGCAAATCCAATCACACAAGATGACGACGCTATGGAAGGTATTGAATATATATCGGAACTTCTGGTTCGGTGTAAGGTAATGGAGGACACCTATCGTGAAAACCTTGCATGTACGCTTGCAGCCTCAAGCTCAGGGTAAAAGCCTCCTACTGTTAGCCATTAGTGTCCTTCTTGCCTCCCATTGAAGTAAAATTCCCGACCTGTGCTAATTCATTCACATAGCCCGCCAACATATCTGGTAGAATTAAATGCCTCCTTCAGAGCCCAGGCGATCAGCATTTACTCCCAGATACTGAAATATCAAATAAGCCTATCCCAGCAATACGCACGCCGAGGGCTATTCCGCTTCTTGAGGGACTGTGTAATTGCCGATGATTGGCAGGGTATGCTAGAAAGCATAAAAGCCACCGAGGAGGGCATCGACAAAGTTTTGGATACACTCGATAGCAGAGCCTTGAAAATGATAGGCGAGCAAATTGCTATTCTTCGAGACAACGCGGATGACGTCTTGAGCGTCTTGCTCGATACTAAAGCTAGTGTTGAGGTAAATATATCCCGTCGCCTTGTTATGCGTCTCATCATCACGACCCTATGCTGAATATGCGTTTTCTCTTCGTTTCAGAAAATCAACCAGTCACAATTGCTTGGAAAACTGCATCGTGTGGAGTATGCTGCGTTTAATACATATAAAAAGGCAGATCGACCTCCCCCAATATGCTTAGAAGGTACCCGGGTTGATATTCTCCACGAAATTCAGCACTGGGGAGATGGCCATCGTGAGGAATGTATACTTTGGGTTAAAGGACTTGCTGGGACTGGTAAATCTACCCTCGCTCGCACTATCGCCCATCACTTCCACAAAAAAGGGAGACTTGGAGCAAGCTTTTTCTTCTCGAGGGGTAAGAAAGATCTTGGGGTTGCCACCGCAGTTTTGACGACTATTGCTGTCCAGCTAGCCGAGGCCTTGCCCGATTTGAAAAATGACATTTGCGATGTTATAGAACAACATGGTGATATTGGCCAGCAACCACTATATAACCAGTGGAGGAGACTTATATTTCAGCCTCTTCTCAGGTTAGATAGAAAGTTGCTGTTGCCCATTGTCTTAGTTTTTGTTCTTGACGCACTTGATGAGTGCGAAGGTGATGAGCACCTTGGCGAAATCCTGCAGCTCCTAACCGAGTTGAGAGAGCTGGAAGTTTTGCAGGTGAAAGTGTTCCTAACTAGCAGACCGGAACGATCAATCTACGCTAGTTTCCGCGAACTACCCGACATCGTCCATCATGACCTTACTCTTCACTCAGTCCCCAAAGCCGTCATCGAGAGCGATATCTCAATTTTCCTGAGACACGAACTAGAGAAAGTTAAAAGCATACGACGTATCGACGAACGCTGGCCTGGTGATGAGAGTATTCAAACTCTCGTTCAAAAGGCCGACCGTCTTTTCATCTATGCCGCGACTGTGTGCCGGTTTATAGGCGAATCTCGATTTCCAGAAAAGCGTATGGATGAAATCCTCCACACAGAGGTTATGAGCCGGTCGTCCACCAGCGAGCTTGACAGAATGTATTCGGAAATTTTAAATCACATTCTCGATGAAGGCAGCCACGAAGACAAGGAAGATATGGTGTTTCTGTTCAAGCAAATAGTTGGATCTCTCCTCGTCCTCGCCGAGGCCCTTTCAAGATCTACGCTGACTTCGGTACTTGACCTTTCATCAACGGATATTACGGAAATACTCGAATCCCTTCACTCTGTGTTGGATATTCCCGAAGATGAAAATTTGCCGATCCAACTGTTCCACCTCTCTTTTCGAGACTTTGTCTTCAGTGAAGAAAGATGTGCAAACCCTGCATTCACTATCAAAGAAGAAGTCGCACATGGTGGTTTGCTAAGCAAATGTCCAAACTCATGTCAAAACATCTAAAACAAGATATGTGCGACCTTCGACACCCCGGGACCTCCGTTGCTGACGTGGAAAAAAGTACAGTGGAAAAGTTCCTTCCACAAAGTGTTCAGTATGCTTGTAAACACTGGATTCGTCATCTTGACAAAAGCCAGACTAAGCTCATCGACAATGGAGAGGTTCACATCTTCCTCCAGAAGCACCTTCTTCATTGGATTGAAGGTCTTAGCCTCATGGGGATTATATCGGACGGAATAGTCATGGTTAGACTTCTAGAGACGTTAGTTATGGTGAGTAACCTAAAACAAAAATTTTAGAGTGTCTTAGTAGCTGACGGGAAAAGCCAAAATCCGGGGCCAACTCGTCCTTGTTCTCCTTAGTTTACGATATGAAAAGATTTATCCTGAACTTTAGATCCGCCATCGAAATTTCCCCGTTGCAAATATATTCTTCAGCTCTTGTGTTTAGTCCGAAAAAAAGCATAATCCGCCAGCAATTCTGGGACCACCTCCCCCCCTGGATAACGGACGTTGTTTCAGGCGAGGAGGATTGGAGCCCTTCCCTGCTAACACTCGAGCATTCGCGTGCGATCGACGAACTATTCTTTTCTCCCGATGGCCAGCTTCTTATTTCGTCGGATATTGACACGGCTAAGGCATAGGATACAATGACTGGCGCTTTTCGAAGTGCCTTTCCCGATGTTTCGCAAAGTTACTTTGCTGGAGGGACAAAGAAACGGAAAGTGGCACTGTCACCCGACGGCAAATTCCTCGCTATCACATCTGCTTTCGATGATAAGATCAGAATTTGGGATTCAAAGAGAGCTGTCATTCACTCCACTCTTGAAGGTCACGTAGGCCGTGTTAGTTGGATCGCGTTTTCACCCGATGGTGAGTATATCGCGTCGACATCTGTGGACAAAAGCATGCGGCTATGGGAAGTAAAATCAGGTCACTTGAAAATCCTTTTCTGTGAGGAATCTAATTTGTCATTTGAAAAAGCTCAAGCCTTTTCTTTTGAAACCCTAGGTAACAGAATAACGTTCTCTCCAAACGGTGAATTCATTGCTGGATACAGAGATGACCATGACGATCATCAAGTTCGGCTCTGGGATGCGAAAACAAACTGTTCCCTTGGAACCCTCACTCATTCACACTGTATTCTAACACTGGAATTCTCTCATGATGGAAAATTGCATTGCATCCTCATCCTTGGATGGTGCGGTAAGGATATGGGATCCACGCACGGCAACCCTCTGCGGAATTCTTACGCAAGTCAGATCAGGGTATCCATCTTGGATGTCGCCGTTTGCCTTTTCGCCGGATGGCCAATCAATTGCGTGTATATCACATGGATCAATCGAAGTATGGGATGTGAAGACATTATCTCTATACGGTTCCATTGGAGACAATACTCAGGTAGTAACAACATGTATGGCTTTTTCTCCAGACAGCAAGTTGCTTGTGACAGCTTCAGGGAGATACTTGAAGCTTTGGGATCCGCAAACCAAAACTCTACGTGGAATTCTTGCGGGGCATACATCGAACGTAACCACATTGAAGTTTTCATCCACCGGCCAACTTGCTTCCGGCTCCGTCGACCGTACCGTGAAGCTCTGGGATACGATCAATGTTGACATTCTTGATATTAATGAAACTCACATTTCTGAGCTGAAATTTATGGGCAATGGGCATTATGTCGTTTCCTATTCGACCGATGAAACAACTGAATTATGGGACCCGTCAACGGGCATCTCAACGTTCACTATTCCTGATTTTGTGGATTTTCGTGATAAAGTGGAGTTCTCACCTGCAAATAACCTTCTCGCTTACACGGACGATGATACGATACATCTTTGGAATATGGCAACCGGGAAATTCTATGGCAGCCTCGTGGCGACGGATAGGGTGGTCAGAACAATCTCGTTCTCACCAAATGGGAATGACCTGGCGGCATCATATCAAAACCATGCTATCATCATTTGGGACTTAACAGTAAAAAAGAGGCGGTGTGTTCTAAAAGGCCATGTGAATAGGGTTAATCAACTCGCATATTCCTCTAACGGTCGCATTCTTGTCTCCGCTTCAATGGATGCTTCGGTGCAGCTCTGGGATCCAGCAACCGGCGGGTCAATCGGCGTCTTGCAGCGACGAGCGGGCCCAATTTTGGCCATGACAATTTCCTCTGATGCCCAGACCATCATTTCTAAATCAGCTAGCGTTATTACAGTCTGGGACACAAACACTAAACTAATCAAAATGGAATTTAACATGATAGATAAACAAGTGGTCGCCAATGCCCAATCACAAACTCTATCGCCCTCATTATGTGCACATCTTGATATGCTTCCCTTGGCCGCATTCGATTGGAACGAGGACAAGTTAGTCTTCCGGGTTGGCACTGTTTGGGTGCAAAAGCCGTGGGTGGTTTATCAGCTACAAAACGTTCTCTGGCTTCCTGGACAGTACCGTTCCCCTAGTTCCAACAGCATCATGAGCATCCACGACAATATAATTGCACTGAGGGGCCAATCCAAACCACTGATGCTTGTTAAGCTTGACTTAAAGTCGATACCATCTCGTGAGTGAGTTTTTCCTTTAGCTTTTTCGCAAACCGCTTTGCGGCGCGTATTCTCAGACATACCTGAGACAAGAGAGGACAGGATGAATACTAACACAGCAACAGCACCTGTCTCACTAGAAGAGCAGCGCCATTTGTATTTACATGACCAATAATTTCTCAATGAACTCTCTGTCAGTATGTCGAACGAGCTCGCGGAGCACACCAGCGAATAGGCATTATATCCATTATGCCACATGAGTGTCGATTTTGCCCAGCGTGAACAAGCGAGTGGAAGAATTGATGAAGGAGAGGATCAATTCGAGGCGACGTTGAGCACATGGAGTAAAAGTAATTGTGCGTCTATCGTATCTATTTTCATTTCAGAACAGCAGCCTCTGCAAATGAATTTCATAGCATCTTGGTGGCATTCTCCGGGAGCTTCTGCATAAAGAGGATTGAGTGCGAGCTAGCAATTTTTGACCACAAATTGTAGTTAGTGAGACCATTAATAGGGATATCAGACTCGGTAATGATGGAGTTACCAAACGACGATAGGATCTTCTAATTCAGATCTAGTAGTATTTTGACAAAATCTGATTTCTCCTCAGAGTGGAACTGTAACTTCGTTGACTTCACAGTCGCTGTTTGTACTAGACTTGGAAATGTAAATCTTGCCAATGTGGCAAGGCACTAGTTAGATAACCGCTACGCTGCTGATGGGCATGAGCCAGCTCATTGGCTAGGTGGTGAATAGCGGAATTCGAAGAAATATTGGTCTCATGACGCAGGCCAAAGTGATACGCTGAGATTTGCTGTATTTGAATAAAGAGAAGAAGCATATTGGGTGGTTTGGGAAATCGAGATGAGGAAGGCCAGCGAAGGGAGCCGCACCTACATGCTGGGGTGAACCGGCGCTCGCGTGCTCAGCATGCAAATATCTGTAGGAAATTCCCAAACTATAGAATGGATAGAGAAAGAATAAAGATCCGCCCGAAGTGGATATATCAAAAACCGAATAGTAATCTAGAAATTTCCGTCGCAAATAAGCAGTAACTTCTCTCTGGCTAGAAAATAATGAACGTTGGCGGACAAGACCAGCTAAGGAGAAATACAGGTATCAAAACGCCCAAATGCCCTAGAGATAGAAGACATAGGCGTCAAAGTAACAAACGCATAACTGGGAAAAGCTTTGGAATGGATACAATACAGACAATATTCCAAAACCCTGTCGGTTCCGTTGTAAAAAGTAAATCATAGTACAATCATACCCACAATCAATCGTCATGAACTTAATCCGAAGTGATAAACGATAAACGTAATGCTCCACCTCCGATGTACTCTCTTTAGCAATCAGAGCACGCTGGTATGCATAGTTCATAGGGTGCGCATACTATGCGATCCAACGTAATTCCACTTTTGCTTACACAATCATCTGCGCAACGCCCTGACCACCAAGCGTCTTGCTGCCCATGAATTCTTGGTTTGTAACTCCAGCTAGCCCATAAAAAATGGCTGCTATCGAGAGAACGACCGCAGCAGCGATGAGGCTGGACGGGCCTATAATTAAGCTCAGCCATTGAACAGCGGCGAGGATGATGTACATCAGAGCTCGCATGTAGTTCGTCGTGAACCGTTTGATAAAGGCATCGAATTTAGATGACGTCGGGCAAATTCGCAAGAGAAGAGGTATTTCAACGAAAATTATGACAAAGGACGAGGCTCTATATGGTCATGTCAGGAAAACGGGAAAGAAAATGGAAAGGGTCAACATCGCCACAAAACTTACAGGCAAATTATGCTGAATGGTATGACTTTATGGAAAATATTTGCAATTCCTAGTGCGAAACATAGGATTATGCATAGAACGCCAGTCCTATTTGCAGCGGAGTTAGTTTGCAATTCAGCAGCTGGCTCCAAGTTTCTCAAAGCTTAATGCCCCAATAACGGTTCATTAATTAATATAGATATATCTCTTCACCACTCAAACAGTCGATCCATTTCCACCATGGCATTCCTAATGCCTAAACAGATATACCCGGCACTGGTTGGGTAAAACGCTTATTGTCATAATTGGGTACTAACCATTGTCCATAGATGCCTGTTCGCCGTTAGTTTATACCATCGCACTATAGTGACGGGCGAAAGTTCAAAATGAACTTACTAAAATTCCTCGACTTAAACTCCTCCGCGAGTGTCATTTTGACGAATGTATAGAGTTCGGCCGGAAGGGGACGGAATCTAGTTGCCCGTGGGACTATTTGCTCAACTCAGGCTCGCCGTCAAGGCTCCAGGATCTAGCTAAGACTTGATATAGGCTTTGGGAATACCTCCTCCTTGAACCGGCTGGAGCTGGTTGGAATGGAGAGAGGACGGACGTTCGCAAAGACCGATCAGCTACAAGTTTGTGTTGTGCATTAGATGGATGACAGGAAATAGCTAAAATGGGTTTCTCTGATGGGGATGAAGCAGATATCCTGGACGAACAGTTAACCGGCTGTCATTCATTCGACACGTACCAGAAGATTCAATATATCAAAGTTGAAGGAGGAGAGCAAGCGCGGAGTGCGTGCGTGGGTCAGGATTTTAGCTTGATTTATGTCTCGTTTGTCGCTCTTTAACCAGCTGTTCGGCCGAATGGGGAAACAAAGCAGATCGTCTCGGAGGTTGTTTCAGCTTGGCGCCCTTTGATTTAAGAAAGGGAGCGATAGTCTGTTGGAAAACTATAGGGGAAAACTATAGGAGTGTGTGGGAAGGAGTTTGACACGATGAAATGAATTGAATGTATAGAGTGGTGAAGATGGTTGGGTGTTCATGCCTGATAAGGTCAGCCTGTTCAATTTTCTGTTTTGGGATGCCAAGACCATTTCGCCCGTTGCTATGGCGCATAACTTGGCACTAGGCTGCTGTATAAAATTGTGTGCTCCTTGGTCAGCCCTACCATAACCGCCCCGGACAGATGCTCATAATGAATTGGCTAAAGGCAGCACTGATCCTTAGTCAGTCCTCAAGTTTTAAGGCTGCGGCTGTGGCTGTGGCTGGGGTTTTGTACTAAATAAAACGCGTGTCGATTTACCCCCAAAAAAGAAACGAGCTCATTGTGGCGCTGCCAAAAGGGGTTGACGACTGACTATTTGGAGCAGGACTAGACCTCCTACCTGTTACCACGATCTGTGAACGAAGAAATGATATAATGGATTATCTTTTTGATGTTGCTTCCTACTATTTGCGCCAATTCCCTGTGGTCTAAATGAAATAGAAATGGATATTATCCACAACCGAGATGGTAACCGTATGCATTCTTCCTTTGGCAGGAGAGGAGACATTTAGTTAACTCTGCACTAGCCATATTTCCGATATACACACTGAACAACACACCAGCTGTACCGTTGTAATCTCGGTAGTATTGGAAATTATACCCCTCTAACTCCCCCATCGAGCACTCCACAGCTTCCATTATGGTATCGTTCGGTTGGATTAACGTTTATTGAGGATAGACAAGTCTGAATACATCATTGAAAACGTAATAGCTTCCTGTTCCATCGGGACGGAGATGGAAGAGTTGGGAGTAGTTCATGGGCTTTGTTTCTGCATCAACCTATTATTTCACAATTGCTTCCGCGTCAGCAAAGAGCCGGGAGACAAGGAAATTGAAAGAAAAAGGGTTCAATCTTACCATCAGAGCGCCGGTCACAAGGACTACAACCCCACCTTCTGCGGTTGGTTGAGCGTCGACTGTCGACTGAACGTGTTCAACTTTTTGAAACGGTAGACCCTATTTCTCCGGTATGAGTAAGTTCTGACAAGCAATAAAAAGCCGTTCTAGACATTGTTGCAGACTGACCATAAGCTGCTCCATAATGGCGTTGGTGCCTTTCACGCGAGAGGTTTCGAAAGTCAACATTGACTCCTCACGCTAGTATTCTTATTATCAGCAAACGCCGTTCCATGGATTTAGTTTGGGCTTCAACACGTACGTAAAGCAGGTGAAGTTTGTCCCGCCCTTTGCCCTCTTCATCTCCTTTACCATCAAAAGTGTCATAATAAAACTTAACGAATTGCTCTACTTAGATTAGCTAGATGTTTCCACCAAATCTCAAATCTATCCAGTTGGCGGGAGACAGGGATCGGTAGGGAGGATGGGGCTGGCATACCAGCAACAGCTTGATAGTCTAAGCAGAGCGAGTTGGGTTAGTTATGATGTGACAGGTTCTCTCAAACAGACAAAACATTGGATGAATGCCGATAAGGGAGGGGGGTAAGGAAGAGGAGGGGTAAGAAAGACTGTGAAAAAACCAGCAGCGCGAAGAGTAATAAACTTACCCGCCATCTTGTCTAGGATCGATTGCAAAACCCCTCTGTATCACGCCTATGTGATTAAATCTCTGCCGATGATGGATGGTTGAGATTGCCTTCCGAAGAATAGAGTTGCGGTGGGGTTTTTTTTGGCGGGAGGGGGAATACTTTGCTTTCAAGCGAAAACAAACATGACTAAAAAGGGGTTAGCTTGGCATTACGTGGGATGGGAAGCTAAACCGATCTGACCAAGCAAGAATGTTCACACTCGCAAGATTTTGGGGAGGATTAAGTATAGAATTTTGAAAATAAATACCTCGTCGCATAATCCTTCAGTATTATAAATAGCATATCTGAGATACATGAAGTGTGGCAGCCTGAAATAGGACGCAGTGGGTATCAATCATTAGACCACATTGAACAGAAACATCAGACGCCAAGGCAGCACTCAAGAAACTCAGGCAAAAGGAGGGAAAATGGGCAAACAATAATGGGCATTAGTTGGAATCAGAGTCCGCAAACATATCCTCTGCCTTGGGTCGATGACGCCGTGGGGCTGGTTGGGCGTCATGCTCGGCATGTTGACTGTGACGGGCATCACTGGTAGTTTGATCGCCTGACCCTAGCGAAGATACATCTTGAGTAGCTTGGTGTCCGCTCCCATCCATGCCATTTTCTTCCAGCTCCTTAGTTACGACATCTTCCAAATCGCTGTCCTCCATTGGAACGCCGTCGATGTCATCATCCATAGGCTCCCCATCGACGTCCTCGTCATCGGGCATAGGTACACCATCGTTATCAACATCCATTTTCTCGCCTTCTAGAATGTTCGCTGCGTTGTTTGAATCCACAGCAGGTTCATTGGCATCATCTTCGACCGTTCTCCATCGACTCTTTCCTTTGCTGCCAAATACGCCTGTCGCTTTCTCTGCTTCGGCACGCTTTTGTTCTTCTAGCTTTTCTTTCTCCGTAAGGGGCGGCTTTTCAAATACTTGGACGAAGTGTTCTTGGCTTGATTGAGGGAAAACACACCAGCCTTCCCATAGACTTAAAAGGCTGCTAATACTTCTTCTCCATTTCTCAATCTTCAGTCTACCCCACCCGAGCTCCTTTTCCAGGCGACCAAGATGTTCGAAAATTTTATGTGTTTTTAGAGATGATTCGAATAGTTGTCGATATCTCCAGGCATGTCGGACCCCACTTGTAGACGACGAAGACAGGATGTCAGAGATCAGGTATAAGCCTACCAGCTTAGCAGCCGAAGTATCCAGGTTCTCTTTAGATGATTTTTTCGGTAAAGACTGGGCCGTTTGCTTTTCATGCTCCCCAGAGTTGGCCTCATCACCATCGTCAGGTTTCCCGCCACGAAGTTCTGTCTCCCGTCGTTGGCGTTCTGGGTTAGCATTGGTAAAAGCAAGCGGGCTGGTAATATTAGAAACGATCATATCCACCACTTCATCGGCGCCACGTCCGGCATGTCTAATCGCAAAGGAAGTAATCCGAGCGACATCACCTCTTCGCAACTTCGAATTGGTAGTAGGGAGTTTCGCGAGCAAATGTGCGAGTTTTGCTTTTTGAAGCGGGTTCAAGTGACCGATACCGTCGGTATTGCTCTCTTGGGCTCCAGAATCGAGACGCCTATCATCCTCTCTGTCAGAGTCATCCTCCTCTGAAGAATCATAGTCTTCATCAGATATGAACTCCTCTATTTTTGTAACGTATTCAAACTGTAAATGATTTTCCGGGGGTACCCAAACAGGGCCGCTTTCGAAAACAGATGCAGGGGTAGGCCGCATTCTTGAGTGTCTTCCCCTAGCTCCCATTGCGCCAGTCAAGATATCCCATAGTTTCCACCTGTACCACACACCACCTGGGCTCCTTGAATCCCATATCCAAGCCCATTTTTCGTCTTTCTGAACTTCGGTCCGACTCATGAGGAGTGCCTCAAACTCGGGGCCGTATGTTAGGAGATTCTCCAGGGTCTTGTGAATAAGCTTCAGTTGCTTCAGATCTGATGGAGGCTTGACCTCGACTTGGAGGGTAGATCCACCTCTACCACCATAACCTTGTCCGTACGATGATGGTGGTGCAAAGCCTCCACGATGACCGCCCGACGGGCCGCCACGACCTAAATGGCCCCCTGGACCTTGGTTTATTGGCCGTGCTCCGAATGGCTTGGAAGTCGAAGTGGTTGATCCACCCATGACTGGCATGGTAGAGTTGATGGCGGCCGAAGAGAGGTGTCGTGAAATTGACAGATAGTGACCCCATCCAAGATATTTGTTTTGCAATGAGCTGACAACAGTATCCATCTCAGTAGCAGCTGTTTCTTTCGCCAGAGTAATAATCGCAGACCATACTCGTCGCTCTCCAGTCCCTTGGGAAGTTGAAGGTAAAATCTTAACGTTATCCACCACAAGAGCGTGCGATACAAGGGCCTTGACGGCTGCCGGAGACGTTCCCGGTGGCAACGATGAAAGATGAAGGGTGGGTTTAGCTGCGGCCCTTTCCGCTTCTTTCTTGTCTGCAAGTTTATCCTCCTCGTCATCGGAAGCCTGAAAAACCGCGGCTGCATCAACATGGGTAGCTGGGGAGCTTTCAAAGCCAAAAGGACCATGCGCCGAGTCTCTCTCCTTGTGGGATGGCTGTATCGCCTCAAACGGACGTTTTCTCGAACCAAAAGAATGTGCACCTCCTAGGCAGTCGGGTCCAGGCCTCATCGTGCTGGACGTGAAGTGTCGCTTTGAAGGGGCGATGGAGCCTCCCGAATGTACACCGCCTCCACGTCCGTATGAGCCTGTTCTGCTGCTGGCGCTAGGGCCCGTAGATGTATCAGCATCATTCTGGAATGACTTCACGAAATCCTCGTAAACTGCCTCGGTCTCTGCTTTTTCCCTTGCACGTTTGGCTTCGGCTTCGGCTTTTTGGCGCTCAAATAGGGATTTTTTCGCTGGGGCGGACAGTTTGGACGATAGATCGGGAAAACCTTTGACTTTCGAATCTTCCGGCATTTTGTAATGCGGGCTAGGTAGCCCAATTATGGTACCAAAATCGTCTGCGTCGTTTCACTGTTCAAAGCTAAAAGCTCTTATGTTGCGGTTGGTGATGATGAGCTTGAGGTGATGGTTCGGCTAGACTTGCTGGTTCCCGCGGCGCTAAATAAGCGCCAAACCCCTCCACTCGCCAGACAAAAGCACAAGAGCGCTACCTGGATATAACTACGCGTAAATCACGTTCAAGAATTTGAGCAAGAAAGGCATCTTAGTTACCGTGTTGGAACTGAAAGTCGTCCCAAATTAATTGTTGAAGATGACTACTCCTTCACAAATTCAAGCGTTGCTACGCTTCCTTTCCCAAGATTCAAAGCTACCCCTGGCCCTGGCCATTACAAAGGCGAAATCACTCCAAAAGGCTAATCTACTCACGTATGCATGCAGAGCACAAACATATGTTTCATATACATACTCCTTTTTGTCGACGCTAGCTAACATCTTAAGCTTAGCCCGGATGATATCCTGAAGAAAGATCTTGCATCGCTTCACTCCGTTTTGGGAGAGGAACAAGTGGCAAAGCAGGTCTTGAATGCTGCCAGGAGAGCTAAGAAGCGTGTCCACGAGGCCGACAGCACTGGCTCACCTGTGAAAAAATCTAAAAAGACCAGCTTAACCTCGGAAACGTCATCTCCCTCTCTGCTCGAGTCGGCGCTGACCCTCCCATTATCGTCCAACATAGAAGAGATATCTTCAGTTGTCCTTATTACAAATCGGGCACCTCTTGTCCTGGCATTTGCAGTTGTGTTGTTGAAATATACCATGCCAGAACAGCCTTTATCTAGCAGGCTGAGCCTGGCCCAAGCAGTCGTCAGCGCCAACAGCCGATCAAAAGCTATTAGCCTTGGAATCGAGACAGGAAAAAGCGCAGAAGACGAAGGATGGGCAGGTAGACAGCCTACCGTGAAAGTCCTCGGAAGAGAAATCCCCGTGTTAAAACGATGGGGTTACAACTGGCAAGAAGAATCCCCGTCGGAACAGACCACCGAGATCGCTTCTATTGTGGAGAAATCTGAGAAGGAGAACAGTGAAAACCACCGCCTAGGAGGTTCTGACGAACAGCCCGCTCTATGGGGTTTATATCCAGAAGCTTTGAAAAGATCAAACGCGAACACGCCGGGCCCGTGCCAGATCAGCTCAGTACTCCCAATTCACAACCCAGAGCCAGCCCGTGAGTATTTATTGAGATCATTTACGTTACAGAAGTCAGCCGATCCGAGCAGTGGGAAAGCGAAGAAGAAACCCTCTTCAGATTCGATATCTGAAAAGGAGAAAAGCCTTGCTCTTTTACTTGGTGCAATTGATCTCCTCTGCCAATCATGGGCGTCTGTGCTTAGCAAAAGCGAAATGGATCGACGAGCTTGGTCCTGGTATGTTGACGTTCGCCCAGATGTTCAGCACGGTGTCGGGGGTTGGGGCCAGAAGGGAGTGGTTCAGCTCTCGAGAATTCTCGATCTGAGGCGAAAGGGATGATTTTACGGTCGAAAGTCATAGCAATAAACAGCTAAACAGGAATGACGCGCAAGCATGCTCACAGCGCGTACCCCTACCCTAAGTGAACCCATCTTGCTGCAATCACTTTATCGATTTTCGAATTTTCGAATCGTCTGCATTTTTTTTGTCTGCCTACACCTACGGCAGACGATGACTGTCAGTAGTAGCTTTACAGCTTTCTCCTTCGTTGCGAAATCAGACGCTTCTTGGCGATCTCGGATCAGCGAGCATAGCTAGGGCTAACCTTTACCCGGTTTCACACCCCCCTCGAACCGCCAGTACGAGCAGCAGTTCGTGTCCAGAATAACAACCGATTCACCTGCGCAGCAACACCGCTTGCTTTATCTACAGCCGTGACAAAAACGAGAAATACACGACCAACCTTGGTTGGAAACGCCCCTGCATTTACTTCCTTGTAAACCATCCAAGTGACTCCCCCTATCTAGCAAACCATAAATTGAAATATTGTGGCGGACTGTAGCACCAGCAGTGAGCAAGATTATATTGGCAGTGGCAGCAGCAGCTTGACAGCAGCTAGATATATTCATATTTTGATGTTTTCAATGAAGGGTGTAACTACTACGGAGTACACTGTACAGAGCTCGGATAATAATCATCATCATTCCCAACAGCCCTCCGCAGCCAAGATTTGCAATGGATAAATATACCCACACCATTTCTATAATACACCAAGATTTGATTTTACAAGCCCTTCAGATAGTGCAATTTAATAATTACATGGTGGTTATTAAAATCCACCTTGTACTTGGCAACTAAGCAATACGCAGTAATAGGATTTTTGTTGCGCCAAGGATTTGTTGCGCGCAGTGGTTGCAAAATCCGTCTATTATTATTTGATCGAGCTTTCTGAATTTTTAGCCTATGCACTTCACAAGGCTGGTAAAGACTAAGAGCAACAAAGGCTCTCTGAACATCTGGCTGAGCCAGGAAAAAGAAGCGATCATCATGACAGACAGATCTCTGTTCTTTTTGCGGAGTAGATCAACGGCAATACATACAGCGTAGATTTCTCTGAAGTTATCGGTGCATAGGCTGCTTGCTTTGCAGCTTGCTTTGCCTTGCTTATGCTTATGCTTCTGGCGGCTGTTGTGTCGCTGATATTGATTGTTTCGGTTGTCGGGTTTTCGAAATGTTTGTTTTTCTTTTTCTTTTTTTCTTTTTTTTTGTGGAACATCATTTTAGAACACGGGCAAGAAAAGCAGATTGACGTAGAGTGAATCTGAACGGATTTCTTCTCCTGTCTCCTCCGTGCTGAACCAACCTATATTTTTGAGAATGCATGCGATCAGTCATCCCCGAGACTTTGCCGAGGAACAAAAATGGATTTGACTAAAAGTCGGATGGTAGGTAGAGGAAAACTACCGACGTCGTCGGTTGGATAAAAAGAGGAGAAAGCTGTAAAGGTTCTCCTGGTGCCGACCGGCGACAGATGGACAGCACAAAACCTTATTTCTGACATGTCTCTGCCATGATGTTTAGGTCTGGTTGAGAAATAACACGGAGTCTATTATTTGCCCAGCGGCCTTCCTAGGAGAAAGCTGATTATTGTTCTTGACATGGTTCAGCCCAAGCCTGCGTGATGTCTTCCTTTGTTTCTTGGTTCCCTTAGCCTGTTTGAAGGAAGGATAGTTCTCGGGAGATAGAAATGGGATTGGATGACAGTGGTGTGTATCGTATCCTGGGCGATTTTAACCTGGAGGGTGTGTGAGGGAAGAGTGGGGATGGGTCAGAGATGCAGGCCCACCAATCTGGGCTAGTCGTCCTTGGTCGAATATGGACAAGTTAACCTGGGGACGATTTGATTTTTCTGCAAGCCAGTAGTATTTTGAGAGCAAGAAAGGTGGCTGACATCCGGTGAGTAGTAGGCTGGTTGGTTGTTGTTCGCTCGCATCAAGAAGTACCAATGCAAAAGATAGAGTTTGCAGATGAAAAACAGTCGCGCTTTGAATATTTATGACAGCAGCCGCTGTAACCAACCTCACTCAATAAATAATGTCAAAGGAATCACGTTCTGATATGGTACTCCGTAGGTGATTCGATATTAGGGAAGTGCGGAAGCTAAAATGAAACTGGCAATGGATCCATCCTGAGACGCTGTTTGGGCACATGGTACCAGAGATAGCCGAGTGAGTGTGGTTCTTCAACGCGTTTTTTCCTGTTTAAAAAGGGTGACAAGAGGGCTTTCCCGCTCTATCACCTTACTTTAATCAATGCCCTGGTACAGGTCGATGAAGCCTGCACAATCCTGCATCTCCCAAGATAATGGATGACACCAAGAATAATGCTGACCACTTTTGATCAGGGTTACGGTCTGTGGTTGTATGGTGCAGTTAGCACCAAGGTCCCCCATCTGTGGCGGGTTATTTATTCGGCTGAGGAAGCAGTCAGAAATGCACGGCCAAAAACACCAATCCAATGAAAGGAGGGATTTTTTTTATTTTTTATTTTTTATTTTTTATTTTATTTTAGAGAGAGAGAAAAGAGAAGAGAAGAAAGAAACTCGCGACTTTGGAGATTGTAACCATACATGACATGAATTATTCCACCTTACATAGTTAGTTAGTAGTAACTAGAGGTGATGGATGATTTGGAGATATTAATAATTATACCTTTTTTATATCAACTATTCAAGAACAGTACAGTACTCTACATAGTAGTAATCATAATAGAGGTCTCTACTTATTATTATTATTTACATAGTAACTTACGGAGTAGAAGGGCTTGTGGCCGTTCCTCAGGCAAAGCCACTGCTCGCCCAATCACATCCATGGATCACTGGCAATCAGCCCGTCTGGCTCCCTTGCCCTGTCCGAGTTCGTCTCTCCTCTCCTACAACAACCAACCCCCCAACCAACCCTGACTCCACCCCGTCCACCGCCCACTTCTCCCTCGCTGCCTCCCTCTTCCTCCCATCGCAATTTCTTCCGCTCTCTTTCCCTCCTATCGTCGACGTCTTTTGTCCTTCTTTACTGCTGCTTCTCGACTGTCTCTCGCTCCGTTGCTTGTGCCTGGGCGTGGGTTTTGGGGTGGTGTTTTGTGGCACTGGATAGGAGGGGATCGCTTCCCCAGTGGGCAGTGCACACTCACTATGTCTGGGCGTGCCCTATCCCCATCACCAGAAGAAATTCACGATCGCTCCTTTTCAGCTCGATCTCATCGCCGGCAATCTTCCCACTCCGCTGGCCGTCATTCCGCTGAACACTCTCCCATCACTGACGTCTTCAGTGATGCCTTTTCTCTCGAGCCATTGGAGTCGTTTGTTGATTCAGATGTCGCGATAGACCGTTGCGAACAATCCGACCACCCTTCATCGAACTCATCAACCACATTGGACGCCGAGGATGGTCTGTCCTCACACCTAAGTCCTTTTCGAGACTCTGTTGCCTCCTTCCAGTCCCAAATGTCGCAACGATCGGGGTCTCCTGAACCTGAACCGATACCTGAGCCTGAACAGTCCGCTCCAAGTCGTGCCTCCACGAGCGCCTACAATGCCGTTTCTTCATCTATTACCCGTCACCCGTCCTCTGCCTCATCGACTACCAATCCTCATTCATCCGTGGCGCATCGAAGTATTAGTACCTCGTCGCGTTTCTCGATGCCCAGAGCCCTAAGCCCGTATACCGGTCAGACAATGCCCGCGCATCCATATGCCATGTACCCTCAAGCCACCGGGTTGGGTCGGTCATCATCTACCTCATCCACTTCCACTGTACGGCCTGTAGAACGGAATAACGTTGAACCAATGGCACCCCAGCATCCATATGCCATGTATCCGCAAAATACTGTCCCAGAGGAAGAAGATACGGAGGTACACTCACCAATCCCGGTTGGCTTCCCTGGCCGTGAGCAGGCGTTCCAGTCCCGCGGAAACCAAGGCGCGAATGAAGTTGGAGATATTGTCGGCGTAGACGGCCATGCTGAGCAATTGCCGCCTTATACGAGATATCCAGATGGATTACCTCAAAAATTTGGCGCGCATGAATATGTCAGCCCCCCCCCTCCGCAACCGTTGGCTCATGCGCCAATATCCCCAGAGTCGGAAGTATCATCGCGAACCCTTTTGGATGAAAATAGCGCTAGGCGAGAAAGCGCTCCTCCCGCCGGAGAACCTCAAGCGGACGACCCAAGTGGCAGTAATAAGGAACAACTGGCCCAGACAAGGAGAACACGGGTGTGTTGTGGTCTTCAAATATGGGCTATTATCCTCATTGCCATCGTTGTTTTGATTGGAGCAGTAATTGGCGGTGTTGTTGGAGGTGTAGTTGGAAACAAGCGAGGGGAGAAAGCAGGCGGAGCAAGTGCTAGTTCCGCATTAGGTGGTGGACGGTGTGTATATCACTGATAATCTACCAGTTCACCCTCCCCCTTGTGTTATTTTTTTTCCCTCCTCAAGCTAATATTCTCCTAGGCCTACATCCGTTTTTGTGACGGTAACGGCCACCACGATGTTGGATGCCGCACATTTAACGACAACCCCTACGCTTCTCCCAATTCCTACTGGCCAATTCCAAATACCTGCAGCTTCCTTACACCGCTCACCAAACAACTGCGTCAATGCCGATGAGCTTTCGAAGTCATGGCAGTGCATGCGCAAAGGTGCCTTTTCCTGCAACCTCTCAGAGGCACCAGATGGATCTAAAAGCCTCCATCTCCAACCTTACGAGCGGGGTGGACAATTTGTATATGGTGCCCAGCCTCCAGTCCTGGAGGAAACGAATTTCGATCTCAAATTGATGCTTGATAAAACGGAACCAGAATTGGGCCCAGCCCTATTCTTTTTCACGCCATTTGATAAACTTGTGATACTTCATGAAGATGACTTCCCTACTGCCTCAGGGCAAGCAGTTGATGGGACTGTGTTCCGTCACCGCGCAGAAACTACACCACCCGTATTGTCAAAACCGAGTGATAGGCCTTATTTTTGTTGGTGGAATAGCACTTATCTAGAACTTTTCATTTACGTCAACCACCCAACCTCTAAGTTTTTGACAACAACAGGCCAATATACCTCAACCCAGACGTCCACAACGTTTACGACCGCAGCGGTACCTCCCGCTCTCGACGTGCGTGGACTTAGATCAATTCTTTTGGAGACTCCTAATGGTATGCCCCAGGAATACCCTCGCATGATCAAATTGGAAGAAAAACGATCTTCCACGGATGGAATTCCTCCATATTGCGAGCAGATGCAGGTGATGGATGACGGAACGATATCAGGCCCACTTGGGTCTCGAGTTCCTATTGACGAAATCGAAACAACGCTATCCAGCAGGCGTAATAATGATAACCACCTTGATTATCACGGCGACGATTGCTTTTGCCAATGGATCGTTCGTTAGCGCCTGCTGGAGAGTGGAGGAGGCATTGAAGAGCAAAATAAGGCGTTTGGGTTCTAGGGGAATAAATCAATCCCCTCTTTGCTGGCATTTCACATATAGTTGGTTTTTCAGGCATTGGCGTTTTATATGCTTAGGGTATATTTGGTCAAGGGTTATATCTCCTTTTTTTTTCCCTCCTTGTTTCTTTCTTTTAACATTTTCCGCCACCTTCTTCGCTTATTAGTGGGTTATTTTCGTTGTGAATTTACTTTCCGATTATCATGTTGTGACGATTTATCGGAGATGTTTTTTATCACCACTGCCACCACCGCCCATTTCTTCTGTTTTTACTTTCACCTTCTTCCGTCATACTATATATATATATATATATATATATATATACATGTACACATGGTCCTGGAACCTACCTATATAGGCCACTCGGGAAAATGAATTCCACCACATTTGAATAACTCAATTACCCTGAGCATCTGTCTCATTTGTATAGGCACAGACCCGAAACGCACCGCAAAAATACACATACACATTCACAGAGGCACTCTTGTACATACCTGACATCTAGTCATATATGTTTCTTTCTCTGTTATACACTTCTATTTCATTTTATCTCTTGCCTCTTCACTGCAGTACATTTTTTGCTCCTCAAGACTCCGTCAATGGCAACAACCGACACACACACACACACAGAGAGAGAGAGAGAGAGACATGGTCTCAAGAAAAGGACGATGTTGTAATACTCTATCGTCAGGACTAGTACTCCGTAGGTTAGAGAGATGTGATGACGACCAAGGGACCACTGGCTCAGCGTAGAGGAGGGCAGCGATTTGTACAGTATATAAAGCCGGTATTAGCTGCGGGACTTAGCAGGCTAGTATGCTAGGGGACTGCAGGAGTTATTGCGGTTTTTTTGTAAAGCGGAGTTTGCAGTTTTCATCCACGGATGCGCTGGCGGCTGACGATTCGTCCGGATTCTGGTTTTCTGGGGTTGGGGCCCCCGCCCGGGGGGTTGGGGGGTTGGGAATGGCTTCTCTGAATGGTATTTTGAATTTTGATGGTATTTTGATAGATCTCCCTCCTCCCACCCTCAGGGGCCATTGGCAGGGGGAAAGGTTTCTTTAATAGCTGCAGGTATATCAGCTCTGATTTGATCAGTCAAGGGGAGCATTAGAAGAGAACTTGCATCAGTTTGTCAAGAATGCAAAAATATCAGCAGGATGAGAAATAGCTCGAACAAGTCCTACTCCGTCAACACATTTACGATGAAGACATGCAGATGAAAAGATCTATTTTTTATTTAAAGAAATGAAGATGAGTTCAGTTTGCAAGGGCTAGTCTATTAGTGTCTGGGAGGGGGCCGGACTTATGTACTCCGTATCAAGTGGTTAATTCCAGAGGCAGACCTTACTCCGTAGTATGGAGTATATTTGCATTTCGCGCTTGAAGGTGAACATCACGTGTGTCGGAACCCCTGACCCCCTTTTTTTATCTCAGCAAGCTCAGACGCTTCTCCGGAGGTCAAGTGGCGCACTTAGCGAGGTCAAGTTTTCTGCTTCCTGCCAGAGGGTCTGAGCCCGCTGAGATAACCTTTTTTGTTATCCATAACTTTTACCTAGTAGTGTCGGACCGACCTTAACTTAGTTAACTATGGCCCGTGCTTAATAATCCTCCTTCTCACTTAGCTAGCAATCTTCAATCAAGCAAGCTTTGCACCACACTTATTTAGTTAGTGATTGCTATTATTATATAAGTACTGTACAAGCATCAAACGCTCGCTTACGCTCGTTTGCTGCTTGCGCAGCCCCCTCTACCACTTCCACCCTCTACTCCTACCCCCCTCTTACTACCCCTTCCACCCCCTACCCCCTCTACCACCACCACCGTTTCCACCCTCTACCCCTACCCCCTCTACCACCCTCTTCCACCCTGTATCACCCCTATCACCATTATCAGATTAATCAGAGCTGTACAGGCTGCAGAGCTGGCTGTTCAATCTCATTCATGAATTCAAAGAGATGCACATCACATGAGATCATGTTACAGGGCATTTAGCAGCCATGAACACAGAGAAGAGTATAAAGAATGTAAATACTATAGAGAATGTATGAAAAGAGTAGAATGAAAAAAAGAATGAAGATTGAAGATTGACCTGAGCTGTATGAGCCGGAGAGCAGATCTGAGCATTCAAATATTTTTGATGAAGGTGCACATGATGTCACATTACAGTGTTTTTTGCATGGAAAAGTTAGTTTTTCTATAATAAATAGAGAGATAAATAGAGAGAAGAGAGATATGGTATTCTGGCTCCACAAACTGATTCCCCAGCAACACTACCTGTGTACTCATTCGTCCCTGAGTCTGTAGTTCAGCCGGCGAAATGGATGATGGAAACATAGCATATTTGCCCGTAAAAGTCACCCAGGTCTTCAGTTATTGCATCTTTCCTCGGTTCCTGCACAACCGTCGCCAATTTGCTCGTATACTTAAGTTGAGGTGAGCGGGCGCAGGAGCAGGCGCCGAACATTCTTCGCAGATGAGCAGCGTATGCCATGATTCCCGGCTACTACTCCAGAGAGGTGCTTAAATAGCGACAGACTTTTCGTCTAAAGCAATTGCAGATTTTTATCGCAGCATGGCGGCTTACAATTAAGATGAGGTGAATGGCTTATGGTGCTGTAGAGGACAAACTCCCCCTAGGCTAGATGTCGAGGGAAACGCTCCTTTCTCCAATCTGTTGAGATTTCAGACTTGAAATATTAGGGAAATCAATGTATGGCAATGAGTCAGAAACGGAATGCAACATATGAAATCTCAAAGACTTCAGAATTCCTTTAGTTTCGCTGGGGCAGATCGTTAAAGAAATGTTGAATATGCCTGCTAGTGACGTCATTGCTTGTGAACACAGATCTGTCTGGTAAAGTTTGCTACTTCTCGCGATTTCATAGGTTTATAGTGCCCCTTTCCTACCAACAATCTCCTATTTCGAATAGAGGGAACTCGGCACCTTAGTCACTGCCTCCTGATATGGATGGCGTTTCATTACCCAGGGACTTAATAGGATATCTGGCGATACTTCGCTCCCGTTTAGCTGAATGTCTAGTATTCCCTTTGGAGTGTGGCGTTCCATGTTAGAACCATGTACCTTAATATATGTTGTCTCAACGTACAGTAGTACTTCATGAATGTGATACCAACACTGACGTCACTGCTACCATATATATTGGGGGTAGAAAGGGAGGGGCCCCAATATTTCTCAAATAGGAAAAATTATTCAGGGCTTGTACTCAGCTTTATTACGCACTTCACTACACAGGGAAACAGAGCCAGGGAAGGTCTACCTGATAAAGCAACGATTCTTGCTCCATACACTACGTCACTGCCGGGGAACTAGGCCAGCTATCCTAGGTAAATACTTGACCTCATGGGGGTTATTGGTATTAACGTCAAGCACATATGTGCAGGATACAGAACCATACCCGCCGGATGATCCTCTTTTTATTTTGTGGACTCGAGTAGAAAGAAGGGTAAAAAGCAAACAGAAATCCCCTGTTGAATCTCCAACCTCGTTCAACATTTCTACCCAGCTCCAACAGCTACATAAATTCCATCAGAAGTAAGAAGCCTTCGGCGCAGAACTCCCTTGCCCGCGAACATATTTATTGTCTCGAGACGTTGAGGGTTGCAGGAGTCGGAAATTAAAGAGCATAGGCTGTGGAACAAAAAACCGAAACAAGGGAGAAGAAGCCATATCAGAATGCATCGTCTACCCCGAACAGTCATCCCGCGGCTGAGGCTGCAACCATCACGAGCCACCTCTTCGCAGTGGTTCTCGCCAGCGACGGCATCATATCAACTTGGATTCCAGGATGGAAGGGGGGTAAGAAGATATGCCAATTCCGAAGCGTCATCGACTAAAGAGGGGAAGGAGAAGGGCGCCGCATATGGTAGCGGGGATGATGATAGTGGTGAGTGACTCCCTCCCGCTTTTCCACACTTACAAATCCCAACAAGGAATTTGGATAATTAACCAGATCCCATATGTACAAAGATAACCAACATTACCACCGCAAACATGAACCACCTCCCGAGCGCTCGGAACCAGAATCCTTCTCAGAAGAGTTCGAGCACCGGATTCCATCCAACAAGGCTCATCCCACGCTTAGTGACGAATATCAACACAGCGGCGCCGATCCGCAGCATCCCAAACGTCCTTCGAAAGAGGAGCTAAGCCCTGAGGACCAAAAGAAACAAAAAGAAACTGAGAAGGATGTAAGGAAGCATAACGAGGATATGGAGAAGAGGTATGATAGGGCTTATGGTCAACTTGATAACAAGGGAGAGTTTAGATCGTTGGAGGAAGAAGTTGAGCAATTCAAGAATCGGGGGAAATAATGCGAGGATTGCTGGGAGTGATCTTGGATGAGAGATCCGTGCTAAAGAGATTGGGCAAGCAGTTATGCTTTACCTGTTGAAAATGGATTCTCACATGGCATGGACTGGTCCGCTTTTAATTCGATGGGTCTTCTTCTGCTGGGCGGTCTCCATTTTTATTCTTCGGCGTTCCTTACTGCGGGTTGTTGGTTCGTTGAATAACTGACCAAAATTGTCAATGGAAAAAGCGACATTACGTCCCAGAGAAAAATGGATGAGGCACTTGTTCCTGTCTTGGATAAATCCGAGCTATTTTTCGCATTGTATCATTGCGGTGCCATGCTCAAAGCAAGCAAAGAAATAGCGCAGGGAAACCACGGAGAACGAAGGATTCTGTACAAAATGGTATTATATGGAGTGTTTAAGCTAGTAACACATCAATTTATATAGGTATCAAATCGAATGCCCACATAAAGCTAGCCAGTGCTCTGCAGCAACGGGGTCTCTTCGGAAGGATGGTTCTCGTTGTCGCGATGAGCCACGATCCCATTGGCCCTAGATTCCGTTCCCGGAGCATCCCCGGGGCTTACATCGGTCTCTGCTTTCGATGGATTGACATACTCGAAATAGATCCCCATAATGAGTAACGTTCCCTGCAACAGGGCTGTGACCACGTACACCCCCCATGAACTCCAGCCCTCCGTACCCAGACGTGCTGCTAGGCTAGCCGCCCAAACTAGACTACCTGGGGTTTGGATGCACATCATCGGAATACTCAGGCTACCGACGCGACGGAGACGGAAGGTCGTATAGATCTGGGGAAAGTACTGGATGGACGCTAGGACGGCTGCGCAGATGCCGAAAATATTTGCGCAAAATTGACGCTGGTCTGAATGTGCAACGACAATAATTATGACAACGACGGCCGTTGCGATTGTCTGAAGAATGCATATTGCAGCGACTATGAGGGCTATTCTGAAGGAGGGGGATGAGGGTTTGCTAAGAATGGCAGGGGTCGAGCGCGGAAAGTAAATGACAAAAAGGAAAAGGCTAAATATTCGGTCGTTTTAGTATATCCAATGAGCCACTAAGTTGTATCCATCTTCTTTTGGCGGGAGGAATACGGATAAGAAGGTACGGTTTCATCTCACATTATTGTAAAGCAAAGTGCTTGGACCCCGACCTGCAATATGCCCAACAGCCCAGCAAAACAGGAGAATCCATTAATCTCTTTGCAGCAAGCAATGTCCGCTCCACTTCTTGGGAGCACAAGTATATTTGCAAAAGAAAACGTCCCCGATGTAGTTCCTAATAGAATAAAATATGGGGATATTCCAAAGGAAGATCGTCGCGATATAATTCTGTAATGTTGAGGTAGATATGAGAGGAGAATGCCCAACAGGATACATCTATGATAAGCACATCATATGTCAGTGAAAGGGCCTTAAAATTCAGGGTCACACTAGCTAATACTTACAGCGAAAGAGCAAAATTCCAAGGATTTGGCGATGCCAGCGCCTTGCAATGGGGGGTTATTGTCTCTTTCATGATGAGCTTCTTGAGGATGTTGGTGTCAGGCAACTGGGATTCTAGATTCTAGTGACGGATAAGGTGAAGTCTCAACGTATACGTGCTTCTTCGAACGGATATCTGTCACATCATTATGTCGCAGAGGCTGATGAGCAGAATAAATTGAACACGGTGAGAGAGATGATGCCCAACACATGTCCCAATAGATGTCCAGCTGTTGGCTGCGGTCATGTCAAGCGCTGGTCAGATGCAGCATGTACGAACACTGATTGGCTGTGGTGAGCGCCAAAGTAATTACATAATCTCTTATCTGAAGGTTATCGCTAGACGCCAGGAGAGCAACTTTACTACAGCTTCATGCTCAGAAACATCAATTATCTCTTCATTGGCTTTTAGAGCAATCCAAAAGAGAGCTGTTCTGCCAATGAAGATGATCTAGCAGGCATGAAACAACGTTTTTTAAAGGCTTGGTGCATACCTTCAACTTATCTTTCAGGAAAGCAGCTGCAAGGCAGGGCCAACACATAAAATTAGGTCTTGCATCCACTACGTCACACCAGTGTCATAGGGGTCCCAACACCTGCTTTTTCGTCTTTGCCCATATATTCCAGAGATGATGTCGCCTGCTCTTTGTTAACTTAACTCCATCAAAAAGGTCATTTGTTAGTTGGCAACGTAAAGGGCCCTTGTATTGCTCTACATTGAGTAATTGAGTATTTCAGGCCAATCCTTTTTGCTTTTCATACACTGTTATTGTGATCACTGACTTACTGCACCCTTGATATCGCGTAGTGTTCATTGAAACACCAACATGAGATTCTCATGGTCTTTGGGCCTTGTGATCACCTTAGCCGTGACAGAAACGGCGGGTTCGAGGAACTGGTTCAGTAAAGCTGGTATGGTCTTAACCCGATGCTGTTTGAGATGTGCCGCGCTCTGTGTTGCGCTTGTTTTGTTCTCGTTTGTCGCCTATAAGTTGTGGTATACTACGAACCTGCTACAAGTTACAAAGAACTAACTATGAAATTATTATAGTATACAACAGATGGCACGAAACAGAGCTTGAACGTTGGCTCTCTGACCATGGCAAGTTCCACTCACTATCTTGATAAAACCAAAGACAGTTGACTAATGTCTCTACAGATATCCCATATCCCACGCCGGCGGATAGAAAGGATCTTGAAGAACTGGTAAAATCGAATTGGGAGTCGCGGATCCACATTCCTATCACGCACACAGCAGAACATGTATCCGAATCTCTGGGAGATGCGAAAGAGTGGATTTTTGATACGTATGCGTTTCTCAAATTCTTGCTAGGCTAAACATTAATCTGACCATTTATGTAGCTGGAGTGATTCCCAATTGAAAACCTTCCTTGACAGACATGGAATTGCTAGCCCACAGTCAAGCAAGCGTGATAAGCTATTGGCAGCAGTACGAGAAAACTACGAAGCCATTGCCCAAAAGCTTGGACATACAACACTCTACCCTGGGAACTGGCTTTATGAGCAATGGTCGGAATCGGACTTAAAGGAATACCTCGACAGCCGTGGCTATAATGTGCCCCAACCAACAACTCGAGACAAGCTGATCGCTAGCGTACGTCGAAACGCACGTATTGCTGGTCTAGAATCTCAACGTGCTGCCTCGTCTGCCTCTTCATCGGCTGAGGCTGCTCAGAGAACCCTATCGGAAGCCCTGTTCAACGCCTGGTCAGAATCTGACTTCAAAGAATTTTTCGATAAGCACGGCATCAAAGTCCCTCAGGGTTCGAAACGCAACGAGCTTATTGCCCTTGCGCGCAAACATCGCGCTTCTTTGGTGCAAGACCCCACTGCTTCTCTCACAAGTGCATTTGGTGCAGCGACTTCAAATGCTGGAAACGAATTTGCTCGCGCGACGGAGGACGCAGAACTGAAAGCGGAAGATATGTTCAATTCTGCCATTAATAAATGGTCTGACTCACGTCTCAAGGCTTATTTGGATGCGCGTGGTGTACCGGTGCCGCAGGCGACGAAACGAGATGAACTCCTCGCCAGAGTACGCCTCAACAGGCACAAGGCAATAACCGGATACTCTGCTTGGACTTTTGATACCTGGACCAAGGAGAATTTAGGGTACGAGCAAATGGCTCCTTCCTCTTATCAAGCTTTGTAGGCAAAACGCTAACGTTCTGTCATTTAGGAAATATCTGTCCTCCCAGCATCAGCAAATGATGGGAAACATTGAATACACCCGCGACGAACTCATGAGAAGGGCAAAATCCGCATACGAGCAGGCTTCTAAAACCAGTGGAGCAGACTTCGCTGCCGTCACGAACTATTTGGCAAAGGAAGCTGCTGCAACCAAGGATGCTGCATTTGACACTTGGCCCCGGGTTGATCTGGAAAAATATCTCGAGTCATACGGTCTTAAAGGCCATAAGAGCTGGGATATTAATAGACTGCGCGAGGAAGCGAAGCGGAACGCTGATTTCTTCCGCTATGGAGAACTCGCACAGGAGGCAACGATCTTCTCTCGATTGCAAGGTGGTATGCAGTGGGTCTTACACCAGCTGAAAATAGGAGCGCTGAGTGGCAGGAGGGAAGGGCAGAAGGCCGCTGATACTGTGAAGGAAAAGGCTTCCCAGGGTGTAAAGCGAGTGACCGATGAACTCTAAAGAAACACTTCAAACTCCCCCTCCATGTCCTGGAATAGGAGTGAAAAGCATGGGTGCTCTGCAGAAGGATTAATAGGGGTCGTCTTAGTTGAAATAACGTCTAAAGCGGTCTTTTCCTTTTGATTTTCTTGTGATTTTTCTTTTGGTCGCTTGTTCTATTTTCTCCACCTTGTCAAAATATTCGTTTCCCATATGTATGTATTTCTTCAGTTTGCGGTTTATCCTTCCATCTTGTTTCGTCTGTCTGTCATGGTTAACTGAAATGGAACAATCGGCAGTTATATATGTATAATTTACTAAAATAATGAGAAAAGGAGAAAAGGAAACAAAATGGTAATTACAGAGAAAAAACCCCGCAGCTGTTCTACCATGAACCCGCGTACATTTTGAGTTTGGCTACGCTATTGTGCTTTCCAAAAAAACGCAGATTATATGTTAAATCTTCTTTCGAGTCAAAAGGAAGGGCTTCTGATTTTGATATTTTCCTATATTAATATATTCATTCTTCGTTGTCGCCTTTGAATGTTCATGAAAATGCCTGTTCATGATCTTGATGCAATGCATACATCTATCCCAGCCCCGTTTCTACCTGGTATATTTCATAATACGACTAGTCACCAGCGGTTTCTCTGCTTCCCCTAGCTATTTCTTTTGAATGATGAACATAATATGCTGCCTAGAATGTACTCAAAACTGAGTCTTGTTAACCCTCTCATCAAGACCGAGAACCAGCGTTGCTTCTGCCACGTCGCTTTCTGATTTGGTATATATCCCGCGGTGTCGTCAACCAAAAAAAAAAAAAAAAAAAAAAAAAAAAAAAAAAAAAAAAAAAAAAAAAAAAAACGGCAAACAGTGACAGTCCATCATTTTGTATGCCCACAAGAGAGAAAGCTATGATATCGGTCATTTGAAAGACGGACCCATTTTTCCGCTCACTCGTTCAGCTCAATTTGAGAGGTAACCTTCTCAATCGGACTTGGGCGCTTCCGGATCCCCCTCCGCAACCAACTTGCCAACAACAAGGTACTTCTCCAGAAAGCGTTCCTCCCAACCGCGCAAATTATCCATCTGATCCGCATCTAGCCCGCTCAGATCATCCAGAGGGCCCTTGAGGTCCTTCGTTAGCATTTCCTGGTCAAAGCTCTGGCAAGCTAACCCGCGAGTGGCATCTCTGCCGGCGAAGTTTTCATAGGGGCCGCCCTGTACGTAACGAGTGACGGATTGGTTAGTTTAGATTTGTTTTTGTACGATATATATATATATATATCTATCTAGTCGTCAATGCGCTTACTGGGCCGTAGAAGTTGCGCCCGGACGAGACGTCAAAGACCCGTCCGCGAACAGCTAGGTAGACAGGGGCACCATCTTTGCCGTTGAATGGGAGGAGGGTTGTTGGGGTGAAGGTGCGGAAGACGACCGGTGGTGGGCCTTTTGGAAGGACGAGAGGTTCTCGGGGGCGGAAGTGGAAATAGACCAGGAGGACAAAGAGGGAGAGGAGGACCAGGTTTATTGGGGTTGCGATGGAGGCTCTAGTTTATTGTTAGATTTTTATTTGGTTCATTTTGTTACTGTTAATTCCAATTTAAATGTTGGCATGCGTTTTTATGTTGTCTCCGGATTGTGGCCATTCATTGAACTGGGCTGGGGATAAGATGGTCTGTGGGTGGTGGAGCTTACACCTCAGCAGCGGGCGGACTTGTATCTAGGAGAGAGGAGTGACGGAGTTAGCAAAGTCGAAGCCAATACTACTGCCAGCTGTAGACATACCTGTCGCCATTCTCCAGCACTCGGCACTGAGTTTCAAGAGCTAGCTGCAAATCGGGAGTTTGACTGTTGGTGTGGAAGTCGGAAGGCAAGTTGAAGCAACCAAGTTGAACCAACATTGGTATGGGATCCGCCACGATTCGCTTCTGGAACTTCCACAACCAACGGAGCCATATCACGTGGGGCTGACCTGAAACGGGGCCGCGACAAGACTGGGGGCTCAGGTGGACCTCGGGAGCAACCAAGGCAAGCATTTGACATCCAGCTTTTACCATGGAAACTAACTATATATCGCGAGGGCTTCAACACCTTCTGGGTAATTGACAAACTACTACCATTAAAGGGTCTACTCAACTTCTTCAGTTTTGACTCCGCATCGTGAACCACCACACTGGCCGCCCTTGTGATTTATTAGTGCTTTGTTGGACAAATTGAGTTAATTTTAGCCCAGCCTGCAGGGCCGCAGGCTGAATCATGCAAATAGCTGTTTGTCATAGGCTGCTATTTGGGCTTTTTGCGCGCCGTGATTGGCTAAATATCCAGGTATGGTATGGTATGAGTGCATAATCCTCACTATGGGTCAGTCTGTCTCCAAATTAAAGGATTCTGTGGTCTGGGGCTTGGAGCCATTGCTTCATAGTACGCGGGAGAAATGCGTGAATTGAAACCCCCTAACGGGGGTAGAGATGTGCGCCCGCAACCGGCGATTTCTTGTACTTTCTGGTATCCTCCTGAAACACTGCAGTTTATCTTTTCTAACCAAATTTGCAGGACAAAAGAGAAATACTTGTTTGAACCAACAATGTGGAAGAAAAACCTACGATCTAGAGGGCCCGTGATTGGGAATCCCGTGCTACTAACTACTACGCTCGACAATACGACGCTGCAGACCATGACGACTCTCAATTCTCCCACTAACCCTCAGGGCCACCCCGACTACAACCAGCGTGATCGCGACGATGGCCCAGGCCTACCACCATTGCCGTTGTGAGCATTCCCAGTTTTTATAACTCTGCCTCTTTTTCCACATCCTTATACATTGACATCATTACGAGGCACAGTGGTTAAAACTAATACATCATTTCTGAACTTGTCAGTAAGCCGATGGAGCCGGATTCGCGCAGATCAAACCTCCCTTCCCGATCGCCAATACCATCTTCTATATATTCAAAACGCGATTCCCATGTAGAAGGCAACATGTCGTCAGCCGATTATAACGTGCCTCCAAGAAGAAGAAATTCCCAGGTCTATCAACCGGAGTTCCGCGAGAGCCAATATACCGATATTTCGCCGCCAGATTCTCCTGTATTTGCGCCCACTGGCCATCATGAGAGTCCTGACGTATCTCCCATAGACGATGACCCTCCGCGGTTTCCGCCTCCAAGAGCGCCTTATAGAGAACCTCTTAGAGAAGGCGGGCTCCAGAGTGCTGTGCCCATAACGTTCAAAGATGTTAATCGCAAACCCAGCGCAGTACACGCGCCATCTCAATCACATGCATCGTCTCCGCCATCTACAACCTTAAATCCAATATCTCCGAGCCAGGCATCGAACCGGCGTACGAGATGGGACGATTTTTCTGGAGAACCCACTCACGACGAGAAAGACAAGGTAGCGCAAGCCAGGCCCGGAGCCGTTGTTCCTCAGCAGGGTCCGACGATCAAACAATCATCTAAACAAGGGTTTAATCTTCTAGCCAAAGGGAAAGAGTTGAATCAAGCGAGGAGGAAGTTGATGGAGGGGCGCCGCCACGCTGATAAGAATGATAAAGCTGATCCCGCTCAGTTACCCCGCCCTCGAGAGCCATGGAAAGGTGCAAGCGGACGAGCAGCAATCGTTAAACCCATAGATACCAAGAAAACACCCCAACCACAACCACCGCTAAGTATTCAAACCCAACCTCGCAAATATAGTGCCTCTGGTGTAGAACGCAAACCGCTCCCTCGCAATGATGCCGCTAGCGGACATGCCCCTCTTACGGTATCTAAATCGAGAGACGCAGGCAGTGTGCCTGATGACCCAACCATTAAACCCATTGTTCCATTAAAAGCAGCCAACAACACCCCAGCATCTACCAGAATTCCTTCAACTCCTGCTTCTCATTCCGTAAACAGCGGGACACCAGCACAATCCGAAACCCCTCGGGCAACACAACCCGAAGCTCCCAACTGGGACTTTACTGCCAGGCTCCAAAACATAACTTTAGAACAACAGCTATCGAGCCGTTTCAGCGCGACTACATATGCAACAACTGAAGCACCAAGCAGTCCTCCTGGAACACCACGCGCTCAAACAGCTGATAAAGACGCCCCGGCCCTCCCTGCCGTTCATACGGAAAGGACAGAAACTATATCATCACGAACCTTCGTCAAAGCCACTAGGCGCAAACCAACACCATCAGAAATCACAACATCATCCGCAAAGACACTACCCCGCAGCCCTCCCGAGATGGAAGCCGAAAACCGCATCGAGGCAATGGAGGCTCGGCTCAACGACCTCGGCCAGCGCAAGGCGAATATTAACACGATCCTCCATGAGTTGACGCAGGTGATACAACCCAGCTCCATCGCGTATGACCTGGCGACGAGGAGCGAGGTCAAGAAATCGGTCAGCAGCTTGAACAATGAACTTACGGAGATTAGGAAGGAGGAACATGATGTGGGGATGAAGCTTATGAGGGCGAGGAAGAAGCAGGATCAAGATGATTATTATCAACCGTCGAGTATCTGGGTTAAACGAGTTACTGAGGATTACTGAGGAATTTGTTGGCTCCCCCTTAACCATGTTTCATTATTCCTTCTTTCCTTCTTGATTCTCGTTTGCACTCCAACCCGCCCTCGAACCGGCTTTCTTTTTCTGGTTCTTTTCTTTTGCTTTGCTTTTCTCTCTCTCTCTCTCTCTCTCTTTTTTTTTTTTTTTTTTTTTTTTTTTTTAAATGATGGCTGGGCCAGATGATACCTTTTCTCCAAACCTGGCTACATTTTTGGTAATCTATTCCTTGATAGCCAACGACGCTCCAGGGGTTCTCAGTTTTTTCTTTCCATTCATCCATTCTGGCTTCTCTGACTTTCTTATCTCGTCCCACTCTCCAATAAGTATAAGAAGGGCGCTATTAGCTGCTTTGGCGCTCTGCTGCTCGGTCTGTTGCGTCTCGTGACTTTTTCATTTTTCACTTTTGTTTCTGGCTCCAGAGAAACAGCCATGATACATTTTATTTTATATTTTGCCTGGCTTCCCAACTCCTTTCCTCCCTGTACATGCGAGAAACTACGATTTATCATGACCCTATTATCCCATTCCGTCATGCCGCGCTGTATATATGATACTTTGCTTCGTTCCCTATCAAGATGATTGCTGGTGGATGTGAATTGGTAAAAGGTATGTTTGATATTCCAGATGTAAAAGTTTAAAAATTAAGAGAAAAAATATATCCCTTCGCAGAGACAAGAAGCCGTACTCTCAGCGTCGAACCGGTTTTGGACTGCGAGGGGTATCTTGCGCGAAGGTAGAGGACGTCATTTCGTTATCCATCACTCCAGATCTCGACCTATTTCGTTTATTCGTAAATTGAAGGTTTTGTAGCACACACACACACACACAAAGCAATGAAGTTGACGCTCGTCCCTCATATAGCTGCCCTCATCTCGTTCGAATCAAGCGGGCCGGTGGTGCTGATGGATGTAGATATGTGTGTGAATACGTGTGTTGGTGGGATGTTGCTCTCTTTATTTCTTCCCAGACTTCTTGATTCCCTGCTGTCCCGAGTTCAGAGGCCCCTTGCCCTTCGCCTTATCCGCCAGTTCCTTTTTGGCTTTGGCGTCTGGAAACGAAGTTAGTTATTTGTGTTTTGTCGCACAGTCAAGGTCCAAGTCTGTGCCAGAAGGGACTAGCGATTCATCGTGAAAAGTTTTAGAACTAGGGTCGCCCGTACCAGCTTTCTGCTTCTCTCTGAATGCAAGATCATCCTCATCGAGTTCTTTCCTCTCCTTCTTAGGAGCCTTGAGCGGCTTCGCCTTTCCGCCTAGACAAGAGTTAATTAATATCAGTACCCAGGCGGGGGAAGGGAGCCCAGTGAGAGCGAAGTCAGTACTCACCTTCTCTTCCACCCATTTTGCAAGCTGCTGTAGATGGAACTAGGTATATCTTTGGATAAGTGGATGGGTAGATTAGTAGAGAGAATACGAATCCTCTTCTCAGAAAACGACTTTCTCCACTGGAGCAGCCTTCGAAGATTGTGTGAAGATGCTTGCAGAGATTGGCTCAAGGTTCCTGTCCGACGCTAGATCCTAAAAGGGTTAGATTATTACATAAGCCTCGATTTTGCCGCTTTTCGCCTCAAAACGGCTCGTCCACGCTCACCTGTCTCTACCTGCCGACATCAAGCTGCAATCTTCGTCGCAACACCATCAATCATCTTAAACCTCTATATGAGGTCATTTTTTCCCTTTTTATCCCCTTTTAGCTGTCGAATGTGTATCTTCTAGTAGTTCGTGCGTGTTGTGGGGACATCTCTAGTCGGGTTGGGCATTTCACCATCACCCAAAGCCATTGTGAACAATTCGAGAACACTGTTGCTAACTGAAGATATCACGACTTCCACAAGCTCACCCCCCTCCCCCGGCGTTTGACCGAAGCTATTCCCGGAAAAATAAATAGTCTACAAAAAGACTATTATTTTCTTTTCTTTTTACAAAGATTAGACAAATAATCGCCGGGATGGCGTCACGACGGTCGAGGTCCCCATCGACCCCTTCTGAGGGTGAGATCATCGAGTCAGGCTCAGACACGAAGGCAACTACGTCACAGACTTCTGTTAATGGCATCAACGTTGACCGTAATACCAGAACCAATATTTCTGCGCCAAGATCCCCCCATTCTCTTTCCAGACCGTTTCGCCGTGAAAGATCGAGATCGAGATCGAGAACAAGATCCCGCTCCCCATATCGTGGATCCAGAACCGAAAACCGAAGACGCGATGTTGATTATGACTCCGAATGGGACCGTCGGACGATCCCCTCGAGCCGTTTAGCTTCCAGATACGATGATAGATATCAAAGCGGATACACTTCGAGACGGCGTAGGAGAGGGTATTATGATCATGACCGAGACGATGGTCATTATGATTCTAGAAAACGCCCTAGGACCCAAAGCAGATCTCCGTTCCGCGATACTAGAAGTTCGAAGCAGTATTCAGGTGATGAACGAGATTATGATAGTGATAGACTATCTAAAACCCGTGACCGGAGTGGCCAACCCTACATGGGTGATAGGAGGCCGTCTTCTGAACAGTTAGTGAGCGAGAGGGGGAAGTCCCCAAGTGACGCTCGAAAAGAGAGACAACAGGCTGAATCTCGAGGAAATCAGATGCAACAGTCTTCATCCGCCGCTGCTCAATCGGGTCAATGGGATACGTATGTCCCTCCTCCCAATTACGGAATGATTCCTAACAGCCCTCCTAGTACACCGGCTTCAAACAATGATCATGGCACCAACGGGTCCCCGCCGGAACCGGTTGACGAAGCTACATTGATTGAGCAACGCCGAAGGCGCCGTGAAGCCATCAAAGCTAAGTATCGCGACCAGTCAACACCTCTCATCGTCAAGGCCCTGGAAGCTGGGAATGAGACAGACTCCACAGTACAGAATTCAGGTCAACCTATGGCTCGTAACGATACAGCAACAGGTCAGTCAAATGTCCAGTTCAATGATGGTAGAATTGAGACTAACTCATCTACAGTTTCGCATATTAGTACCGCTGCAGAGACGCCCGAGGATACGTCCGGCGCCCCATCGCCCACTGAACTAAAGGTTTCGCGAGATGAAGATCTTGCTAACGCAAACGTCGTGATCACCAACGGTGCTGACAAGGATGACTCGTCTGTGGACTATGATCCAACCCAAGACATGAGAGAGGATAAGATGCGCCACGATAAAAGACATTTTGGGGAAGACATAACGTCTGGTGCTTACGATGAAACTAAAGCAGCGAAACAAGATGTCCTTGTACCCAGCCCAAACACAGACAACCCAGCCCAAGTTAAACCGAAAAACCTTCTAGATATAGATATGTTTGCGCCGGATGATGATATGTTTGCTGAGGCTCCTAGTACCTCCAAAGCCCCCGAAGTCGCTTCAAAGCCAAGTGTACCACAGGAACTTGACATGAGCATGATGGATAACTGGGATGACCCTGAAGGTTATTATATTGTCATGTTGGGGGAGCTGGTGGATGGGCGGTATCATGTGCAGCAAAATTTGGGTAAGGGTATGTTTTCTTCAGTGGTTCGTGCTACGGATTCGAAAACGGGAAAGCTCGTCGCTATTAAAATCATTCGCAATAATGATACTATGAGAAAGGCCGGTATGAAGGAGATAGAGCTATTGGAGCAGTTGTTGGCGGCAGATCCAGATGACAAAAAACATATCATCCGATTCGAGAGGCATTTCGAACACAAAGGCCATCTTTGCATGGTGTTTGAAAACCTTAGCATGAATCTTCGCGAAGTACTAAAAAAGTTTGGCCGTGATGTCGGCATTAATCTCAGAGCCATCCGTGCCTACGCCCACCAGATGTTCCTAGGCCTGAGCCTTCTCCGCAAATGCAATATCCTCCACGCAGATCTAAAACCCGACAACCTCCTCGTCAACGAAAACCGAAACCTACTGAAAGTATGCGATCTGGGCTCTGCCTCCCCCGCCTCTGAAAACGAGATTACCCCTTACCTTGTCAGCCGTTTCTACCGGGCTCCAGAAATAATTCTAGGAATTCCATATGATTATGCCATTGACATGTGGTCCATTGGTTGTACTCTCTTCGAGTTGTATACTGGCAAGATTCTATTCACAGGCCGCACTAACAACCAAATGCTCCGCTCCATAATGGAATGCAGGGGAAAACTCCCGCCCAAATTCCTCCGGCGAGGCACTCTTACCTATCTCCATTTTGACGACTTTTTGAACTTCCGTAGCGTGGAAGAGGACAAAGTCACCGGCCGGATGGTGACAAGAGTCTTGGACTTCAAGAAGCCGACGAGGGATTTGAAGACGAGGTTGATGGGGAAAGGATCGAAAGGTATGAGTGATTCAGAAGGGAAGGAGCTCATGCTGTTCATTGATCTGTTGGATCGGTGCTTAAGTATCAATCCCGAGAAGAGGTGTACACCTTCAGAAGCGTTGAAGCATCCATTCATCACTAGGGGTAAAATATGAGATGAAAAGGATTGGGAGTAAATAGGGGTGGGTAGATGAAATCTAGATATGGGGCGGTGTTATGGGTGTGGATTTCGCTTCCTTTCACTCCCTCCGTTCACCTAGTTTACAAATGTGACGGGTGACAAGATGATAGATCTACCTCGTCCCCTTGTATTTTTCCCCCCTTGGTGTATATAACCTATTTTAATATTTTATGTGGTTGCCCTGTGGCACTACCAAATAGATTTAACAGATCTTGAGTATAAACTTTTTTTGCAACTTCTTCCCTTTTTGACTTCTCGCTGGGTTCTGCCATAGTTATTTTGTGTGGCAACGTATCCCTGAACGTTTGTTGAATGACTAGTCAAATCCTCCGTATTATATCGTAGGATAATCGAAAATTCAAATCCACAGCCTCCATATCAATCCGGGTAATCGTATATACAACGTAATAACGACCTATCCCGCGTTTGCATGAATATCACTTTCCCCTTCAACTAGTGCTCCCCTATCTTCGACGGGGTACTTATCCAAGCTCTCATACCACTGAATTACCGAAGCGATCAAGAAGGCCCATGAAGCCCAGAAAGTAGAGAGACTGGCCTGATATTGTAAACCGGAGTTGTTATATGCAAGGAGAAAAATGCCAGAGAGCTGTTTTGGATTCCGGAGTGGGTATTTCTGTTAGTTCTATACGGAGGTAGTAGAGATAGTGCCAAAAAGAAAAGCGAAACGAACAGTGAACCCGATTGAACCTATAAAATTCCAGAGGTTAATGTGCCATCCCAGTGTTCGAAGAGCCGGAGTGTACCAGTTCTTCTGCGTCTCAAGCATGAATAGCGTCCTAGAAAGAATGTTAGATATTATGTCCGTGTGAGAAGACAATTCTCGAACAACGGGTTGAAGGGTGGACGGGAAACTGGCAGGCCTGATTTCGAAAACTTACGAGCTCATAATAAATCCCACTCCACCTATTATCTGAGAGGCCCGGTACACGCCGTCGGCCAGATTTTCGCTAAGATGGTTGTTAATCCCAGGTAAAGCGGTAACGCCAGCTATCCAAAATATTGTAGCCCCGATAAGTTGAGCCGAGGAAGCTAGAAAGCCTAGCTCGTAAATATAATGAGTTCGAAGGTCTCTCAGTGTTGGGAACCACTTGAAATTCGGTGACCTAGGAACCTCTGTGGTCGATTGAGCTAGCTCACCAGACGAGTCGTCGATACTTGGTGTTTCCCTCCCACCCCGTCCTACAAGATTTCTCTTGTTTACATGATGGTGGGTGCAGTTCTTCGGATCAGGGTAAATTCGAAGCAGGGATTCACCTTTCTCTGATAAGACATGTTCCAGCGCCCATCCAAAGCAGCCAGTGTCATGTATATTGATTGCTTCTAGTACGAGCAAAATGCTTCCCACCTCAAAAATTGTTGCGCCCACGAAGGCTGACACTCCCCCTGCGCTCAAAGTTTCGTATTTCAATTCCGACTTTGGTTGGACAAGTGGTAGGAAAACAAAGAATGAGTCTATGACCCAGACAATGGAACCAAACGCGAAAACCACTGCTGTTACATACGAGATATCCCAATAGGGGTATTGCACTGCCATGCGTTTGATGCCTCTCAGCGTTGCCTGAAAGGAGTCCGTCCGTTTGAGTACGATGTGTACACCTTTTCCCGGCTCCGTTGGACGTTCAACTATTAGTGCATGTCTACCCTTTCTGTTATCTCGTGACCTCCATTTGTATCTGACATCTCCTTTCACTCTCCTTTCATGTCGTTGCTGATCTTCAGTGGGATGTATGTTCTCAGCAGGTGGGTGTTCTTGAGCATGCACAAAAGAAAACGGTTTGGAGACAACATGTGTAGGATTCAGCCAAGATATTGGCCCTCTGATATGGGAAATCCGTAGCTTCTCATCCTGAAACGGATGACGATCAGGGTTGATGGTTTTGCTTCGGCTTTGGGAATTGCCCATTGTGATTGTGAAAGGACTGGTACGCCATACATCGCGGATTTGCCAATTCAGGGTTACATATTCGGGTGCAAGAGCATGTAGTCTTCGTTCTTGACAGAACTGAACGAACTACCCTGAGGATTTCTGAGAGTCTGGCCTCTTGCTTGACTTGAATTTTCCGCTATGGAACCTGAAAGGGGTGCGCTTGCTATGTTAGTATACACAAAGGAGCTGGGGTATACGGTTCGGATTTACCTCACGGGACAGATAAGAGAAATGCACGCATATATGCCTACAATGTTAGTATATCCTCTTCTTTAGGGATGCAATGATGTGTGTTGGATCGCTGGAATTACCATGAAGTCTTTGTGCTGCTGCGGCTCTGTTGAAAAGGTTAACCACGCCAAGGCTGTGACTGGCCAAGACCCGGGGCAAAAGCTTAATCTCAAAGGGGAAAGTGTTAGAACTTGTCCCCAGGTCGAAGGCATCAACCACCAAAACTGCTCCATGTCTCGTGAACCTGAACCTGCAACTTCCACCGCTAGGTGGGAGCTTTCTTTGCATACGCTGTATTCATCCGCAGAATATCTGCCCACCACCCAGGAAGTATTAAGCTGCATGCGATGATGTGACTGTACCTATTTATGTCCTTCAATACCCTTCCTTGTGCAAAGGAAGGCATCAACTCAAAGGTACTCAATTCCTTATGGCTGTTCTGGGCATGCTGATGCTATTGCACTTTTTGTTTTGAAGTAAATGGCTTTGCTATCACCCAACGATGAGACGTTTATGCACTGGACACAGGACAACCGCTGATCAGCACGGCATTTCTTTTGTCAGTATATGCGCCCCGGGCCATGCCGGCATCCATTAACCTGTGTAACCAAGGACGCACTCTGTGTTCAATCAAAAGAGCCTTCTGAAGATGTTTGCATAGCCACCATTTAGAAATGGCAGTTGGCCGGATTAAAACATTGATCACCCGAAAAAATGCGCCTTAGATCAACGGAATCCGTACACTCCTTCCTAGGCTTAGCTCAACGATCAAATGATTGAATGGGACTTACAAGTTTGAATGAAACGTTCCTGAACAAAATCTTCTCTGTCCATGGAATCGGATGACTCTTGTCGCAAAAGCAATGTTCCTATCCCCAGGAATTAATTAGAATTGGATGGCACGGATATGGAAAAAGTCAGCCATTGTGCAGGAGCATTTTGATATCATTTCTTTGTTCGCTGAAAAGAAGAGCCAAGCCGAATGTGGTGGAACAGGTATGCAATTGGCCTTTTCGGGAGTCTGGAATCAAGATTGATAAAACCCAAAAGAAATCGTGCCAAGCGAACGACAAAATGCATTTTGAGTTCAATAGCTGACATCTTCAAATTGGGTCATTTTCGCTATTGTTGGTCGAACCAAACAAAGATAGCAAACCCCAAGGCGTGGGAACTCGGGATTTGTTTGTCTTTTTAACTTCTCGTCAAAAGCCTCCTAAATTCCACGCCGCGAAGCTGTTATGTATGGTAACATTGCAGCTCAATCGGTTGGTCCGGCCCCGATCCAAATCGGCCTTGAGGAGTCTGGGATCGTCTCGGTGGATAAAAGGTGGTTACCAAATCCTTACCAAATGATTTCTGCGCCCAAATAGACTTCTCCAAGGACAAAGCCTCCAAAATGAAGGCAGGGGGCGCTCATGTGTCGGTCGGAAGAGTCTACATTGTGCTCTGACAGATCCGGTAGAACGAGCTCGGGAGCTTCCTCTAGGTCGGGACCGTCACGATTTCTAACTTCCCTCTTTGAATGACTGATTTCCAAAAGTCAAAATGCCATACGGAAATAGGTGGAACATGGAAGAGTGGTTCCAACACCTACGGAAGCTACCACAAAAAAGTGTTCAATAATCTGAATTTCTGCAAAATCAGAATAACGCTTCGATAACTAGAGGTCGTATGCGTTGACATCAGTGTTTCTGACAATGATGATCTCATTCTCCCACACACTCAACGGTAGAAAGGGTTCCTAATCCCATGCGGAATGGCTAGATGTCGGAAGGAAGTTGTGCACAAACCTTGGAAATTGTTCTAGCTCAATATCCCCTCATTGACGCAACAAACAGATGGGCATTGCCCAGGCTCTAATGGAAGTCTATAACCGCTTGGAGAGCACGAGCCATATCACACATCCTAACCGTGCCATGCTTACTCACTCTCTCTAGTGAGTGCGCCACAGTGTACGGAAAACCACACCATACAGAAAATATTATCAATATCTTCATTCTTCATCTTCAAATAATCATCATTAATTATAACCATGTCTAAATCTTCTAATTACACTGAGGAGCAGTTGCAAAGAGCTGTTGACATGTACAAAAGCAATTCAAAATTAAAAATCACATCTCTGTCACAAGAATTCAAAGTCTCATATGTCACCTTGTATGAGAGGATCAACAGGAAGAAATCAAGAACTATGAGGGTTTCACTGAATAGAGCATTGAATGACAGCCAGGAAGAGACAATTAAGATATAGATTCATCAGTTGAATATTAATTTTTGCCTGTTCATCATCAAGCATATTGAAGCTGCTGTGAACCGCATGTTGAGACAGCATCATACAGATCCAGAGACTGCACCTCCCACAGTAAGCAAGATGTGAGTATATCAATTCATCAAACATCTGTCAGATTATGAACAGATCAAGCAAAAGCCCATGAATTCAAAACAGATGTCTTGTGAGGATATAAGCTTCATTATCAACTGATTTGATTGATATGAAGCTGTCTTCAATCAATATCATTTTTTTCACTGTGATATCTACAACTTTGATGAGATTGGATTTCAAGAAGGAGAAGAACATGGACAGTTGGTTATAACCTTCTTAGAAGATGTGAAGAATATCCTTACACCTGGTTTGACAAGGCAGTTGAACAAGATCTTCAAGAGTAGCATGGTCCAGGCGGAATTGAACACGCACCATGAGGATGAACTTGCAGATCATTATTGAGCAAATAGACATCAGGTCATCAAATCCTCCCGCAGGCAGGTGCAAGTAGATGAAGTCCTCACTATTAAGAATGCCAATCGCAAGATTGCAACCCGTAGAGCAGATGAGATGAAAAAGATGTTCAATAAGAATCTTCAGTCAATTGGAATCAAACCTACAAAATCTACAGCCACTCAACCACAACAAGATAATTCTATAGAATCTCAACCTACAGTGGATTCTACACCTTCTAATGAGTATATAGATAATCTTTATGTTATAGATAGATGTGGTGATGATTATTAATTAATTTTTGAAGATCACTATATTCAAAATATTTTCTGTACAGTGTGGTTTTCTGTACGCTGTGGCGCACTCACTAGAGAGAGTGAGTAAGCATGGCACGGTTACTAGGCTACCATGAAGAAATTACGACAGTTTACTCCGTACAATTTCTCGTGTTGCGACAAATGGCAGGGAAGAAGCGAGGGTGGAAGGGAAGAGGGAAATTAAGCAGAATTACGGCTGTCATCCTTCCTGGATTCAATAATTTGCGCTTTCATCCGGGTAAAGAATTATAATAAATAATAGGTGCCCGAACGCTGTGCTGTGATTGATGGTGCCTATTTCCCAAGGTCGTTTCCCGTGGGGATTTGGGATTTAATTTCGAGAACTTGTTTTCTTGAAAGGACTAGAGAAATCGGATACTGATCCATGGGCATTGATGAAACATGTTGATCATCAAGTTTCTGGTTTAAACATAACTATGTTCAGCTGATCTTTTCTGGAAGTTCACTAGACCAAACTGTCATCAAGACAAAATTCCGACACATTTCCCAAAACTTGGCTGTGCAACGGCCGGGGTTGCAGGATCGACTTCAGGTGCGGAGATATATCCTGTTTTTGGTTGTGGAAATCCATCCCCTGCAAGCCGTTTTCCAGGTCTGTCCAGGGGCGGGATGGATTCTTTTCCCTTTCATACATTGTCGTGAGACTGATCGACGATGCACCCAGCCCCTGGAAATCCATCCTTCCTCTGGTTCAAATGATAACATCCAAAACAACTTATCCGGTTGACATCAGCGCTTAAATCAAGGAGCTATCTTTGTTTTGGCTTGGGTGTCATTTTGGTGATGAAAAGCCGCAAGATATTACGAAATTCTAACCTACCCCCGAATACGAAGGACCCCTCCACACTTCAAAATATCCGTCCGACCTATCCTTTCGAATGTGCAGTGGAGCATGGACATCAATAGACCCAATCCTATTCACAAAGATACAAGAATAGACTTCGAGATGGTGGATTGGTGCGTGGCCCGCAGAAGAGATTCAGAGGAGCTGGACATCGTGCTTGCACTTCCTATTTGCAGGGAAGCTTTCGATTGTCCATCAAAAGGCTAGACATGACTGTTTTTCTCATGGACTTTTTCAAAAACCTTGCTTGTAACGAAGCGATGTTGGTGGTTGTAGGGTACAGCGCCGTCGTTACCGCTGCCAAAGAAGTCGCATGTAGAGCACAGTTGAGGCGCTCAAATAGGAAACCGAAATAGTCCCCGTAACAAAAGGCCCGCTGACTGGCTGGTTGACGCATTGCTCCCATGCCAGCCTGCCATGCATGGAGACAGCATGATCTTATGCCCATCAAGAAGGATGATTGGCAAATCCAATGAAAATGCGGGCCCGTGCATTCAGGCCTGTCCATTCCTATTCATATCCTTCCACACTCTGCTGAAGGAATGCATGCTTGCCAAACATGCACACTTGTGGAAACCAACAAGTCGCTTTAGTGTTCTCATTTGATGGCTGGGCTATTGCGAATCACCATTCAGTTAAGAAGGGTTGCTTGATGACAAACAGCTGGCAAACCCAACCAAGCAAAATCCAGCCCCGCCAGCCACCCAAACCAGCCCAGGCTTGCCCAGCCTCACTTTGGTTTGTCCACACCTGCTGGGGGGAACACCGGTCCCCATTTTTTATCCCAGCTTAATAGGTCGAGTGTTTGCATTATCGCAATGTTTCTTCTGCAGAGATACTAGCCGCATCCGATTAATTGTGTCTCGCCCATACAAAATTCATACTTTATCAGCCCTGTTTCTTCCAAGGTTCCCGTGCTGGGTGTACAGATCCCATTGCATTTCGCTAAGAATCAAAGCGCTATCTCAACCTTGCCTCCTTTGTGCATGCTACCTGATGATTTCGTCCAGAAAAACATGGCTCGTTAGTGCCCACATCAGCATATATCATGTGATTTCGATGTTGGGCTAATTCCATGGGATGTATCAAATTCACCTGATTCATGCCGTAAGCGCTGCCTACATGAATGCATGGATTCTAGCTACTGAGCAAATTTCAGAGAGTCAACTTGTGTATGGCCCAGATTCCGGACCAAGACCAGGAGGCTAGGGTGATAATCACGATCGCATTGGAGAACTATAATAATAAGTATAAAGCAGTGATCGTACATTGAGGCAATTAAAATGCGGGACAAAAATAGTGTTTCGGAAAGCCCCGAAATCCGAAGCGGCAACAGGACGACTTGAATCTCTAATCTTGAGGAATCATGATCATTTCGCCTCTTCATGCCCTTCTACGGTTCTTACTGTCACAGCGCCCTACTGTAGATCATGTGATATGTCATCCAACACGCAGGTAAGAGCGGCAAAATATTACTTGTCACTGATGATTGGCCAGTATCCAAAGCGGTCCCCAAAATGACGTATACACGCCTCTGAGATGAGGCTGAAGTGCCAATCAGCAGGTCCAAAACGACTCAAAAGTGTTCAACATCGCCTCCACCAAAGGAGTTCACCAAGGGAAGAACGAGACCTTGGAATCTTCCAGAACCCAGCTAATGGGAGTTTTGCCAACACTTTGGAAAGTCACGGCATCAATCTGATAACTAATAGCCTGGTTGAAAGGTGGTAGACAAGCCTGTGGGACGGAAAGGGACCCTCAACAAAAACAATCTCATGCTGCTGATGACGAGCAGGGGGTTTCTGCCTGCAATCTGAATGATTCTTATGTGTCTATTATTATTCTTGAATCCAGCGAATCCAGCCTTTAGTTAGGATTAAATTTATTACTAAGAACCATGAGTTAGTCGAGCATTGCATGAGACTCCTCAAAGCCTCGCCTATTATTTTGGTGGCAAGTGAGGGGTAGGGTACGCGCCCTGCACCTTTCGAGTGCTATGGGACCTCATTGGATGTTCGTGCCCGAGCGGCGAGAGGAGGTAGGTACAGTAGTAGTACATCGGGAAAGCTTCGACAGCCCCCTTAAAAATAACTCTAGTTCTTCGGACAGAAAAAAAAGGCGCTACAACAGTTCTACAGCGTAAGCGTTTTGTCCAAGCGACTCTCCTGCTGGGGATGATCGCCCTCAGTAATTCTCAGCACGCTCTTCTCACCTCACCTCATCGCGGGATGGAAAACTTCTTCCAGCCCACCCACCGACCTGCAGAGATGCCAGCCACTTGGATGTTGGAACGAGCGGCTGGTTGGGCATTAAAACTCCACCACCCACCTGGACAGCTCACTAGAATTGTCATACTAGCCCTAGAACATGCCAATCAGTACTTCAAAAAATTGTTGATCAATACCAGCTCCACGGACGCCATCATCCAGTAACCCCAGGAATGCATCATCCCATGAACTTTTGGGTTTGATGGTCCGCCATCGTCGAACCATCACAACTTTCACAAGCCACCTGGGGAATAATTGGGTGTGTCAGAACGGAGTACGGAGGGAGTACTGGGTAAAAGATGAACTCGGTGGCGGACGGATTCCTCATAAACAATAAAACTTCTGGCCCTCTCATTACTTTGGGTATTTACAGGCAAAACTGAATATCATTATTAAACCCAACCGGGAAATTCTTAACGCTCCCACGAACCTCGCCCTAAAAGCGGATGTTTATTTCGAGTTTTACTTTTGTTACTGATATAATATCAGCTCAGAAGATTCATCCGTCAAGCTTTTTGCGGGCAGCGTCATTTACAATAATCAGTTCGATGATATTTCAACTACAAGGTTGAGGAAAAGGATCGTATCTGCCACTGCTTGGCGTACCTCTCGCCTGATAAGAACTGCGCGGAAAAACAAGGGCGGCCTGTCGAAACAACAGAAATGAGAGGGGACCTTTTGCACTCGGTCATTTTGTTGATAGGAGTCTTTAATGTATGGCCTGTTTGAACTTAAAGAGTTTTGCAGCATTTTGTCTGCCATCGGCGCCTCTGAAACCGTTTCTAATTTAGCACACTGAAGCCTGTTCGAGAGACGGGCCCCCGCATTGGATGGTGGCAGAAGGATGACGGTGCACAAATCTATGACGGACATGGATGATATGGTCAACAGACCAAAACACGGGCGATTCTTGGAAGTCGCTCATGGTTCCTGAGTTTCGGGGGTTACCAAACTACCAGAAATAATCGCCGGCTGGCACGAGTAGTTTGTTCGCTCGAGTTAGTTAACGATAATAATTATGAAATAATCAACGGAGCAATAATAATAAATAATAATAATGTCTGTCTCTCAGTCCTTGCTTGAGTGTCATGGGCCAGGCCCAATCAGCTAGCTTACTACAAAACTGCGAACCCTGCACCACCACCACCACCACCACCACCACCTTGCTTTGGAAGACTGATGACTGTGCTTTGATACCACTTTGCGCAACTAGGACACAAGGGGCGGTGTTGCTAGCCTGTGCTGGAAACTACGCTCAAAGAAGGGCACGGAGCATCGCGGCCCGCCACGTATTGGAGCAATCGATGATTCATTCGGGGCGATGAATGGCCCGCCCCTAAGGACACTTCTGCCTCCTTGACTCGATGCTCTTTTCATGCTTGCTCAAGAGGTCAATAATATAATAATAATAATAGTAGGATCATCGATGATAGACCAGCACCCAGGCAGCGCTAGCCAAAAAAAGCGAAAACGCCCACACCACACACCAACAACGCCGCCCATAGCAAGAACACTCACTAATAACTTATGACAATGCTCGCCGCAGCACAATTTGGCTTTCCGTTTGCCCAGTCTTCGAGATTCCCTTTTTCTTTCGATTCTTTGCGGTATACCCGGTCAGTTAATGCCTTAAAAAGAACATAAAATAAATTCATGGAAATTCAAGCAATAGCTACAATATAGAATAAAATATATATATAATATGAAAATATGAAAAAAAATATGAAAATAGAATAAATTGGCTGATACAGCGTAAGTCATTATTCAGTATGGGCCCCCAAGTTGTCCCTGCTCGTAGAGGGGCTAAAATAGTCCCTTCTCTGGCTTCGTTGGTCGTATGGTTTCGTGAGAGCATCCACCATCTCCAATCAGAATCATCTTTCATTTCTGGAGTGGGCTTGATCTTTCTTTCATTCTTTGCTTTTACTTTTCTTTTTTAGTTCAATAATTATTATTAATGGCGTGTACACTAACAGTTCAGGGCGGGCTTCTGTTGGCGCTGCTCGGCACAACCTTCATGCAAGCCTGCGCCTGCAGAGGTAGTTAACTATATGGTAAGTTAATGGGTTCAAGGATCAAGCTAGCTAGCATGTTTCCAAGCCTCTTTCTCGCAGGTTCAAGAATCACGGCTGGAGCCATCGACCGCGCTAAGGGAGTGGGACGGGCTCTTCGAGTCTTTGGTTATTTGCCCCGTACCCCAGCTAGCCCATGCTTCATGCATTGGCTCCGGGATAAGACAGGAGTGCTGGGACTTCCCGCAAGTGCCGACTCATCATCAATTTCGCGGTGTTCTGAGATGATTGGCCCACGCAGCATGACCAATAAGATAGGTGACTGGGATGACCCCAAAGGCGACTCTTGTTGTGAGTCCTTGGTCCCTCGCACAACGACGGACTCACCTTCACACCGTTCCATGGGCGGATGGTGTTGTGGTACCCTTGCCTCCTATTTGCAGCCTGATTCGCCTTGCCTCAAGAGTCAATGGGCGAGAGTTTTAAAAGGAGCAGGGGCCGTGGCATTGTGGAGATGTTTGATTTATTTCTGAATTGTGTGTGGGCCCAGACTAAACCGCATGCAAAAGCTTCAAGATCATACGAAGGAGGGAGAGGAAGTTAGTACTTTGACCCATCGCATCGTCAGGAGAGGAAGTGTGGGAACTTGAACTACTCGCAATCATCCCTAGTTACCCCTACCCTACCGCCGTTGTTCGCCTTCCATGATCAGCGATGGCCTCAATAATAGTGTTCTTCTTCTGCCTTTAACTTCATCCTCATCTACCTGCCACAATCCCTCCTTTTCCTCCCTCCTCCCAGCCCAGTCAGTCAGTCCCCTTCTTTTGTTCCTCCATAGCTTCCTTCTCCCCCTTCCTTTTCTCTCCCCCCTTATCTTTTAACCACCTGCTTTCCAACCTCTCTCTCTCTCTCTCTCTCTCTCTCCTTTTTACTTATCCTCGTCCTCATCCTCGTCGAACAAACTCATTTTAATTGTTTTGGTTGTGGGCATTTTTAGCTGGGCAAGATTGCCACAATCATTCCTTTGACATATATATATATATATATTGGACGAACTACTTGTTTTCTTATATATTATACAACCAGCTTTGAGGATCAGGATCCCCAATTACCTTTTGGACTTCAGATTTGCCATATCTCCTCATTTGAACCCATCCAGTCACCACTTGTGGAAATTGACATTGCATCACCATTTGTTTACTGCGCCTCCGTCCGACCCCCAGCTCCGGCCCGGATAAATGTACCCCACAATGTTGCCAACACCCCCACAATCACCACCGCCTGTTTCAATATGCGATGCTCCAGAGGATAGGCTCGGTTTGCTGCTCGCCAACCGGCTGGAACTCACAAGCGTTCTTGGGGTAGGTGCCTACGGTGTTGTTTATTCTGCTATCGACATCCATACCCATGTGCCGTACGCAGTCAAAGCTCTCAACAAGGCAGGACTCGACTCCAGGCAGCGGAAGTTTCAGCAACGGGAAATCAAACTCCATCATTTGGCTAGTCAGCATCCCAATGTGGTTTCTTTGGTCCGCATAATGGATTCTCTTGATTGTACTTTTGTTGTTATTGAGTTTTGCCCAGAAGGCGATCTTTTCTCCAATATTACTGAGAGAGGTCAGTTTGTTGGAAACGATTTCCTTGCCAAGCGAGCTTTCCTCCAGATTTTGGATGCCGTGCAGTATTGTCACTCCATTGGAATCTATCACCGGGATCTCAAACCAGAGAATATTTTGGTTGCCGATAATGGAATGACGGTTAAGCTGGCCGACTTTGGCCTTGCTACAACCGATTTCTACACCTCGGATTTCGGATGCGGCTCGACGTTTTATATGTCACCAGGTAATTTTCGATACTTCATAATCTTCTTGCCTTTTCCTCGTCCGGCCCTAACACACAAACACTTAACTACTTTCACTTTTCACTCTACTAACTGCGATATAGAGTGTCAAGAATCTACGACTCGGCCGTATGCTTCTGCACCAAATGACGTATGGAGCCTAGGTGTCATCCTCGTCAACTTAACCTGTGGGCGGAATCCTTGGAAACGAGCATCCACCGAAGATTCTACTTTCCGTGCGTATCTTAAGGACCCGGAATTTCTCCGGACAATTTTGCCCTTATCATTCGAACTGAATTCCATTTTGAGGCGCATTTTCGAATGCGATCCCCAAAAGCGAATTTCAATTTCGGAGCTGCGGAAATTGATTGTGGAGTGTCCGAGGTTCACTCTGCGGCATGGAACTCCCGTATCTATGCCACCAACACCACCTTGCCAGAGCTATCAATACCAGAAGGATTCCCGTTGCCCTGTTAGTTTTGTTCCTTACCCAGTCTCTCCTCCAGCAGAGCCCATCGAAGCCGAATATTCTATGTCAGCCATTTCTGAGGCTTCTCTCTCCGACGGCGGCTCCTCTATATCATCTTCTTCTTCGTCTTCATCCGAGTATGCGCCTTGCAGCCAAGCACCGAATCACTTGAAATATGTGCCTCCCATGCCATCTAATTTCTGGGGATCCTTCGTACCTTTCACCGACATTGCTGAGAAGAGTCTTGCACAGCAACATCCCATGGAACCCGTCATTGCCGTATATTGAGGAAGATCCATGTCTTCGTGACCTCATTTATTCCTTTCACCATGGACATTATTGGAAACCTACATATTTTTTTTTTAATGCAGAACCACGGAACGAATATCTTTTTAACGACCAACTCAACAAAATACGGAAAGTGCCCATGCACAAGGAATTCATACCCTTTTGGAACATCCCGCGGGATTTACCTATTATGTCCTAATACAACTTTATTTACCACAGGAACCAACAACGGTTGCTGGTCCTGTCTTACCCGCACGGACAGCTAGTGGAGTTGTGAATTCCTGCCCCTTCCCTGAAATATCAATCATTATCCGATTTGGAAATCCCTTTTTCCTAACATGTTTTCTCGACTGCCATTACCTTCCATCAGTGTACATGCTTCGCTCATTATCTCCTAATCTTCGCTTCCCGGATTTGTCCTTCTTTTTGTTTACTCCTCGGGGGCTATTTCCTTTCTTCTTATGCCCTGTAATAACATATCTTTTTGACTTCTTCGCGTCCGCACGGAGCTGCACGAGGTTTGACTTCTTGTCGAGAGTTTGTCTTGGTCTACTAAGGGTGCAAATTACTACGTTTGGCGTTGGATTTCGCGTACCGTAACAAAACGAAAGTACGGGCAGGACCGTCCTGGAATTTCATTTTTCTAATGGCGCCATATAGAAAGGGGTTGTTTTTATTCTTCGGTTTGGCGGCTCGTGTCCATTGTTGCATATTTTTTTTTCGGAGTTGGTCGGTATCTTGTTGAAGGATTTTTGCGATTTTCTGGTTTTTTTTTTCCTTTTTCTTCTCCTCACCTTTGTCCATTATTCTCATGTCCGCTTTCACGTCTTGCGCTCCAATGCTCGTACATTACTGATACCCAACTTGGTTCGTCTTATTACTTTTACCCGAGAACACGGTTTACAACCATATAGGGCTTCCGCCTCACTATTTCCAACACACTATTGTTCATTTTACGTACCTGGATTTGCTCACTACCTGATCGTCGATTTATCTGTCCATACAATAATAACTTGCCCTGCATGCATCTATGCATAAAGGCCAGGCGCTGTTACCTACAAGCGTGTCGGAATAAAGGCCCATATTGTAAGTAGGAAACTTTTCAATCGGTGAATAGTAAGGCCTCTATGCAGTCAGTTTACAGAGCCTCGTTAAGTTGTGATGCATGGGTCGCTCCAAATTATTTTCGTTCCCAGTTTGATAGGATACCGCTTCAAGTTCTGTATGCAATGCCAGGTGAGGTGCATGCTCCGAATACGTGGCACAACCTACCGGATACATATCGCGTATTATACACTCAAGCACGCCTTTTTCGAATTCAACGAATCTCCCCACTAGATCCACAGCGGTTTCCTAGATAGAGCTTGCCATCGACTCCTCCATTTGATTCGACAGGTGGAACGGGGGGGAAATGAACTAGTAAATTAAAGGAGTGCAGCACAAAAACGCTTTCACAAAATACAAGTCTACATTCGCATATAATTAACAAAAATATATCTCAAGACTAACGCGAAACCCATCCAATCACCAGTACCGCCGCTTACATAACTACCAAACAAACAGAGCTTACATATTCCGCCCTCCCGTAACCATTATAGTCTGTCCGTTAACATAGCTAAGTAGGGGACTCACAACGGCCAAAATCGACCTTGCCGCCTCCGTGGGAGTGGCGCCTCTTCTCAGCGGGATATCGGGGTATTTATCCTTCTCGTCGGTCCCAGCCCTAGCCGCCAACTGGGACGAAGGGATTCCAAGAGCGACCTTCTCACCGTCAGGTGTTGTGATGAAGGCACCACCCTCCTTGGCTGCGGTCAGCCGTGTAAGCACCAAGCCGAAGGCAACGGTGTTGGCACGCACGCCGAATTGTGGACCCCATTCCTTCGCGATGGTCTTGGTAAGGCCGACCATGCCAGCTTTGCCGACGGCGTAGTTGACTTGACCACTGTGTGCGCGTTATTTTTAGTGACGGCGACCAGGGGACATTTCTTCGCGGGGGGGGGGGGGGTTGGTTTGAAACTTACGGGTTTCCGTGGATGCCGCTGGTGCTGCTGATGTTAACGATTACTCTATCCGCGCCGTCCTTTACTCTGAAATATGGAGCGGCGGCCTGGACGAGTTTGAAGGGGGCCGTGGCATGGACGGCGATCATGGTCTCCCATTGCTTATCAGAGAGCTATTATTAATAGCTTAGTTAGCCATTGCCCATATGTATCCGGCGCAACGGGTCCGCCGCATCTAAATATATATATAGAGTGTGGGCGGCGAGGAGCACGATTATATATTTAGCTAACCTTATGAATAACACCGTCCCATGTATATCCAGCGTTATTAACGATGATGTGAATCTTCCCATTGCCGAACTCCGCAGCTTTCTGCACTACCGTTTTCGCGTATGTTGGATCAGTCACATCGCCTACGACCGCAATGGCTCGTCCAGGCGAGGCATCATTGATCGATTTCACAACACCCTCTGCTTTTTCTGTTTGCAGTTGTGTGGACAATATTAGCTTCTCTTCCCTTCACTTCCCTTGAAGCAGACCGCAGAGCATTTTCGTTTACTCGAAATTTTCATGGAAACATAGGTTTATTTACTGACTGGCATCGAGATCCGCAACAACAACCTTCGCTCCCTCGTTGGCAAATAGGCGGGCGGCCTCAGCACCAACACCCTGGCCAGCCCCAGTAATAATAGCAACTTGGCCAGCAAGCAGACCTTGCGGGTAATTAAGGTGGGAGGACACCTGTGCAATGCGGTCTTGAGGGGCCATCGTGATAAGGTAACTAAATAACGGAGCAACGCTGAGAGGAAGCAGGGAAGTAGTGATTACTTCGGAAAACAATAAATTAACAAAGGGCACTCTGTAAATATATGTTGTACGCTGCGTAGTTACAAAAGAAAAAAGAGACAACGTTGACCGGCAATTGATTGGTTATGTAGGTCTTTGTCCAGCGGGGAATTGCTAGATGTTTGATGCTAGTTACCCCGGACCCTGCGCCGACTGCCGAGGGACAGCGATGGAGCCAACCTTTAATTGCCGCTCCCGATACTGGCGAGAGTCCGAAGACATAGAAACCTGCGAAGCATGACGGGTGAATCGTGCTCGGTTCCGGCACGATGGCTACAGGAATGGAGTTGAAATCACGGAGTTTTACCGATTATTAGAATGTGGTGTCAATCACGACGAGAGCTAGTTACCTACTTAAATCTTCCGTGAGTTTGCTAGTTGAAACTTTAATAGTAAAAAATCCGGCTATTCGACTCTAAATTTCAGATACAACCCATAATTGCAGAGAAAGAAACTTGATATCGTCTAATATTTAAAAATACATTGTACATTATGAGTTGAGTTTCTATAAATTACAGACACGGTAAAGCCAAACCGCTATGCCGATAGTCAAACGCCTGCAGAAGACCAGTCAAGTGTGCGACTGCCGCCATCACAACAAACATGTGAAATATCTGATGCGAGCTTCCTAGGATATCGAACCCGCCAGGATACCATAGTTCGGGAACTCGCGCAGCATATATAATGGCTCCAATTATATACAAAGCGCCCTGCAGGACGAGCCAGAATAGCCCTATTTGCTTCAACATCAGCTCTACCCCAAATATCGATACACCATGTAGCACAGGGAAGACCGCGGAGAGCCCCATGGAAATGAACATGCCAGCACGAAACGGCCGCCAGGCAGGGGTTCTGAAGCGTGGCGTGATCGAGACGATAGTGCACCCGGCCCCGATCAGCAATATCATGGTCCAGTACATTTTCATGAATTTGGGCACGCAGTAGAAGCCATAATACACGCTTGGGATAAAGCTGCCTGTGATCAAGGCAACGATGCCAATGTAGTCCATCGCGTTCCCGATGCGCGCCACCGCGGGAGAATGATTGGATATCGTGTGGTAGATGGAGCTCATACCAAGGCAGAAAGCGGCCCCGGCGAAGAAGCAGCCGAACGCGAGCACGTCGCCATGCGTAGCGCTATCATATCTGGTGGAAATGGCTTTGTAGAGGTAGAAGGCGAGTGGTATTGCTGATAAGGCTGGTAGCAGGTGGGTGTAGATATTCACAGTTTCGTTATGCACATATCCCAGTGAACGAAAGGACACGGTAAAAGAACCGGATGCCGGCCGGTATCCCGTGTGGATGAGATGGTTATCTCGTTGCCAACTTTCCAATTCATCCCAATGGACCGTCCGTCGTATCTTGGATGCTATCTCGGTGGCTGTATCCGTCGCTTTCTCTACCACAGACTCGTTTGCTGAGAAGCGGGAAAGATGCCCATGGCCTTCCCTCTGGCTGGAATTTTTTTTTGCCCGCTGGTACAGCGACATGCCGCTACCGTTGCGATTCAATCGAATGGAAGTAGTCTTGAGAACAAAAAACATTTCGAAGTTGATAAGGTTGAAGTTAACTAAGTTGGCCGGGGCGTTGTGCAAACATGACAAACATGCGGGTGGTTCGAAGCTTCCCCAGCGAACGCAATTATTCCATCCCATCACAGGAGATGTTGGGCCAGAATGGCGCGCCATGACCGAATCACACTCGGCACAACTTAGACAAAGATTGCTTTCTAAAACATGCGATGGAGGATACGTTACGACTACGAAAGCCTACTGCCAGCTGGGGCACAGCAAATAAATCCGGCGTTGATTCGCTCAGCCAGGTCGGGTTTATTTCAAAGGGAGATACAAAGTAGGTGATGTTCTCAAAATACCAAAGGGCGAATGGATATATATATATTTGCTTTCGTGACTAGGATTCACCAACGCGTTTTATGCAGGCTTCTTGAACCCAAGGCCCAGGAACAGTATTACAAGAAGATTGTCGACAGATATGTACACTTTTGCAACGTCCATTCCTGCAACCTCGATGCCGCATTCGGCTCACTCCCTAGAAATCGTTCTGAAGACCCAACCAAAAACCCTCCTGTACCTATACCAATAAGACCAGCGTCTAGAGCTAGGTCTCGGTCCCGATCTCCAAAACCACCAACCAAACCTACTTCTCCGACGGCGGGGACTAAAAGTACTACCACACTAGAGCAGCATGCACCGCCGGCTGAAGAACTTTCCGTCCTCCTCCTTTCCCTCCGAAAGCTGAGGGAAGCCATTCTAGCAACGAGCTCCAAAACCCCCATCGCATTTTCTCAGCGCGTCCATATATTTTGCATACGCGTATCAATCCTCGCTCAGCACCCACCTTCATACTACCCTCCGCTACAGCGCCTGCTGAAGCACCTTCACTCGTCTACCAACCCGCTGGACCCATCTGACCTACACGAGTTCACGACCTACTTGATCCTTGACTATGCTTGCCGACAAGACGATATGCCGGCTGCATATGAACTCCGAGCGCGTGCAAAAGTCGCATTCGGGTATCGCAATAATTCCGTTGACAATGTTCTCAGAGCGATAATGCATGACAACTGGGTGCTATTTTGGAGAACCAAACGGAACGAGAATGCATACACAAAGGCATTACTGAATTGGGCGGTCGACAGTGTACGCAGGCGAGCATTGAAAGCAGTGGGGAGGGCATATCTGTCAGTGGACGTGAATTATTTGGTGGAATGCTGCGCGGGTGAGAATGAAGGTTGGACATGGGAAACTTTGGTGGAAAGGGAAGGCCTGGGATGGAAAAGAGAAGGTGATAAAGTTCTGATAAGAGTCAGGAAGCCAAATGTTGAACCGAAAAAGTAACAAACAGCGCGCAGGAATGTCCGGACTTGGCGTTGCCTATATATATATATATATATATTTGGCCTGCCGCTCGCACGATATGTGATGCAATTAAACTGCAATTGGCAGCCCGGGTGGATGGTCCTTTCTTTAGACTCTGAGCGTGGAGTTTCGGCGTTTGGGTTGGGTTTTGCTTCTTTTTAGGAATTATTCTCTAATGGCGAAAGGCACCTTTATTATATCTTGAAATCCGCATTTGGCTTTTCCCAATTCCGGTATCTCGACGGGGGTTGGCTGGCAATCCGCTCAGTCAAGTTGAATTTGAGAAACCTAGAATTTTCAGAGCATAGCTCATATATGGTAGCTAGATTGAACGTAAGACTTCGAAAAGAATGATTGTTGTTCACCAACGATTCAAGAAGGTCGCGAGACTATAGATGTGACATATAATCAGTTTCTGCCGTCATCCTCAAATGAGCTAAAGGGCAACATACCTCATTTAGCTTGCCTGTATATAATAAGCACACAGCAAGGTTCTGTGCAATTATAGCTTCATCTTCATGTCCAATATGGCTTGCACGAAGCGCTTCCCACCCCACGACTGCATCAGCATATCGACCTTCTGCCATGGCTAACAGGCAGTGCAAAGGCCCCTCTGCCTCGACTGAAGTATCATCTAACAGCTTTCGCGCAGATTCAACATTGCCAATCTTGAGATACAGCAGTGCCATCCGTGTGGTCGCTAAAGCTTGCTCCTTAGGTGGGGTTTTCAAGTTTGCGAGCGACCGCCGCGCAGCGTCTAAGTCGTTCATTTCTATTAATGAATTCACGACTCTGATACCTAAATCCTCTAATCTTGTTTTCCAAACATTTCTCTCATCTTCTATAAGCCCCTGGCGTGATAGTTGCTTCCTAGCTTCTAATCCAAGCTCGTATAGGGCAGCAATACCTCGTCTTGAGTCTCCGAATCCAATGCTTTGTAACCTCGCTGCAAGAACACGAAGTGACCATGGGACGATATGTCGAGCCTGGTCAGCTGGAAAAGCGTCCTTGGCTACTGTCTCGTTTTCTAGTTTGGTATCGACAATGTAAAACGCAGAATTTAAATCCTCCAGCGCTTTTGCTTCCTGTGCTGCTAACAGGGTATTTCCCGTCAGCTCTAGGCATGCAAGTCGGATGTATAAGAGAGAAAATATCGTATTTTGGTCATTGTGGGGTATTGCGGATGATGATAAAATGGTCGCTGAGAAATGGGCGGCAAGTAGGAAGTGGCCAGTATTCAAGAGATTATCAAGAGTCGTTAGGGAAGTAGTTAAAGGTTCATTCGGAGAAGGCGTGGGGAATTCCGAACGGAACGCCGGTGATATATCTAGTAGCGATAGAGGATGGTAGATGTCGGGTCGCAGGAGGAATGATAGGTTCTTATTCACAGGAAAGGGTATGATATCTATGGTTGACAACGTGGACAACAAAGGATGTGGGGAAGTCGGTGATGGACTCGAGCGGCTTGGAAGATGTTGGGATTTTGGTCTTGTGGGGAGTGTTGTTGTAGCGGTACTAGAGCTTGGTACACCATTTTCTTAGCCAGAAGTTCCTGGAAGAGGGAGTGGGAGTACGGAGAGGCTGTATCATACTCATCTGGTGCATCCAGTGGCCCTTTGGTGGAGCTCCGCGGCCGGGCAGCTATGTGAGAATTCACACAAGTATCAGCAAATAATTTCTTTGATAATGTAGGACAGATGACAGGATAGAGTGTACTGTACCTTTTATTGGAGCATTCCGATGTTTGGGCCCGGGGCTGTCCATTATTGTAGTGAAATCAAGTTTGGGAATACAATTCGCTGCAGATTGAATTCTTTTCCAATAACGCTCAACACAGACCAACAGGCAGGGAATATAGGTATATCTATTCCATATGAGGCTCGGAGAGTGCTGGGATGCCTGTGCATAACATCAACATCAGTTACATCACCAAGCAACCAGCGCAATTCGATGGAGGTTGAAGACTGAGTAATTCTGCCAGGCGGTGAGCACGGTTTATTTAAGCTCAACGGGCACGGACCAGTAGCCCTGTCGCCCTTGCCCTAAAACGGAAACATGGCAAACATGCAACCTCAGCATCATCGATGTCATCTCTACCACCTATCACAAGCTCGCCATCAATTGCTCTCGCTCACTTTCTAACTGTATCTCTTGCTCTCTACCCATTAAACAGCAGAGCTCCGCATGCCCACCCGTGGTCCTCGATACCGTCCAACCCTCCAAGTCGTGGACCAGAATTCCGTCTCCCAATTCTACGAATCCCCCTGTTTCACTCGCCATAGCACCACCATGTCTTCACAGAACACCAAATACTCTGTCATTCTCCCTACCTACAACGAGCGCAGGAACCTACCCATAATCTGCTGGCTAATTGAGAAAACTTTCAGAGAGATGTAAGAGTTTCCTCAATGCTTATCAGTATCTGAATGAGAATCTAATTTTGTCACGTACTTTCGTCTTTAGTAACCTAGATTGGGAGGTAATCATAGTTGATGATGGATCTCCGGATGGAACATTAGAGGTCGCAAAACAGCTCCAAACGCTCTGGGGCCCGGAGCATATCGTCCTGAGGCCTCGTGAAGGGAAGCTAGGTCTTGGAACTGCTTATGTCCATGGATTGAAATCAGCCACTGGCAACTTCGTCATCATCATGGACGCCGATTTCAGCCACCACCCTAAATTTATTCCTGAAATGATCAAAATTCAGAAGGAAACAAACTGCGACATTGTTACCGGGACCAGATATGCGTCTCGTGGGGATCTGCGTGGCGGAGTCTATGGCTGGGATTTGGTCCGCAAGCTCACCTCCAGAGGGGCAAACTTGATTGCGGACGTGATGTTGATGCCCGGAGTCAGCGATCTGACGGGAAGTTTCCGGTTATATAGAAAACCCGTTCTCGAGAAGGTTATTAAGAGCACGGAGAGCAAAGGATATACCTTTCAAATGGAAATGATGGTTCGTGCCAAGGCCATGGGATTCAAGGTTGAGGAATGTCCGATTACGTTTGTTGATCGTCTTTATGGTGAGAGCAAACTTGGTGGTGACGAGATCGTAGAGTACTTAAAGGGGGTCTTCTCGCTTTGGCTGAAAGTTTAGTCAATTCCTTTTGTTTGGCCCCTTTCCTTCTTTTCTCCTCGTATCTGTTTACTTCAGGGTCGGGGCAACTATGTCTTTTTGCATCTACACATAACGGGTATTAGGAAACGGACGATGGGGCTTTCTTGTCAGAGCTAAATGTCATAAACAGGTTTTAGGTCCAGGTTTCGTTTTGAGTGTTTACAAAATATTTCAGTGGTCGCTTTATCTGCTTGTAAATAATACCCCTTTATAATTTGCGATTATACATATCGTCCTATTGCTCAGCTGCACTATTATCATAACCAATTTTTATTGTTGTTTAATTTGATTCCAGTACTTTAAAAGAAGCGCATGGTCGAGGTATCGGTCAATATGGGATGTAGCGAACTCCATGAATCTACTCCGGGAATCCTGCGGCAATCCTTGTCCCGCACTCACTGTTGCTCTAGTCTCCCCGACCATAGAATAGTGCATAGGAAATACCAACCCTATCTCTCAATATTCGCCAAAAAGCCTTTAACCCTTGAAACCAAGTCCTCACGCGCCTGGGATTGATCTGGCCCGCTCGGCGAGTGCGTAGCTCCAACGACTATGCCGCTATTCGTGTCCCAGATGTCCGGATTTGACGAGCCCGTCACCGTTGCCGCCTTCCATCTTTCCAGTTGCTTTTCTTTATCGAGCCAAGGAGCTGCATATTCATCGGCACCACCTGGCAGAACGAGAAGTGATTTCTTCAACAGCCCGCCAGACGAAATCATACCAAACGTCTCTTGAAGTCTAGCGTCTGTAAGATCGGAGCTAAATAGATCGTCCTCCGTTGGAGCGTTGGGGCTATCTGGACTTGCCAAACTCAGAAATCTTGTCGCGGTGACGGCCGCCGGGAAGAATACCTTCCCCATCATCCAAAGAGGCATGAGAGCATCCATTCCCCCAACGGCCTTTTGGCTCTTTGCCAAGGATACGAGTTTGTTATATACCTCAGTAAGCTCCTCCGGGGAGTCATGAGCATTCCCCGATTTTATGATATTCATTATGGCTTCTCGATCCGAAACGGGAGACTGCAAAATAGCTCCGTCCACAGGGGGTCGTAGAGCCGTGGACCCTGGACCTGGATTCTGGGAATAGAGGTAATGGAGCACATCCTGACTTCCGGTGGAATGCCCCATTATCACAACCTTGCCCGGTTCCGGCTCCTCAACTTTTCCAGACGCACTGGCAGATTTGTACTTTCTCACGTACTCAACACATTTACCGATCTCGTCGACATCTCTGTCTAGGCTGCCCAGTCCCCATCCATCATATGACGACGATAATTGCACAGAAAACACGGACCATTTCCCAGATTCGAGACCTGCGGTGATATCGTTGACGAATGGCACGGTGTAATAACCGTCGCCTAACCCGCCGATGAATAATAAGCTATGAGGTTTGTGACCTTTGGTGTTTGGGTCAGACACATATTCAAAAGCCGTGAGTTTTGGTGCCTAAACAGTGAACTTGGTCAGTCCATTTACCTTCCATCTTAAGAATGTGGGGTTTATTTTTGGGGGTCAGTTCTTTCATACATAATTATGAAGGATGCCCGGTTGGAAGCTTGCTTGGAACGAGATCGACATCGTCTGGAAATGAATAATTGTGGTCTTAAATAAACTTAAACAATGTAAGGACGCTTATTACACTGTGTTCTCGCATCTATTTAATAATTAACTTATCCATCTGGGTATGTGCCCTAGATATAGGAATTCTTGGGAAAGGGGTTACTTCAAGGACTAGGTAGACACAAAAATCAGGTAATTAGTAAAAGATCTCTTGAGATCTGCATACACCTCAGTGGGGGTAGCCAGATGAGTGGTTGGAAATAAATTCTGCCCTCAGACTACAGCGTATGTAAGGTGCTTGGGGGGTCTCCTGCATAACTAGTCGCTGACTGAAATAGGACTAGGCTGTTGATTTAAGGGTTCTAACTAACTTAACTTAGTTATAATATTTAGTTACATAGCCCTGAACTTTAACTACAAGGAACCAGTAAGAAGATACACAATGGGCGCGTTTCCTAGGATTGATGTAAGATCTGCGGGTGATATGAACGGAAATTTGTAATTTATCAGAGGATCAAAGCGTTTATCCCGGCCGCTCTTTCAACAAATGTCCACTGCAACGGTTGCGTGCTACTACAATGTGAGATGGCTTCGTCGTCTGTGAGAAGGCTTCCTCGCCGACGGGCTGCGGCTCCAAAATACACAACAGGGCTTGAGGTCGGATCCTCCGAATCTGAACAATTAAGCAGCGACGAGGAAGAAAGCTCCTATGAACTGGACACGGAAGGCCGGGGTGCAAAGAGAGTACGCCGGGGCACGCGTCGCGGGGATGATGAAGAATATGAAGAGCAAGATAATGATGCCGAACGTAAGATCTATGCTACTAATTTATTGATGTGGAGAACCTATATTTACTTGTGAATAGGCATGGTGGATGATGACGACATGGGATCTGCTTTGCGGTCCGATCTGGAGGAAGCGGACAAGGCAAAGAAAACTCGACCAAGGCCAGTTGGACGCATTGAGGAACAAGATCCCATGGCTACTCATTCAAGAGGTCTCTACAAACCGTCAGCGCATGGTGCCAAAATGACCTACTTGAAATTAACGTTCGGCGCCAGCGATGAGGATTTGTTGCCCATGATATATACTAGAGCTAGATGGACAAAAGGTCGAGATGCGACATTTCCTAGTAGGGATACTTTACGGGAAGCGCTTAGCATGACTATTGACGAAATTGGAGCTGCTTTTGGGGTGAGCGGTGATATGTTGCGCAAGGAGGCGACATCTGGCTGGGATTGGTACTATGGCGAAAATAACAGTAGCCGGTTTAGCAAAAGACAACGAACAGTGGGTATCACAGCTGAGGAAGGAAAACCTTATTTGCGCCGGGCCAGGACGAAAAAGCACACTGTCATAATTGGACCTGCATCATCTCAAAGAGTCTACGAGCTTGCTGTGGGCCAATCGCTGGACTTTGGCGAGGCATGGAGTGAAATCAAACCGAAAGGGAGACCCCCAGGACGCCCTAAAAAGGGAGATAAGCTGACCCGTCAGGCGGTAGAGGCTCAAGAGCCTTTATTACCCGAAACTGAACTAATGTCTGAGGTACAGAATGGTTCTGCGTCTCGGTCACGAAGGAATCGTGAAGGGTGGATTCTGAATTTGGGCCATAAGGTTCAGTGTGTATCATGGGCGCCAAACTGTGCTGGGAGTTCGCAATATCTTGCGGTAGCGATTCCAATATCAGATTCGCAGAAACAGTCGTTGGATGGGATTTCCCAGGGTGCACCAGCCTTTACGCCTTCCCCGCCATATCCGTCTGCCATACAGATTTGGTCCTTTGAGTCTACGAAAGAAGATAATGATGTCCGACAACTTGATATGAGTGTCAAGCCGCGCTTACGACAAGTAATATGTACAGATGCTGGTGATATCAGGCGCCTATCCTGGTGCCCAATGGGCCGGGATGAGCGAGGAGGAGATGAAATTGTTGAGAGTGTCAATATCGGCCTTTTGGCAGGCGTTTGGGGAGATGGGAGTGTCAAGGTTTTGGACGTGCAACTAAACAAGCTGGCCAGTGAGACGGAATATGGTTCGAAAAAGTCACTCTTTTCATCCAGATAGTCAAAAGTCTAACGTTTCTACTACAGTCCAGGTTCACGTGCCTGCTTTTGAGGCTAAACCACCATCGACACTTTGCACCTGTTTCTGTTGGCTTTCCCCGAGCGACCTCGCGATTGGCACTGCCAGTGGGTTTGTTGGAGTTTGGAGTCTGTCATCGCCATCCGATGCTAACGAATTAGGCGCAAATCCAACACCGTACATATACCTTCCTGTCCATACCTCCTACATTCTCAATATCACGTCATCATACCCAACGTACCCACATATACTTGTTACGACGGGAATGGACGGCAAAACAAAACTTTTTTCCCTCCTAGATCCCAAAACAGATGTTACAGAGACTTCGCGTTCGCGAGTGGGTTCATATGAAGTATCATATTCGCCCTTCTTGCGAACATACATTTGCTCAGATGACACTGAATTTGTTCGAATCCAGCCACTCCGACGGTTCTTCTCTACATCTTCCATATTACAAACGTATGATTTGGTATCAGCTATTACGCCAGCGAATCTATGCCACCCATCCTTTTTGGCCGGTAACGTAAGCGGCACTGTCGCGGTCACGAATCCAGTTCTCAGATTGATAAATCCCAAGGAGAAGAACTGGCAGCAGACGTGGTTTAGCCATGAATGGATTCCTAACAAGAACGAAGAACATGGCACTGAACAGAAGGATGATACTGCGGGGCCCGGGGTTAGCAAATTTTATGATGGGTTCAAGGCAGAAGTACCCATGCTAACCAGAAAGTTGACGGGAGATAGGAGGATGGCAGACGGTAACCTTGCGATAGCAATTTTTGAAGAAGGAAGTGCGATTACATCACTCGCATGGAATCCAAATAAAGAATGTGCAGGATGGGCATGTGCAGGGATGGGTTGTGGTTTGCTCCGGGTTGAGGACTTAGCTCTTCGGTGAAGGAAATCGTTTCAAGTGGAAGTTGGGAATTTCTATTGTGCTTGCGGAGTACATACTCCCATTTTATGTACCCTCGCAACTCATAGCTATTATAGAGTACTCCATAAATTGTGAGCAAATGATGACTACTACAGGTACTCCGTGAATTATACTCCTCTTCAGAGTTCTGCCGGGTTGTTTTGTACTACCCCGCGATTTGCCCTTGGACCTTGGCATTCTGGGCACAAATGATACCCGCTTATGCTTGGCACTATGTCTTGGCACCTTGACCGCCGCCAACCCCTGCCCTCACGTCTCATCCCACCTCATCCAGCACTTTTTCGATATTGTTTCAATACCATTTTCTGCATGTCAACTCCCAACGTTCCAAAGGATTCTGGGGGAAACTACAGATTAGTTAACCACGATTTATCATAATGAAAATGCATTATATCGCTAACCAGCACCCTTTTTTTGTATCTTGTGCCTGCGAACTAATAAAATTAGATGGCTGGGTTCCCAGCCACCCGTCTCCATACTGCATTTCTCAGACGGAATTTCGCAACAGCCCAGCCTCTGCAATTTAACAATGGGGGAAGTTGGCATTTGGAGCATTCTTTGTGGGGGATTCTTCCCAAGTGCTTTCTTTCTCTTTTTGTTCACACTACTGAGTGCAAGGAGCTGGCTATCTTGATATTAGCTGCTGTCAAAGAAAGGTGACTGCAATGACGTTCAGCATGAGACTTAACATATTGATAATATTGTTCGCGGCGATGTTTTCTACAGTAGCAAATTCATTTCCTCTATCCCTCAAACCACAACTGCTAGTCCCACGAAGACGAGTACCATACTCAGTCGTCCCTGTTGATGGGGGCCCAAAAACCACAAAAACCCCACCCCCAGGCCTCCTTGTCACAATCCCCCCTCGAATCACAGAAACAGTCGCTCCCATAACCACCACGACTGACTCTTCCTCGCCGACATCCACTGAGCGTCCATCAAGTGAAAAGTCAGGCCTGCCCACACGGACGACCGTTGCGCCGACCCTTCCGCCTCGAACGACGTCTCTCCCATCGGCATCTGCATCCTCAAATACCACTTTAATATACAGACCCTCCTCCCTGAGGCTCTCTTACCCACAACTAGGGCCAACGGGCGTGTTCCGTCCGCAGCCATCGCACGCAACGATCAAAATTTCTTATCCTGCTGCGTCGCTCATACCCCCGCCGAGATACGGGTCGGTTAATGGAACCTACCATCTGCCAACCCCAAGCGCCCGGTTTCCGAATTAAGACGCAAACTCGAAAAGAAATACGCATGATGATTTAATGATCGATGAAATATATGTATGGCAAGGGGGTTGGTGTGAATTTTCCTCCGACGGAGTGGATACCTTTTTTTTGGCTGTTTGGATCCTGAATGAAAGAAGTACATGAGGCATTTTTTTTTTGAGCGTGCCGCAATTTTGAATGAATCATTTAGAAGAGAGACATAAATATATAGAGATGGAGTTTGGGGTATTCAGGCAGGTTTTCCTCGTTCTTTTTCTTGACGCAGCTTAATGTAACACTATCAATTTATTAATTAGAAGGAAATTAGAGAGAGCTTTACATCTGGCTGCTTGTTTCGGTGGTAGATTACAGCGCCCGCTAAAATAAATTTCATTACTTGAATTTAGAAGTTCTCCGTATTTACACAGAAAGATTGGTACATCCGAAGGGTTCACACCCCTGTCCCCTTCAGTAGAGCAACTTCCAGTACTTTCCAATACTGACACGAGACGCATTCATAATACTTGAACCTGGCTTCGAGAAAGACTATCACCCTCCTATTCCCAAAAGCAATCATATTGGCAAAGTGCCACAGAAAGCGGATCTAATAATACTCATCCACCTTCGACGTTGGTTATAGCAAACGGGATTCGAACAGCTCCAGGGAATCTCCGACATGGACAACAGGCAAGCCTCGTTTCATTCTGAACCTCTTCGTTCTCTCCTTCCAGCCGAAGAATTGCCACCTGCGCTTGTCAACAGAGTCAATCACAGAGTCAATCACAGTATCCCTAGGAAGCCAACCCCCCGTGAACTGTAAATTAGCCAGCATTTCGTCGAGATTTAACTCTGCGAATAGCACCCCATCAACCTTCACCTGTATACGGCCGATGCGCTCGAAAATAAGATCATTGCAGAATATACTTTGATACTTCATACGGAGCAAGGCAGTAATTTCACTAGATATCATTGACGCAAGCCACTCCGATCTTGCCACGGGGATATCCGTTACCAACGAGCTTTCGGAGCTATCCACAAAGGCGAATGGTGAAAATGCTTGGTATGCGAAGTGATACGAATATGACTTCCATTCGGCAAATCCAACCTCAGGCTCAGGAGTCGTCTGTCCGTGCCAAGCAGTCGGACTTTGTATATCCAAAACAAGTGTGCCAATGATGACTTCCCTGTCTCGAATCCTCTGTGCAAGAGTCGTCCTTGCTTGAATGCACTCCCTTAGCTCCTCCGAGTCCTCCTCGGGAAGAATGTCATCCTCTACAATCAAAAGAGATTCAATTGTATTGACATCCCATTCTTGGCTAGTGTTGGATAACCGCGCTGGAGAAGGAAATGGCACGCCCCGCAGTAAAATCCGCTCGATAACACTAAGGAGGCACAAGACTAACCGCGGAGGATCGTTGGTATATAGTCTGTAATCGAACATGCCAGTCGGTGACGAACTGAACATATGCTGATGATTTCGGGGAGACACAGCAGAGCCAAATGTCCGGAAGGTAATCTTTAACTCGTCAATTCTATTTGAAAGAACGGGTACAGACAACCACGTTGGCCATAGATAACGCTCTTGGATCATCATGATGTCAAGCTGGTATGTGAGAGGATACCGTGCTAAGATGGCCCTCGTCTCTGCGGCAATCTGGCGGTTCACAAGAAGTAGGGCCTGCCCAGCGGGAATGGTCCATTCCACTGGTTTCTCGTGTCTAAGACGGTGGGATAATAGGGATAATAAAGAATCAAAGCCGACGTCAAAAAGTCGTACCCGATTATGTGGGTAAGAGGGACCGTCAGGGGAGGGACGCAGAGAGTATAGTACATATTGGATTATCTCCTCGCGCAGCTCAAGGGGGATTCGAAGGAGAATAGAGCATGACATGTTTCTTAGATTCAAGTTCTGGTAGAGAGAAGAGTAGCGGGGAATCGGTAGAGGTAGGTACCGTTCCGCCAGATGTATAAATATATGAACCCAGCAGGCCTTTGGAAAAAGTTGACAGTCTAATAACCTAGTAAACCTTGAGTTCTTTGCGGCCCGGTATGAGGATATCGTCTAACAGTGTGAAATCCTTACACCAATTCGGCGTCTAGTGGGGGTTGGTGGGGTTGAACACTCGGGGTGTTGGGGGGTGTTGGGGGGTGTTGGGGGGTGTTGGAGGTAAACGTCAAGGGGATATTCGCAGCCAATAAGTGTTTGAAACTTGGCTGGGAACGTATTATCCCGTCTTCATGTATCCAGACGGGCATGCATTCAGTTTATTTCAAAGGTTACCACGTTTGTTCAGTTGAGGCTAGATTTCACATGGGCGGGAAGCCGACGAGGCAACGTTGTTGCAGATAATCTCATCATCACGCTTTTGGTAAGCATGGATGGCATAACTATTCATCACTTAGGTAATCCTAATAGTACGAATGGAATCGAATGCCGTGATATAATTATAAATCTGTCGTTTTGTTGATGTTCGATACAGAAACACATGAGGAACCTCTTTCCGGAATAGCGTGAATTGGTGTCCGTCGTCAGCACCAGGAACAAACATCGAGCAAACATCCAACCGCAGGCAGCGTAGAAAGACCTTCCATCCAACACCCGCTATCGAGACAACTATCCTTGGATTCCCTTTCTCTGTGATGTAAACATTTTGCTCGTACTCCTAAATACCCGAGACCGGACTTTGCAATTACTACCGGCATACACCCCCAAGCTTAGTTCAATCGACTCCGGACGCGTTGGTCCCTCTTCTGCCACAATGGCAAGCCCGCCGAATGTTCCAGAGGAGCAGAGTCGGTTGCTTGAGGACGCCCTAGGGGTTGTACGACAGCAGGCGCATATGATGCGAAGATGCCTGGAGACTCCTGGGAAGCTCATGGACGCATTGAAATGCGGGTATGTGGAAATGGAAATAGGAATAGAGGGCTTCATGAGTCCTCCGAACCTCAGCTGGACCCCATTATATTAATGATATTGCTGCTAACAGACGTCGCCCAATACCAGGTCGACGTTGGTTTCCGAACTCCGTACCCCTAGTCTTGGCCCGAAGCAGTACTACGAGCTGTACATGGCTGTCCATGACGCTCTCCGCCATCTATCCGTCTACCTTAAAGAGAGCCACCCGGTCAACCATCTCGCCGATTTGTACGAGCTGGTGCAATATGCTGGAAATATCATCCCGCGCCTGTATCTCATGATCACTGTCGGAACTGTTTACATGGGAATTGAGGATGCGCCGGTTAGGGAGATAATGAAGGATATGATGGAAATGAGCAGGGGTGTTCAGCATCCTATTCGTGGTTTGTTCTTAAGATATTATCTGTCCGGTCAAGCGAAGGATCACCTACCCACCGGTACCGGAGATGGCCCGCAGGGCAACATACAGGATTCTATTAGCTTCATTCTGACCAATTTCGTGGAGATGAATAAACTTTGGGTGAGGCTACAGCACCAAGGCCATTCGAGGGAGCGGGAGCTTAGGACACAGGAGAGGAAGGAGCTAGAGCTTCTCGTTGGAAGTAACTTGGTACGATTGAGCCAGTTGATTGATCTGGAGACTTATAAGACGATAATACTCCAGCCTCTTCTGGAGCAGGTTGTACAATGCCGTGATGTATTGGCGCAGGAGTATTTGCTGGAAGGTGAGGACCGTATCCGGGCCAGAGTTCGGAATTTCGATTACTGACTCGATGAATACTACAGTAATGACGAAGGTCTTCCCCGATGAATACCATTTGCATACGCTTGACCTCCTACTCTCCGCCATAGCCAGACTAAATCCCCATGTTGATATGAAAAAGATTGTCATAGGTCTAATGGACCGGTTATCCTCTTATGCAGCACGAGACTCGGACAATAACGATACCCCCGAGAGCAAGAAACAGGCGGAAGAGGAAGCGACTGTTAGGTTACTGGAAAAATTGCGTTTAGCAAAGGAGAACGAAGGAGCGAAACCCCAACCTGAAACGGAGGTTTCTGGAGAGGATAAGGACGCCACGACAAAGGAGCCCAACAAGGAATCAGATACCGCAGAAAACGGAGAACAAGAGCCCCCACCCGTTGCCAATGGCGAAGACGAGGGAGGATCGAAATCCAAATTACCAGTCGATATCAAACTCTATGAAATATTCTTCGACCAAGTTGTTAGCTTAGTCCGAACAAGAAACCTTCCGATCCAAGACACTATAGCTCTATTGGTATCGTTGGTGAATCTAGCTTTGTGAGTTGAGCGTTACATCCGTGATAGTGGCGTTGGCTAACTAGAGTCAGGAACATTTACCCCGAGCGATTAGGTATGGAAACACCTCTGTTCTTCCTCCCCGTGTCACCCAAGTTATGGCATTAACCAATTGTACAGAATACGTGGACCAAGTTCTTGAGTATGCAACAAAGAAGACATTAGAGCATGCTGATAGCGCCGATTTACACTCCATTGCTGCACAATCCAATATCTTGAATCTACTCCTAGCGCCGATCCGCACATATCTTTCCATTTTTACTGCGCTTTCACTCCCAAATTATATCCCACTGTTTGCTGCTCAGTCATACCCCACGCGGAGAGCTGTTGCTGGCGAGATTGCTCGAGGCATTTTACGAAACCGGACAATAATCTCTACATCGGAAAACCTCGATGGTGTGTTACAGATATTGAGTGTTCTAATAAAGGAGGGTATGCAGCAGCCTATTGGCTACCCGGGTGTTCAGCAGCAACGGCGCGCAGGGGAGACGGAAGAAACGATTGAAGAACAAGGATGGCTTGCACGGATCGTCCATTTCATCCAAGGCCCAGATAATGACACTCAGCTTAAGGTGAGTGTTACCCTTGTAAAATCACATTATCTATGCTAACTATCGGCCGAAAAGCTTCTGCAAGAGACCCGTAAAGCTTATTCGGAGGGAAACGAACGTACTCGATATACCACACCTGCTATAATTACTTCCTCCTTGAAGCTAGCCCGAAAATATAAGCTTCGTGAACATTATGATGATAACTGGCAAGCACAATCCTCTACACTTTACCGATTCATGCACCAGTGCATCAGCAATTTATATCAACGAGTAAATTCAGGCTGCGCTGAGTTGTCTCTTCGCCTCTTCGTCCTTTGTGGCCAAGTGGCCGACCAGGCTGGCTTCGAGGAATTTAGCTATGAATTTTTCGCACAAGCGTTTACTATCTATGAAGATTCCATAAGTGATTCAAGAGCGCAGTTCCAAGCCGTATGCATTCTGGCGAGCGCACTACACGGAACGAGGGGATTCGGAAAAGAAAATTATGATACCCTCATCACCAAGGCTGCGCTGCATGGTAGTAAACTGCTAAAGAAACCAGACCAATGCCGTGCCGTGTACCTCGCAAGTCATCTTTGGTGGGCCGTTGAAAACCAGCAGCAGGAGGGCGAGGACGCGAAAGATGTAAGTGTCAATATTTCAACACCCCCCATTCCTTTTCGCATCACATTACCCCCTTTTCCTTAAAATTGGCGGTGTGTGATTTGCTAACGTGATGGTACTATTCGTATAGCTATACCGTGACGGTAAACGCGTACTTGAATGTCTCCAAAGGGCTCTACGTGTTGCGGACGCATGCATGGACACAGCAGTATCCGTGGAGCTTTTTGTCGAAATTCTGAACCGCTATGTATATTATTTCGATCAAGGGAACGAGACTGTGACGACTAGGTATCTGAACGGGCTCATCGAACTCATCCACTCAAACCTCCAAACAAGCCAGAATGACGGCGTGCCAAACTCTAGCCTTGATAACCCAAAGCGCCATTTCCAGCGCACGCTGGATTATATCAAATCACGAGAGTATGAGGGCGTTGTGACGGAGCCAAGGGTATAAATTATTATTATTTTCTAAGTTCTTGTCTTTTGCTTTTTTCCGGTCTCTTGTAGGGGTTGCTTTATTATTATGTACATGAATCTGGACCCAAACTACTTTTGTGCTTTTCCCTTCCCCACACCCAGCCCCCCCCCCCCCCCCCCTTTTTTTTTTTTTTGGTCCACTTCGAGCACCTGGTTCGGCTTTGGCCGTGTGTATCATTCCAGAATATTTTTATTCTCCATTTGTTTAGTTTTTTAAACCATGGGGAGTTTAGTTTGTCTGCCTTCTCTGCTGTTGTCCTTGGCTTTATCAGTAGCGCATTGTCTTGGCGCGCGCTACCATCATCTTATTATTTCCCAATTCTGTACCTCTATAAACTATCAGTTTTCTATTTCCCAAACCAGCCACCAGTGTAATAAGCAATCACATCCTTTGGTTTTGGACATTAGGGACATTCTACGATTTTTTTTTGCTTGGAGCTTTCTTCTTATCTTTACTTGCGAAAATACAACCCGTAAACCTGGAAAGACACTACGCAGATGACTGAGAGGGCTTGAGTTACAAGGCGAGGAGACTGGAATATATGGTCAGCTACTTGCGAGGTGGGGGTTAGTATAACTAAATAGGTAAGGGCCCCTTAGTAGGAGGAGGACAAAGGGTACCTGCCCGATGTCCTATCCAAACTTAAAAGCAAGGGGCATATATCCCTTCGGGGAAGGAACCATGCGGGAGGGATGGTTTCGATGTTGTGGGCAGAGGCGAATCTGGCAGAGGCAGAGGCACCGCGAACAAGCGGGCCGGGCCCTTTGCCACTCTCATCACGCGTCGTCCTCAGACTCTCTCTCGTTGCTCGGTTAATTTAGAGCCAGGAAGAACGGCTTAGACCGTTCAGCGCATCAAGTGAGAGAAGAGCTGTTTTGAGCTCGAAGCGCTCTGATCCCTGCGTAGAATTTTCCTTTGATGTTTGGTGTCGCAATCGTATCCCACGTTTCTTCAGATGCAAAATGCAAAGTTTGCTGAAGAGAGTATGTGCTTGATTTGCAGATATTTGTGTGACTTTTGGACTTAGGCTAGCGAAGCCTGACCAATCTTCACTGGGTCATGCCATTGTGCATGACAACAGAAGTTGATGCTCGGAACAAAAGGGTCAAATGCGTAAAATGAAAGGATGGAGCAGCGAGGGCTTGGCGTATCAAATTCTTATTCTTATCATTGACTCTTGTAGAAGACTATAGAATCGATCTCTAGATTTTAACATATTTGATGATGTGAAGTGACTAAGAGCTGATAATCTGATAAAGATGAAAGATTGATTGATTGATTGTACTGTACATAACAACCACCCCAGGAAAGTATCATATGAGCATGACTCCGGTTCGCTAGTTAGTATTTGCAAATACACTTTTCAATTTGCATACCCTCAGCTCCTGTGCTCCAGTGCCAAATTGACAGATATCCTCAGCGCCCTTTGCACACTAGTAGACTGTTGGATCTCCTGCAGGCTTTTCATAGAACCGAGGCTGCTCATGTTTTCACAACACTTCATGCATGGCAGTGCCAAAGAACAAAGAACAGATGAAGTGGAGAAAAAGAGGAGAGGGAGAAGAGAAAGAAGGAGAAAGAAAGATAGGAGAAGGGAGATACAAGAAGAGAGAGAAAGAGGAGGAGGAGAAAAAAAAAGAGGGGGGGGAGAAGAAAGAGAGGAGGGAAAAAGAGAAGAAGGGAAAGGGGGGGCGGGGGGGGGGGGTTTATATGTTTTGGATGCGGCTCTTAATTCCCCTTTGAGGACGTTCCCATTCCTTCTTCCTTCTTCTTTTGGAGCGCTCAGCCGATGGAGTTAGGTGCTGCTCGAATTACCGTCATGTGCCTGCTTCAGACGGCATTATAAATTCTAAATGGTTGCAACTGGAACTGAAATTTAAGACCTTCTTACATACTTGGGTACGGGTACGGTACATAGAGTAGTCCATCGTGTTTCCATTACATTATTGCAAGCGAGGTTGCCGCCCGCGTTTCCCATCTATTTTAATTGCCACCTGATCAGCCTCGAGATGCATAGGGAATCCTAAGCACCTAAGTGAGTGACTTGGGACTGTAGAATGACCCTGCGTACAGCCGTTCGTTCACACTTCACAAGACATTTTGGTCCGCCTCACTCTCAGCATTATTTATTCATGAAAAAGGCCAGGATGTATGTAATGGAATAGTTCGGTTTCAGACAGAAGGTGAATAAAAAGCAAAATGAATTGTGACTCTGTAACGCCCATGATCTGTTGCAAGTGTTTCATAAAAGCGACGATTGGATAATCGAACAATCAATAGCAAAAAAAAAAAAAAAAAAAAAAGCAATAGCTACCCTTAACAGCTTGCCAGCTGCCATACATAACCGGCCCGCCTGCCTGCCTGAACAGTGTACCTTCCCGGCTGTGTGATACAGTAAATGAAAGCTGTACCTCAGGCAGCGACACGTAGGAAATTAAAAAAAATAAATAAATAAATTAGGGACAAAGGAAAAACATAGAGAAGGAAAGAGAGATCATTAGACTGAGACAAAGGAGAGTAACGACGTAACAGAATGGAAGAGAACAGGAGGTGGAAAGGAGATAATGGTCGGAGGTTAATAATGATGGTGAAGGAAAAGAGGAACGGATGACAGTTTAGCTGATGCTGGTTTCGGTGTTGAGGGAAATGGCTAACCGAAAAGGGAAGTGTTCTTGATAGAGAATAGAGAGTTTGGTGAGAGTGACAATGAGGACATTGTCCACTAAACCCATAAGATACTGCGGAAAATAACAAGAGCGAGGATCATTAGCCTTCCAGGGGGAATAGAGAGTAGTAAAAGCATTTAGGCGGGTTCCACACGAAATATACAGATGCCCACCCAGAAATGGAAATACCAAATCGAATGGACACCGGCTTTAAAACCCAGTCGGCGGAGACATATTCGAAGGGACTGGGAATTGTCTCGAACCCCCCGCTGACCCAATACCGCCAAGTGCTGGAACGCTACTGCCAGGGACGGGACTGCCGATATCTCCTGGTGCAATGCTTCCTCTGGGGCCTAGTGGTATGCTATTGTTATCGGGCTCAAACTTAACGAACGTGCCACGCGTCCCTTCATTTTTGATTGCGAAAGAGCCACCACCATTTTGCGGGTTACCTTCGGTGTCAAGGATATCCAACAGCTCGTCAAGTGTGATTTGAGAATCAAGTGGCTGGTGCGATTGTTCAACTTGTCGTAACACATGGTTCACGTTATGGAAACCTGAGTTGCCTTTTGTTGGACTGGTTGCGTTGAGCTTCTTACAAGCCTCTGCTACCAGCGAACGAATCTTAACGGGTTGCAAAGGACGTGTTAGCCCTATTGCACCGAACGCGTTACCCGGCCATCCAGCTCCTATATCAACGGGTCAATAAGATAGTTTAATAATCCCCTGATAAGATAAACTAACCTGAACCTGGTACTGAGCCCCAAGAGGTTGCTGGAGGGGGGAATCCGGGAGCCCCGAATGGTTTTTGTGAGCTCCAAGAATTACCCGAACCCGCAGCGCCGAGGGTGAAATTTGGATGCTTGGCTAAAATTTTGTTAGTTCTGTAGGAGGGTGGAAACTCAACATGGTAGCAGAATATCAACTTACAACCGAGATGTTCAGGAAATAATGGTGATGTTCCGAATCCCATTCTCCCAGCTCCGGGAGCGCCAGGAAGAGCGCCTGTGGGAATAGGCTGAGATAGACTGGAAGTCAAAGGCACATCCGTGTCATCGAGAAGAGCACTACTGCCAAGCTGCGCGCTCAAGTCGTCAATATCTGACTGCCCGGGCCTCGTTTCGTTCCGTGAGGCATTATGAGGGGTAGTACTAGCGGGGCGTTGAATTGGAGCTGGTCGGGATATGGGCAAATTCTGTGGCTGGTTTTCTAGAGGGCTTCTTTCAAAGGACGCTGACGCTTGTCTCGAATGTGTTTGTCCACGCCCTGTTTCCCGGGGTATCTGAGGTTGCTGTGACGAAGAGATTGGACCATGTCCTAACGGCTGCGAAGGAAATGGCAAACCGTGGCCAGTATCTAGAGGGAAGCCCCGACCTGGGATCATCGGACGAGTCCCATTTATTCCCGGAGCCATTGGTATACCATCTGGGGATGGGAATCCTCTGAATTGGCCTCCTAGAGAGCTCTGTTGGCTGGAATACATGTGCATTTCATGACCCAATGGAATTCGGGATGTCATTCCCGGTAAACCGGCGAGGCTGGAAGGTATTCCATTCAATGCAGGCATCGAGTTAAAACCCAAAGAATGAGGGCTGCGGCCGGTTCCACCCAAGGGCGACATAGGAGCAGAGGGCTGAGGGTGATGGAGCATCGGTGGTGGGCCATAGGACTTCACAGAAACCGAACTCGAGGAACCTGATGACTGCGAGACACCAGCATTTCCAGGGGAAATAGAGGTGTGTGAAGTATCTGTTCCGGCGGGTTGGGATCTCGGAGAAGAAGCATGGGACCCTTGTTGGGATGTTTGACGAGGTCGAACCGGAGTTGGGGCTTTCGGTACAACCGGTGTAGCAGCCTGAAAATGTGGTGACTGCAGCGCTGATTGCCCATGTGGAGGTTGAAGACCTGGAGGAAGATACGTCGGCCCCGATTGGGATATTCGTTTGGCAGCTTGAGCAGTGGCCGCTTGCGCAGCCTGAGTAGCTTGTTCTTCACGTTTAGCGCGCTCTTTGCTCTCGCGATCTACCTTGAGAGCTGCTTCTTTCTCAAGCTTGGCCTGCTCTTCCCGGGCCTTACGCTCCTGTCCTTCCTTTGCTTTCTTTTCTCGAAGTTCCCTCTCCTTCGCTTCTCGCTCCTCGCGCTCCCTTTTCTTTGCCTCCTCTCGCTTTTTCTTCTCTCGCTCCTTCTGCTCCCTTTGTTTTCGTTCGATCTCAGCTTGACGTTCACGTTCCCCTTGAAGACGCTTCTGCTTTTCGGCTTCCTTTCGTAAACGCTCCTCTTCTTGGGCCTTTTTCTCCGCTTCCCTCTTCTTTCTTTGTTCCTCTTTCTTTCGCCGTTGTTCTTCTTGTTTCTTCTCCTCGATAGCCTTCGCAGCAGCAGCTTCAGCAGCCCTTTCCGCCTCCTTCCTCGCCCTCTCCTCCTCCTTGGCCTGTTTCTGCTGTCTCTTTTTGTCCTTTCTCTTCTGCGCTTCTCTTGCCTTTTTTGCCTCCCGCTGAACATCTAACCGGTTCTCCTCATCTAGCTCTTCAATAAGTTTCAGTTGGCGTTCTAGGGCGACCTTCTCTCGGTATGCAGATAGAACACGCTGTTCAAACATCCGAGCGGCAAAGATTTGAAACATCCGTCTTCCTTCTTCCATACGCTGCTCCTCCGTCATTGCATCCTACGTTGTAACCGAGAATTAGTAAGTATATCTAAAAACCAAATAGTGTTCACACAAACCATCTCATCCTCCTCGTAGTCCTCATCATCCTGGCTATCGTAGTCATCGTCTTCATCATCATCATAATCTTCCTCGTCGAGAGGAGGTCCGTGGTTATGACCGGCATGTAGAGATTGATGAGCGGCCGAAGATGCAGCGTATTGCGTGTCTTCCTCGCGCTGCATTCGGCGTTCCGCTAATTGTTCCATCATATCAATAAAATGCTTGCCATCGTTTTTAAGCAGATCATCCGCAACAGTGAGAATACCGTCTAGGGAAGGTTAGCCGCAATCGATAAGGGTATACGGTGAATGATAAGTGAACCTACCTTTAACCGTCAAACTGTTACCAAACGCGAAAAAATCGGCCCTACTGTTCCGAGTAGCCTCTTCAAGCTCATCGTCACTGTAAGGCTCATCTTCTTCATCATCTTCGTCGTAGTCCTCATCTAAATCTTCGTCATCGTCAGGCAATTCTTCAACTCTCCCCTTCTGGGGATGTTGGTTATTTGTTAGGTGGGGATGCCTATCAAGCGGGCGGAGCGGTGGCTGGTATAGTCGAGGCGGGACAATTGGGGCCCCGTTTTCGAAAGAGGATTGGCTGTGATTCGCGTACTGTTCAAGCTCTTCGTAGTATGCATCGTACAGAACCTCCAACTCTTCTTCAATAGCCGTCCGTTTCCTCCCGCATACAGTGCAACTGCATGAATGCTTCTGCTGCTCCTTCATCTTCCGCAAAACAGCCTCCTTTTCAACTTTCACCAGCGATCTCCGTTCCTCTTCACCCAGTTGCAGCCAAAATTCTTTGATATTTTCTCGTTCCTCTTGAGTCGACGTATTCCATATCCTGTCCTTTGATATTTTATGGGCGGAACGAAGTGCGGCGTTAGATAGTGGAGGTGGAGGTGGCGGGGCGTGTCGTGTAGCAGACGTTGGCTGAGTTGATAGTGATGTTGAACTTCCATCGGCTGCGAGGGACTTAGAACGGTGTTTTTTACCTTTCTTCTTCTTGGATTTGTTTCCACTAGCTTCGGAATGTTGATCCATACTCCGCCTATTGGGATGGGCTTGAGAATGCGACTGGGCATAAAAGTGGCCCTCGTCGTCGGTAGAATAGAGATCATCGTTTTGGGCGGGATCGTAGTGGTTTCGATCGTCGACATGAGAGTCGAAATAATTTTGGTTGTGGTGAGAGGAGGAGTATTGGTTGGAACCGAGTGGGACATCTGGATCATCCAAATGTGTGTTATTGGTGTAACCGTTCTGATTGATAGTGCCTGCTGGATCATGTGCATCTTTAAGCTGCTGCTCTGCAGCTAGACGTGCCGCTTGTTTCTGCCGTCTCTTCTGCTTTTTCCGATTCACACCAACCGTGGTTGTTGGAGCAACGTGGTTTGCAACTGCGTGATTCGCAGCTGTATCTAGATTCGATTTCGCAAGTGAAGCCGCCTTGGACCCGCTGGTCTGTTTTGCTTCAGCGGCAGGGTCTTTACTGCTAGCCACTGGAGGTGACAATCTGGGTGCATCTGTAGCAGTTGGCTGCTTCGATATCGTTATTGGCGGTTGCGCCGCGCGCTTTGAGTTGGACGGCATGGTTCTTCTATCTGACCAAGCAGAGTGGTCAGATTGAATTGAAGGTGTAGCTTATACAGACGGAGGGGAGAGTAAAAAGAGGTACGGACTGGCAGACTCAAATGATATGTAGCCCGCTCTGGGTAAATGGAACGTGAAATAGAGGCTCGGCGGCAGAGAGGTTGAGCGGGTGGATGGTGGAGGAGACTGGAGGGGAAGTGCCGGGCTAAAGCTAGAGAATTAGGGAAGAGGAGGAGTAGAAGTAGTGAAGAATTGGTATAAAGCGACCAGTCCTTGGCTAATGGATTAGGGCGGATCAAAGCCCGACATCCATCTGCTGCTGTGCTGGTTGGGATCGGGCAAACTTGAGCGGTTAGAGAACTGGCTCCAAGCATCATCATCACCATCACGATGGAATGTTCTGCCCTTCTGAGTGGTTTGAGACGGATCCCACGTGATCCGGAAATAGGCGCCGTAGGCGAGCAGTGCTAGGCCTCTTTAGGAAGACGATACAATACAGTAAGCGGCTGACACCGCCCAAACAGGCGGATAACATACAGATCGACCATGGGGAAATAATCAAATCATATCTCCTTAATTGATATATATATCCTATCTTCGGATCGTCTCTTTTTCCAACACATTTCCCCCAGTTGCGCCTATCAAACATTAGAGACATCCACAGGATTCGAGATCAGCCTACTTCTTAACACTTATCTCAGCCCACTCGCTCACTCCCTGCCCGATCCTATTTCCTCCTTACTCTTTAACGTTTTCTAAATAAATTCCCCAAGACCATCAACGGCAACCCCCTCTATCCCCACGTCCGCAGGGGTATATACTCTGCACCGTTGGCTCTGAGTTAAACTCCTATTTGACATTATCACACCGATTCTGAAACGCGGTCTCTTGACTCCATTCTCGTTCTTCTCTCACCTTCGCGACATCAGCCCATCAGCCTATCTTGAACATACCCTCCGCTCTACACACGGGCAGCTGGTCTGTTCTCGTTGCCAAAAGTCTTCTGCGCGTCGAAGCTCGTCGTTCTGCGTGGCTGTTAATCAACTGGTATTTCAACATCCCTATTCGACGTCTGACCGAATCTGTTGCGTCCAGCTGGCCTACTGCTCTCTCCACCCCGGTTGTCTCTCGTTCTTCGTCTTTTTCGATCTCGGCTAACCGATCCAACTTTCGCCTCATCGAAATTCTAAAGCAAAAAACCCTTGGAAGACAATTTAAGGGGGGCTCCCATCTCAAACGTTTTGGTTGAATCGTTTGCTAGTTTCTGGTTCGGCAAGGACATAGTTGTACAATGGCACAACAACAACAGCTGACAGACAATGTTATGAGAAGGTATGTGAATAAGGGATCCTTTTTCGTTAGGTGACATTTGTTAAATCATAGGCTTCCTGGATCGGTGTATCAAATTTTATGGAATCTATATCTAGAGTTGGATCGAGCGATAGTCTTTGCAAGCCCTACGTGGAAATGTTGTTCTAGTGAGCTAATAAGCGGCTATCCAGGAAGTTGGTGATAATAGGGGATGGTGCTTGCGGCAAAACGAGTCTTTTGAGCGTGTTTACTCTCGGGTACTTTCCGACAGTAAGTGTTTCCATCACTTTCTCAGATTAATATAGTAGCCTCCCGACTAACTAGCATATCAAATCTAGCATTACGTGAGTATATAACGCTCCCATGTTAAATAGACGTGATCCCTTTGGATAGCATGGCCTCTAACAATGATGTACATTCGGAAAGGTCCCTACCGTGTTTGAAAACTATGTCACGGATTGTCGCGTTGATGGTCGATCTGTCCAGTTAGCTCTATGGGATACTGCGGGGCAAGAAGACTACGAACGTTTACGCCCGCTAGCATATTCAAAAGCACATGTCCTCCTAATTGCCTTTGCGGTAGATACTCCGGATTCTCTCGAGAACGTTCGAAATAAGGTGAGCTCCTGCCTTTCCTGAAGAAATACCCAAAGACCTGATCTATATATTTAATTTCAGCTCTTTGCTAATCACGTAATACAACATAGTGGATCGAAGAAGCAAATGAGCGTTGCCCTGATGTACCAATTATTTTGGTGGGCCTTAAAAAAGACCTTCGTGAAGATCCTCACGCAATTGAAGAAATGAGAAAGAAATCCTTGCGTTTCGTCTCGCCCAAGGAGGGCCACGATACAGCGGCGCAGATCGGAGCAAGAAAATATTTAGAATGTTCATCCCTTACCGGTGAAGGTGTCGATGACGTTTTCGAAGCTGCAACCCGCGCTGCTCTTTTAACCTTTGAAAAGGATAGAGGATCATGCTGTGTCATTTTATGAGTTCATGTCACGCTCACCTCACGGAAATAATCACGCTTTTGTCTCATTTCATCCCTGGTTTGAATACCCAACTAACCCATCTAACGGACTTAACTGAATTACGCACACTTGTACGTGAAGATACCTCATTCTCTGACGTTTCTCCCCTCGTCTGCCCGTTATCTCGTTCCGTAAATTCTCTTCCCCAGTCTCCTTCGAAAAACTGGGTTACCTCTTTGCAAAAACTAGCGTTTGGCCGGATGGAAATGGAGGAAAATTGAGTTACATGCTATATGTAACTGGCTACTCTGGCATCAACTATATCATGCATTAGTGGCGTTCTTGGGATCTGATTTTTCACTTCTCCTTTTTTGGCTATCCTGTTGCCTGTGTCCCTGATATTTGTGCTTCTCATTCTTGTCAATTTCATGTGGATTCTTCGTGCATTTTTTATTATTATTTAAAACTCCTCTTTCTTGTATGCTGTGTTTTGAGTTTATTCTGTCTCTTATATTCTTTCCCCCTTGAAGTAGCCTCCTCCCTCCCTCTGCCCTGTTCCCCAGCCCATTTTTTGTCTGTTGCCCGTCAAGCCTATATTTAATCCTTTGTGTCTCTCAGTTGTAGCTTATTTTACCAGTAGATTAACCACCTTTTTTGTGATTCTGCCTTGGGCTAGTTGCTTCCCTCTCTCGCCCTTACTCTTACCCCAACCACCCCCTAGCGCTTAGTTTAGAACATGTCGGATTTTCCAACCCTCTGTTACTACTCTATCTATCAAATTGACGAACAACTGCAACTGATTATATCTAGATAGATCTGTATATACGATAGGTCATTTCTCATTTTATATTTATAATACCTCTTCATTCCGTACTATTATTTTTAATTTTAATCATCGTCTATGTTCCTCAGACTAGTGCATGCTGCTTACTATCTTGACAGGTCGGAAGAAAGACTACATCTATGGCCCGCTGTGCGTATAAAAGTGAGCGCATGGCGTGCCCCTCTATCCAGCCTACTAGATTAGAATATGTGAGAGCTATTGGCTCGTAAATAAAGCTGTAGGCGAAGAAGCTTCACCGTGGCACTGCATTTACGTCGGTCGACTGGAACATATATGCATGGAAGGGATGAAATTCAGCCGGGAACTTTTAATCAGGGTTTGAAAAGGAGATAATTATATTTTTTGCATCTGTTCTTTGCACCTGTAGGCATGATATAATATATAGTACAGCATATCCAAAGCCATAAATAAATAAATAAATAATAAGTTTGTTTTTTTAAAAAAAGGCCTGAAAAGAAAAATGGCAATATAAGTGCCGGCAGAAAGAGAGCAAGGTTGTATCCACCCACATTCTGCAACGTCAATGCGTCTTCAAAGGTGAGAACATACTGCTCAAAAACCATCAACTACGCCCCCACCAAACTGCAACGAATTCTCCTCAACAGCATCTATCTCGAACCCCACTAAATCATCTACCTCTTCCAGTCATAATTCCATCCCTCCTTACTTGGTCCCTCCGTCTGCATTCTACCATACTCAATCGGTATCTGATCCGTGAAGACACCTCTCTTGTTCATGGAGATGCGGAACAGCTTGCCGCCATCCCCTGCACCTGTCCGTAGCTCCTCGCACGCATCTCGCATGCTGTTCCATTGCCGTTCTAGCTCGAGCTGGCGCGCCTCCCGTTTCTTGGCGCAGTAGAGTTGCCAGGCGCGGTGGATGGTCCAGTGGCGCAGGTAGCGGTTACGAGAGAAACGGAGGGGGCGTGGCGTCAAAGGGTGATAGAGGAAGTAGCGGATTAGGGCTGGAGTGGGAAGATAAATTAGTTTTAAGTCGCACTTGTAGGGTTTTTAGGGATGGGGGAGCGACGGAAGAAGGCAAGGAAGCCCTGAAAGTAGAATAGAAAGGGAAGCGTGAAAACGGAAGATTTTATCCGGAAAAAATAATATATATAGCAATTGGTGAACTTGGACCATCCCTCTCACCCATCTCCCAATATAATGAATAATCGTAGTTACTTACTAACGCGCTTATCAATAACTTTCTTCCCTTTCCTCGCAGATAGTACAGGGCCGGCAGAAAATGACCGTGTAAAAACCGAAGTCTGCAGTCCACCGCATACCCGGTTTGACAGCGAAGCTTGGAGGAGTGATGACGACGAAGAGCTCAATGGGGACGTAAGATGTGCTGATGGACGGGCAATGGGAATCTTAAAGACGTTCGCGAGCGACGCGAGGACGGGAGATAGTTGTTGTCTCATCGTGATTCAGGTGTGATGGGTGTGGAAGCGCTTTCTCCGTTCGCTTTCTTGAGGTTGCGAAATCTTTTTATTTTTTCGGTCCAATTATTATGCCCGGATGATTTGTTCCCGTTTAGACGTAAAGAGCAAATTGAATAGCCCTGGTATTGTTTGGCAAAAACTCCGCTCCCACGATTAACTTTGCTGGTTTTGGGCAGCGCGCGAAAGTACACCGGACGACGGTGGATGTTCTGATGTCGATGGATAAGTCGAAGGAAATTTAGGTCCCGCTGGACGAAAAGGATGAAAGATGCTGATTGGGTGGATTAGCCGTTAGACGCCGTACCTGGAACGGGGGTTGTAAAGCTAAAAATTACGAGACACGCCCTAACATCACATAACAACCGGATGAATAAGAGCAAGTCGTACAAACTAATAGAATTTATGGTTTTTTTATGCTCATACAAAGCGTAATCAGGAGTGTCATTGGGGGGCGTGATATAGTTAACTATACAGGGCCAAAAAAAAAAAACCCTAGAGCATCGACTATGCGAACTAGACCTCATGCAGAAACCATCCCAGCGACAGAACCAGGCTACAAGCAATTCGCCTCCTACAAAAAGCCATTGCAATGCTCCATTGCATGTATCGTGATGAAAAGAACGTGTAGATGGAAAAACGTAGGGAAAAGCTTATGCTACAATGCGTAATCTCATCCTAGTAGAGAACGTTTGAAAACCGAAAATATATATCCCGAGGTTTAACATTCGTCAATTACAAATAAAGGCGCGCTATGAGTAGGCAAGTAGGTATGTATTTATATCATACGCCGCATGATCAATAACGATGCGTAAAGCAAGTATTATTGTGACCCCCTCGGCCGCACAACCTGCTTCTTCGTCCGGTCATAATTTAGCACTTTCCGTTTCCGGTGCGTTTTGGCCAACTTCCATCGACAATATAATACCAGCGCATCTTTCAAAAGTACAAAGAGGCAGCCTCCCACAACGCTCCGTCCCCATCTACTTTGTAGCAAGCCATATCTGCTCCTCTCCAGTATAGGTGACGATGACCCTGCAACTGATGGCGCCGTCGTCCACGCTTTTGGTAATGCCATTTTCAACACCCCACCCATCGACGCAGAGATGACGGGGAATAGCAGCGCACCTAAAACAGTATCGGCAATGTTGCTGGTGTCATGAATGATTCCCTCTTGTCGCCGACCAAGTATTTGGTTGCCTTGGTCACCGCCTCCTGCTTCCTCGTTTTGAGCAGCTGCGCCGTTGTCGCCATTTACCTGGACCTCCTCGCCACCAGCTCCCGGTAACGCTGGCATATTCTCAATCTCATCATTTCTTCCACCACCAAGCCCGACTTGTAGCTCTAAATCAATCTCCATGAGGATATCACCATTCCCCACGTCGGGTATACCTCCTTCGTCGCCACCGTGTCCGTCAGCCCCAGTTTCCCCCGAGCGCGGCTGTACCTCTGCAATCCACTTCTTCTCCAGTTTCCCAAATAATCTCTCGTAAATCATACTATAAAAGCTTTTCACATACGGTAGCGCAGCAAAGGTCATCGCAGCGCTGGGCGGCCAGAAATCCATCTCCAACTCCTGGCTGCCGGACTGGTGTGTGGCGAAGAAAAGAACAGGTATAGCCGGCAGCAGACCCTCCGCATACTTCGTTCTCGAAAGTATAAGCACGACGGGTATGAGCGGTAATCCAAAATTCAACCGCGGATTCCATGCCGACTCGCTCCGGCTTTGGAATATCCGCTGCGCATCCTCTGACCCAAAAATAAAGTATACAGAATACACCCCGTGCGCGCAGCATCCAGCCCACACAGTCCCGGCCAATGTAAAAACCATCCCGGGTAACACAAGGCGGCCCGCCAGCCGCTCAACAGAGCGCACCAAGTCGACGACAAAGCTTCGCGGGCGCGAGATGACGATTTCGGACTTGCATTGCGGACAGAGCATTTTGGTGGGACGGCCATTTCGTTTTCGTGAGTTTGGGTTCTCGAGGTCGGCGAGCCAGTCGAGGAGACAGGCTTCGTGGGCTGTCAGGGCGCAGGGACATGGCGATCGCCACTCTGTGTTCAGCGGGGTATCTTCGGTCTCGTCGGTGTAGCAGATCCAGCACTTGCGCGGCTCGGAGTCTGTGGCGCCGGTCTCGGTTGGAGGGTTTTGCTGTATTGCGTCGGATGAGATGTTGGTGGCAGAGTCTTGGGTTTGTTGACTTGGCTGTTCTTGTTGTTGTGGTCGTGATGATGATGGTGTATCAGGCGGGAGTTGCCTACTCTCACCTTCTCGAACACCGGAAGTACGCGAAACGGTGGGGAAAAAGACGTCTGGGTGGTCGATGGAAGGGGTTGTAGGGACGGAGGTAACTGTCTCAGATTGAGGCGGTTCTGCGCTACTAGATGATGAAGTGGGGTTGTTAGATACTTGCTGGGAGGCTGATGGCCGCTGCCTTCCCGCAGATGACTGTTGGGGCAAAGATGCCATCGTGTATATGTGATATCGCAAGATGTATTGGTCTGCTTGGGTTTGCGGTACACAATTTCACGTCTTCATCTCATTTCGGCGATCTGAGTATTACCATAAAGTGAAGTGAAATGAAGAGAAGAAATTTAAAGGGACGGAGCTATCCGAAAGGTTTGGTGATGATTGAAGCTGCAAGTTACTAGTTCAGACGTTCAGAGGCAAAGAGCAGCCACGTGACCCGGACCGGTTTCCAGAGTTCCTCAATTTTCCCTCGGTTGCTTCTTGGGTGGAGGAGGGGTTTTGAATAAATGTTTACTCCGTACTGATATGGAGAATCAAAGAACACTTTGAATCAAACTCTTGGAAATAACTACCCTTGAATAATTAAATGTAATGATGTGTGCAGCTCCCCATCAGATACGGTACTCGTGACTAACCTCAAATGTAAAAGATATTGAAGGCAGAAAGACAATCACCTATATACAACCAACAAAAAAGAGAACAGGTGCAGGTAGGTCAACAGATCGATGGGTCCGAAAGGATGGGACAAGATGTCCCAAGAACAAGCCGAGAAGCATGTCCGAGTTGCCTGTTTTCAAATCTTTCCAAGCAGTGCGTAACCACCTATACTTGCTTGCGTTTTAAGATATATAATTGCGCTACCGCCGCGCGATGCCAACTTTTGTTTTGTATTTTGTTTGAACATCCTCCATTCCATAACGCCCATGGATATCAAAAACGGACAATTGGGGAAACAAAAAAAGGGAATTGAAAATAGGAGAAGGAAATCCGTCAAGAAAATAAGAGCTAAATGCGTGAAAAAAAATAATAAATAAAAATAAAAAATAAAAAATAAAATTTAAGAAAGAAAAAGAAAAAAAGAAAACAAATATAATTACGTCAAGATGCACTCCACCCCGTGGCATGTGCTGGCGGCCAGGTAAATCGCGAAGCTCAAGAGAACTGGTAAATTTAATATCCAGATCTCTTCTTCATGAGGGCTCTTCGCTCCTTCTCCTTGGCTATAATTTCAATTGAGTTAGTCATTATTCCTAATATCAATCACGCACCGAATTCAAGACGTAACAAGTGTGTAGGGCTTGGGCTACATACCTTCATCATACACCAAAAACTCATGCAGTCCTTTACCTGTCGGCACCATTGGCAGAACAGGAACTTTCTTATCGGTAACCACCTCGAGCAAGGCCGGGCCCTCGCTCTCGATAAGCCATTTCAAGCTCGACTCCACCTCGCTGGGTTTCGAGCACAATTTGGCTTGTACACCCATGGCTTCTGATACCTTGACGAAATCTGGATTCAGCTGGTGAGTATGGGCGAAGCGGTCCTCATAGAAAAGACTCTGCCATTGCGTTACCATGCCCTGCTCTTCATTGTTGAGAACGATGACCTTAACACCAATGTTGAACTGCGCGGCGGTAGTCAACTCGGTAATAGTCATGTTGAAGGATGCATCGCCATCAATGTCGATCACAAGCGCGTCCGGGCGGGCAACCTTGGCACCAATGGCGGACGGTAGGCCATATCCCATAGTGCCCAGCCCACCAGATGTGATCATGGTCCGCGGATATCGCCATCTGAAGTGTTGAGCAGTCCACATCTGATGCTGACCAACCTCTGTAGTGATAATAGTACGTTCTTTTATGTCCGCGGTCAATTCGTTAAGTTTCTCAATGAGTGCTTGAGGTTTAATGAGGCCCTCTGGGGTTTGCTTTTCGTATAGGGAAAGAGGGAATCTCATCTTCCAGTCATTAATCTGAGCGAACCATTCGGGTCGGCTTTTGATAGCGTCGATCTGTGGAATCAAAAGGGCGAGGTTGTCTGCGCAATCACCTTCAACGGGTATCGTTGCTTCGACGACCTTGTTGATATTTTTGGGCACCATCTCAAAGTGAATAATACCACCCCGGCCTTCCGAGGCGGCAGCCTTGGCTTGGGGAGCGAATTTGGAAATGTTTAATGTAACACGGTCGTCAAATCTGGCGCCCATGGCAATAATCAAATCTGCCTCTTGCATAGCCATATTGGCGTAGGCTGAGCCATGCATTCCCAGCATGTGGAGAGATTTCGGATCCAACTCGTCAAAGCCGCCTAGACCCTGCAGAGTGGTGGTGACGGGAATGTTTGCCTTGTCTGCGAGCTGCTTGAGCAACTTCGGGCCCTCTGGGCGTGCAAGGAGACCCTGGCCAACGTATAGAACAGGTTTCTTGGCAATGTTAATCAATTTAGCTGCGCGCCGGATGTTCGCTTCCAGGTAGCGTGCATTGAGTTCACGTGCCGCAAGGGTTGCTGCACTTGGCTGAGTTGGGAGTGTGCTGCTCATGGGGATAGCCTTCTGCAGGATGCTAGCTGTCACATCTTTAGGAAGATCAACCAAAACAGGCCCTGGTCTGCCGCTGGTGGCAATTTCAAAGGCCTCTTTGATACGTCTAGGGAGCTCAGCGACCGATTTTACCATGACATTCCATTTCGTGCAAGCTCTTGAGATGCCAATTACGTCGGCTTCCTGGAAGGCATCCGTTCCAATGGCGGTTGTCGCAACCTGGCCACAAAAGACCACCATGGGGGTTCCGTCGGACATAGCATCCTGTATCGGTGTAATAACGTTGGTTGCGCCGGGTCCTGAGGTGACAAGCACCACGCCTGGTTTTCCACATGCCCGAGCATAGCCTTCGGCCATATGTCCAGCACCCTGTTCATGTCGTGGAAGTACAAAATCGAGGTGTTTAGAGTTGTAGATCGCATCAAAGACTGGCAAGATAGCACCACCAGGGTACCCAACTGCATAATTGTGGTTGCGGTTAGTTGTATAACGGAAAGGTTTTACTGAAATATGCCAATTGATATTGCTTTTCTCCTTTTTGTCCTGGGATTACTCACATATATGCTTCACTCCTTGTCTTAGCATCATCTCATGAAAAATCTCTCCTCCACTCATTCCGATAAATCTGCAAGAAACGGTGAGCGAGATATCAAAGCAACAGGCAGACCGTCCGATCGAGTAAAAACATACGAGTCATCCAGCGCTGGTAGCTTCTTGTTTTGGAGGGGTGAGATATCATTCTGAGGGGTATATTGATTAAAGGCAGGGCTGGGATATGGTCGTGCTTGTCTGTTTCTCATGCAACAGATTAGCTTATACCCAAAATATATTGCACGATGGTATACATTTGAGTTTCTGAAGAATTAAGAAATCAAATTTTACACCTAATATGAAGACAATGAATGAAAATAGGGAAATTAACGGGAACAACGTACGGAGATGGAGCAGAGACAGTGCTCTGGCCTCGTTTTGATACGCCTCTTGCGGAAGATGTCTGACTCAAGCGGTTTTGGGAGGAGAGAGAAGCGGTAGGCGCAGAGGACGAGGGTCTCGAACAGTTTCTCAAAGACGCATTTTGGGAATGGAGCGCACACAAGGCGCGCCTTGATGGCCTTATCGACATCATCTTTGCGAGCGGCGAGAATTGCCAGGGCCAAACAAGAAAGACGATGAAGAATTTGATTTGGAACAGAATCCAAATCTCAGAGAGGGCTAGTGGAAGGAATTGAAGGAGGAGGGGGGATGATGGAAGTGGAAGAAAGCTCTCTCGGAGCGATTAGATTATTTATTCGCATGTCTTCAAATTGTTTGGCCGCTAACAGTCACCGCCCGCCAACTGAGGAAGCAGCTGTGTGCTTTTCGGCGCGAGAATCGGGGGTAATTGGGGCACGTGACGCCGATGCTCGGACCAATACACGTCCTGCCATTGGCTGGGTTGGTTGACTCAGCGCCCCTTTGTCTGCGCCAAGACGCCAAACCAGCGAGGATATACGCTGAGTCATCAAAAAGGATGCTAGACCTGTTCGGGACACTAGATCAAACCTGATAACCCGCCAGCTTCCAAGGTTGGTGACTCATACTGTGCGTACAGCCAGAACCCCGGCTACAGGCTACATATATACACCACCGCGGACAAGGAAAGGGCTTGGCCTTTGTTCCCGGTTGTGCGGGATCCAGCTTCGTTCCTCGGGCCGCCTTAACTGCGGGCAACTTATTTAGCAGCAGCTGTGTTAGTAGTGGCTGGGAGGTCCCAAAAGCTTGATCTTGCCCACCAATCTGGGGTCAACCTAAATAATGAAATGATGTTCTGAAAAAGACGGACGTCCCTGTTCACAGAAATTTTAATAATATTGGCGTGGAATAATTGTATTTCGGAGGGTAAAAAGAGAAAATCCAAATAAATCCAAAATAAATCGAAATTGCGGATGAGGTTGTCTTGTCATGTATGTACAGTGTACGAGCGGGGAACTGACTCAAACAGTGTTATATTCAGGTTGTCGCTGGGAATAGAGTGTAAAGAGAGAGTGTAAAGAAGAAAGTGTGAAATTAACTTATAGAGAAAACATTCTGGGCTCATATGAGCAGGGTGAACAAAATATAAATCATCATAACATCATTAATCATCAAATAGTAAAGACCCAAACCCCGCCCAAGCAGCATGCCCTATAGCACTTACTTTGAATCAGAGATATTGCCCTGGACGAACCGGCTTAGAGATGCGACCTTCTGGCTCAGCTCATTGATACTGCCGCCAACCGTAACATCGATGAGCGATAACTCTGTCCCCGCCTCTTTCGCTAGCCACGTCCGGAATTCAATCGCAATCAGGGAATCAACTCCATTCGAACGGGTCGATTTGCCCGGGTCGATTTGGTCACTAGAGACGTTTAGAAGCACCGACAGCTTGTTCAGTATGCCGTTCAGCGCTATTTCAGCTGCCTCCTCTCTGCTCCTAGCGGCTCCGAGTAGAGCGTCGACACAGTAGGTATCCGTCTCTTCAGACCCTTGCTGCTGGGAACCACTGGTCTTCTGCAACAAGGTGAATAAGGGGTAGTTGAAACATTCGGGAGGGGGCACTCCACGCTCTTGAGAAGACTTCTTCGTCGCCAGGCCGAAGAGTACCTGGCAAGTGCTCTGGGTCTTTTCGTGTCGTGGGTCGACTAGATATTCCACGACTGCATGGACCTCGTCTTCCCGAAACGGTATCATGGCCTTTGTGGCATTTCGAGCATAGTTTTGGTTTTCGGCAACGAAACCAACGGATAGCACGCCGCCGATGTCGAAACTTGCGGCTCGCAGTCCGTTTGCCACGCGATGTTTGGCAAGCGCGTCCTGATATGTGTTACCTGCGGCATAGTTTGCCTGGCTGCGGCCTCCCATAACTCCAGCCAGCGAGGAGAGCATGACGAAGAAGTCAAGGTCTTTGGGCAAGACATCGTGGAGATTTTGTGAGCCTTGAGCTTTGGGTTTGATTGTCGCCGTCCAATCCGCATACGTCAGGTTTTCAAAGAGTGAATCCTGCACCCTGTTAGTTCCCTTGTCCTCATAAAAACGCTTATTTTCTGCGGATTGGATTTCTTAGTTTCAAAATGAAGGAAATATGGATTACTCACCCTCAAGACCATCGAACCCTGAATACATCCTTTAATTGGAGGAAGTGTCTGCTGGCACTCTTCAACAACTGCTTGTAGCCGAGATGCGTCAGACACGTCGCAGGTGAAGATTCGAATTTCGCATCCTTTCCCTTCCAACTCGGCAACCATCTCTTGGACTGGTTGCGTGATTTTTCCTGAACGTGACAGGAATACCAAATGCCTTGCGCCACGGCTCACCATCCACCGTGCCAGACTCCTTCCAAGTCCTCCAAGACCTCCAGCGAGTACATAAGACGCATTGGCCTCAAATGTGTACGGGATATTGACCTCGGGGATAACGGGAACAATATCCTTTTCGTTAGGTGCGAACACTATTTTACCAATGTTCTTGCCGGACTGTAACATGCGAAGACCATCTTCAAGTTCAGAGTAGCCCAGGGTCGTTAGTGGATGGGCTCCCTTGATCTTATTCTCTTCCCACAGGCGTATGGTCGTATTGAGAAGCTCTCCCACAATTTTTGGTCTGGACTCAGCGAGAGTAAGTAAATCTACTCCAGTAAATGAGATATTTTGAAGGAAGGGAGTCATGTCTAGTTTGCCGCCAGCCTGCAGGTCTTTCTTCCCAATCTCGATAAAACGACCAAATGGCGCAACGCATTCAAAGGACTTCCGCAGAGCTTCTTGGGACAATGAGTTGAGAACCAAATCAACGCCGGAATTTTTAGTCATTCTCATAATCCCCTGAACAAAGCTGGTGTCTCGGCTTGAGAATATGTGATCCTCAAGGATGCCATACTCCTTCTTGAGGAATTCCATCTTTTCAACGCTTGAGACAGTTGCAAAGATCTCAGCTCCAATTTCTTGGGCGTACTGAATGGCGGCTTGCCCAACGCCACCGGCGGCAGAGTGAATGAGAATCTTTTCACCAGCAACTAGTCTGCCGACATTTGTCAAGCTGTAGATGACAGTAGCGTAGATAACTGGGAGCCCTGCAGCAAATTCGAAACTCATATTGTTCGGTATTCTGATAGCTAGCGATTCGTTGACCCGGCCGTGGCTGTGGAAAGTCCCCTTCTTGGGCGAGTCGGTGAGATAGACTACACGATCGCCGGCCTGCAAATGCCTGACACCTGACCCAACCCTGGTCACGACCCCAGCCGCTTCTCTCCCGACGACATCTCCCACCCCCTCACCCATAATACTTAGAAGGTCCACGAAATTGAGCCCGACAGCACAAATATCAACCTCAATGTCTGAATCTCCTAGCGGCAAAGCGGAAGCAGCGTCAGTCACCCATTGCAGCTTGTTGAGTACTCCTCGTGTGCTGTTCTGGAGCTTAACTGGACGTCCGGTGTCCTTCCACGGAACCAATTCTGGACTGAGTGTTGAGAATTGCGAACGCAAGAAACTGGTTGCCGAGGGATGATCAAGGATGTGGTTAATGTAAATCAACCCATCCCGCAGAAGGTACTCAGCGTTCTGGTGTTTCATCTGCCCACTGGTGAATTGATAACGGAATATCTTCGATACTAAATCGATGGTTGATCTAGTGGGAGAAGAACTGGAAGTACCAAGTGCCAGGGTAACAAAATTTGGGCTCTCCGCATCGCGTTCCCATCGAAGCGTGCGAACCATGCCGGTGCTCATGTTGAACGCCGGCTGTGCGGCCGGATCACCTGTTATCCACAACAATCTTTTGCATGTTGAAAAGTATTGCTGGAGATTCTTGAAGTCCTCCTCGGAAATGTCAAGCAAAACGGGAGTTTCAAGTTCTAAAAGAGAGATGCAGATAACGTTCGCTCTATCCTTTCCAATGAATTCATGTAGTTGCATGACAGTACAGTTTGTAACCCCAGCATTTTGCGCAAGTTCGGCTTGTAATTTGTGAATGAAATCGTGCTCAACTCTAGAGGCAGGGGCAAGGATCACGACATCGGTTGCGGTACGGCCACTGTCTGGGGAATCTGGGACAGCGGATGAAATCATTGTGCTGAGCTTTACAAACTCAGGATATCGCGAATTGGGAATTTCAATTTCAACCCCCGAGAACCCCCTCTGACGAAGAAGAGCGTCCCATTCCGGAAGCGTGATGAGAGGGCACCACTCGCGATTAGGTTCATTAGACAGCCACCAGCCAGATAGAAGACCGAATATAAGTGACGGCCAGACAATATCTGGTCTGACCACTTCATGGACCACAAGCTTGCCACCAGGCTTTAACAAACGTTGAGTATTTTCGAGAGACTTTCCTAAGTCCGGTGTAGCATGCAGGACGTTGTGCGCGATGACCATGTCGTATTTTTTGGCACTGAAGCCTTGGGTTGTTGGGTCACGTTCGATATCCAACTTCTCAAATGTAAGAAGGTCTGCCCATTCGCTTAGATTCTCTTTTGCTTTAGAAAAGAAGCTAGGTGAAATATCTGTGAAGGTGTACTGGGCGACTGTATTGGTGCTATCCGTGCTCTCATTTCCGGACCGAGGGGCGAGAATACCTAAAAGAAGCCGAGCAAAGCTTCCGGTTCCGGCACCTATTTCGAGGATCTCAAGATCGCTGTAGTTGTCGCCGAGGAGAGATAAATACGCATCCACGTTCTCCGTGGCGTCGCCTTCATGCAAAACCTCCTCATAATAAGAGGTCATGATGTCGTCTTGGCCAAACATGAGATACAGCGGATCAACTTCGTCCCGCATGATTTCTGGAATCTGCAAACCTAGTCGGACCATAAGTTCTCCGTCCTTGTTAAGTTTTTCGACTTCCTGGTAAAGCTCCTGTTTGAGACTTGGGTCCTCAGAATACTTTTTGCATAACTCAAGCGGGGCATGTACCACTGAATTTGCTGCCACATTGTCCGCAATCAGATGCATCCATTCGTAATACTTTCGCAAATGACTTGTCGGCGGCTTGACGGGGGTACCTTTCAGAGCTTCAAGGGCATCGGTAATCAGCAGCGCAGATGCAAGCTGAAGCTTTTCGAATAAGTTTTGCTGCTCCTCGTACGTCGCCGACGGTTCGACCGACAATGCCTGGTGAAATTCTGGTGATTCCAACATATCGATATCAAGCGTCCAGTCCATTGCGTAGCCGTGTTGTTGTGTGCCGCTAAGCGAAGCATCCTCATCCGATAAGGGAGTGAAGCGAACTCCTGAGAGGGAGACCCGTGGCTGATCGTCCGCTCCATCCGAACATTTGATGTCAAAACTGTAGGAATCGTATGCCTCCGGTGAGGCTTGTCCGTGACATCGGAAATTAACACCTGCCTGAGCATTGTTGTCTGCGGAAATCCAAGATTCTTTGATGAAAGTTGGTACCATCGGCCGTTTCAAAACAGTCTGCCGCCCATGGTCACAGATCGCGACAAGTCCAGAAACAAACATGCTGTCCAATGTGACAGGGTGAATGACGTGAGAGTCAAGATAACCCTTTGGCATTGCGGATGCCAATTCCGGAGTGGTCGCGGTGCCCATTATGACTCCCGGTTGTTGAGTGTTGGCGGTGATATTGGATAGGTTCTTAAAAAGGGGACCATATTTCAGGCCGACCGTCTCGAAATTGTCAAAGAGCTTTCCAATATCAAGGGGCCTCTGGCAACTCTGTGCACCCTGTTCAATTTCATCTTTCCAAGCCTGGGTAGCTGCTTCGCTCTCACGGCCATTGTCGATAGGGTCTGGAGAGGTCTTGTGCTCGACGGAAAAATATCCAGAACAATGTTCGATCCAATCGTCGTGAGCTGCGATATATGAGCATACCTGGAACCATTTCCAAACGGTAGACTCCCAATGGTTTGATTCGTTCACGGGGTGAATGGACAAGGACACTTCCACTCCCTCTCTTGTATCGGGAACAACAAGGGCGGACTTGATGGACACGTTTTTTAGTCTTATTCCAGTTAGTTTGACTGCATCACCTGTGACTTGCCTTACCGCCTCAGTCACCATGGTCAAATATGCAGATGCGGGAAGGACACAACGCCCAGTGACCTAGAATGACGAAATTAGCATTGTAAACCATGCATATATCGCCGGTGGACTGAGTGTATGTACCATGTGCTCCTTTAGCCAAGGATTTTCGTAAGTTCTGAGGAAATGCCGCCATTTACGATTCTGCCGGTTCCAGTCCTGGACGGGCGCACCGAAGAGTTGATGCCGTGGAAATTCTCGGTAACGTATCTTTTTGCTTAGTCTACTCTCGTAGTAGCCTCTCTCGTCATGGTTGAAGGAGTAGGGAGGCAGCCAGACAAGCATCTGCGGGGTCCGCATATTTCCCTCTTGTCCTGCGAAGCCATGATTGACTTCATAGATATTGACTGGGGCTGCCTTGCCGTTTAGGCTCCCAACAGCATCCATCATTGTACGGAGAGTAGAGTCTTGACGATTAAGCAGCGACATATATGAAATTGGAGGCGCGGAGGCAGTGGCAGCGATTGTCTGCTTAATCGCGCTCTGCAATGCGGAGTGAGGGCCCACTTCAATGATTTCGTCTATCCAGGTTTTGTCGAATTGGTCGGACTCGAGATCGCTGTCATCGGGATGGAAGATCATAGAACGCAAGCCATCCGTGAACCGGACAGGTGAAACCATATTGTCGGCCCAATACTGAGTGGTAAGTTCAACATCTTTGACCCTCTTTCCTGAAATTGTGGAGAACATCTGGATATCATGATTAGAATCGAAAAGCTGTCCAGCAGGGGGCGAGCCCATCAGTTCCAGATAGTCTTCAGCAAGTTTCTGCATATGGGAGGAATGGTAGGCATTTTGGACTTTCAGTTTTCGAGCGAAAATATCTTCTGCATCAAGTAACTCCTTTAGTACGTCGATCATCACTTCGTCGCCCGAGACGGTATTGTTTCTTGGACTATTGTAACACGCAACCACTAACTCTCCTTTGTGAGCTGTATGTACTTTGTCCAAATATTCCTGCAGCTTTTCCTGACTTAAGCCAACAGCAATCATAGATCCATTGACACCTTGTTCCTTTGCAGAGACAAACCCGCGGTAGTAGGCGGCTCCCCATGCGGACTCCCGAGATATTTTACCAGCGCAATACGCAGCAGCAATTTCGCCTGAGGAGTGGCCAACAACGCGAGCAGGATATATGTTCCAGGAAGCTAGAAGTTCCACAATAGCAACTTGGATAGAGGTTGATGCAGGGTGGGCAATTGCAGGATTATGAATTTTAGAGGTCTCCTGTTCGCGAAGAAGTTCATCTGATGTAAAAATTAGTATAATAAATTTAAGATTATGGTAGGAACAAAATACTTACCTATTAGCGACCATGGGCTTCCAACCGCCTTCATGTATTGCGTCGCATCTTCCAAGCTTTTTCGAAATACTGGGTATATCATGAATTGCTTCCCCATTCTACAGTACTGGGCACCCTGGCCAGTGAAGACGAACCCGATTCTAGGCGGACGATCCGTGTTCGCGGGTTTGGGTCGAGCTTTAACAGTGGATAAACTTTCTTCAAGCTCTGGAATCGAGTCTGCGACGACATGGCTTTTCCATCGGAAATCTGATCTCCTTTGGGACAGCGTGTATGCTAGGTCACTGAGAAACTCCGCTGCATCATTCGATAGCAATGAAGTTTTGGTTGCAAGGTAATTCCTCAAATCCGTCGCAGTTCTCGTTACACCTTCCTTGTCGAATGCGGACAAGATAAACAGTCGGGGAGCTTTTGTCTCACCACTAGACAAGGAGTTCGGAACTTCGTGTGAGCCGTTCACAGTCTCCCCATTCGTGTCATTAACAGCCTCTCCATTGGTCCCATTCACGGTCTCATTTTTCGGCCCAATCGTATTCTCTCCATTAATCTCACTCACGGGCTCCCCATTAGTCCGATCCACAGATTCTCCATTGATCCCATTCATGGTCTCATTATTTGTTCCGACCGTATTCTCTCCATTGGTCTCATTCGCAGGCTCCCCGTTGGTCCCATTTGCAAGCTCCCCGTTGGTCTCATTTGCAGGCTCCCCGTTGGTCCCATTCACAGCGTTACCATTGACTCCATTCAGCATTTTACCATTGCTTCCATTCTCATTCTCCCCATTCGTGCCATTGATAGTATCTCCATGAGTTAGCTCCCTATTTCCGTTGGTAAGTTCTTGCAGTTCCCCGTAAAGCTTGTTCAGGGAGGTAAGAGTTTGGTTGATTTCAAGCTTAGTTGGCACCTGTATGCGAGTCCTGTGGATTCCGTTCAAGCCTTGCTCCTGCAAGAAATGGTATGCATCATCCAAAATACAGTGTGCATTAGTTCCACCGAATCCAAAAGAGTTCACGGATATGCGACGCGCTCCTGCTTTGGGCCAAGGTATACATTCTGTAGGAAACTCAAGATTCCACTCATCCTTAGGGATATTCGGATTGACTTTCTCGAAATTGGCATTTGGAGTGATGATGCCAGCTTCCAGAATCATAACCGACTTGATGACACCCGCAATGCCCGCACCGCCTTCAAGATGTCCAATACTTGCCTTCAAAGCGCCAACATAGAGCGGCTCTTTGCGGTGTTCCGAACCAAATGCGCTAGTAATAGCTCTAGTCTCGATGGGGTCTCCCACCGGCGTGCCAGTTCCGTGTGCTTCGACGAACATTGTGTCCCTGGGATCTAATTTCGCGTTGCTATATAGATGGCGAATAAGAGCTTCCTGTGCCTGAGCGCTTGGAAGGGAAATACCCGGTGTACGCCCGTCCTGGTTTACGAGGGTTCCGCGAATGACTGCTCGTATCGTATTTCCATCTCTGAGGGCATCCGATAGTCTCTTGACAATGACAGTTCCTACCCCTTCTCCTCGAGCATACCCTTCAGCTCTGTGATCGAAAGTGAAACATTTACCTGATGCGCCAAGGACACCAGAATGGCTAAATGCGATAATGTCTCCAACGTGGCTAATGACACTTCCACCAGTCACAACAGCCTGGAGAAGATTCTTAGCACAACTCAAAAAGAAGTGTGGACAAGCGAAGAGATTGAGGGGAGTACCATTTCACTGTCGCCAGATTTCAAGCTCTGGGCAGCCAAGTGAAGGGAAACAAGACCGCTGGAGCATGCGGTATCAATTGTAACGCTAGGTCCGTGAAAGTCATAAAACCAGCTGACCCGGTTTGAAATGATGGACTGCTCTGAACCAGTTGACTTGTGCTTTAAAGACGTTTCAATATCCATATTTAGAAGATTCCTGTGGTCATGGTTGAACCCAGCGGCAAAAACAGCAGTCTTGGAGGATATTGCCTGATCCAGAGGAATTCCAGCTGTTGAGTTCAACGGCAAGTCAGAATTTTTTTTATTAACATTAAAGATGCATCTGATGGGTCTATCGTCGTCTTACCATTCTCAAGAGCGTGGTACACATTTTCCATCACAAGTCGTTGCTGAGGATCCATCGTCAGGACTTCTGTTTGGCTGATTCGGAAGAATCCAGCATCAAAACCCAAAGGGTTCTCCGACAAGAAGTGGCCACCCTTGACATGAAACTGCAGAGAACAGTTAGCAGCATGACACCAACGTTTGCATGACAAGACTTTTTTATTTTTGGTTTTATTTTAAAATAGGAGACGAACTGTTCCGCCATGATCAAGATCAGGGTGATAATATGCGTCCGCATTGAATCGGTCTTTTGGGATCGGAGTGGTTGATTGACGTCCTCTGAGTAAAAATTCCCAAAACTTCTCAGGAGTACTCGCTTCCTGCGCGTAGCGTGCTGAAAGCCCGACGATGGCCAATGGGGTCATATTATTATGATCACCCATGACGGACATATAACGCTCTAAAAATAGAAAGGTGAGGCTGAACGGTCGTTCAGTGTTCGGGACGGATGCTTTCTGCTGGAAACTCGATGCTCGTAGATCCCGTGTCTCGTCAACAATAGTGGGGAATTCGCGCCCCTATCCGCGGATAGCTAACGGTCATGATATAAAAAGGGTCGTCCCGTCCTGAGAGGGTCACCTCCGTCCTATATATTTACAACATCTGAGCCTAGCAGCAGTCTGACTCTAGCTTGTCTCCGTTCTTCCCAACCCCTACCCCTACCCTACCCCTCCCCTCCCCCCTCCCCATATCCTCGTTAGATGGCCATGCATAAGCCTTGACGTTGAAATATCATTTTCAAAAGTCAATCAATTCTGGCCACGTATTGATAATTGCTCATTTCTAGTGGGTTTTGAGCGATCGCTGGGGACTTGGCCAGTGGCCACTTGAACGGATGCGGGGCAAGGACAGAGACCAAGCACTCACCGAGCGGAAAACGATCTAAATGGGGGTGTCTCCTGAGCATATGACAAAGGAAGACCCCGAACCTGCAGCTGGATCGGGGAATGCTTCGTCGGGGTGTCAATGTTGGAGCCACGTCACTTTCACAAGGGGCTTTATCATCATAAAGCTGTGTTTTGGATTGACTAATTCTGCTAACGACGACGTAGACTAAGCGGGGACTTGAGGGACAGAATTGCCGCGAAGCTTATAACTGCGGAGCTCTAAGCAAGCTTGCGGGAGACGCGGCATGAAGCAAGGGAGCCGGCCCGAAAGTAACGCTGCAGGAGCTGTTCAGGAGGGAGGAAATTCCTGAGTATCTGATCAACAGCGCCAGAGATACCTCAGTAACAATACGCACGGGGTAGCAGGATAATGGATGTAGCGTAAGGATTGTTCCTCAGCCGGTTTTCGACTCACGATGAGATCTCGGGACAAACGGGAACAATGTCCTTTTGGAGTAACCTCAGTCATTCCCCTCATCAATGCAAGAGAAACGACCCTTTTAGCTCATGCGCTACCGGTTCCAGTCAGAATAATCCGTACTTTTCGATAAGACATTTGTGTGAATGCGTTTTCTGAGTTCGAGTCGCCTCAGGGAAGTTGCATCCCTGAGATAGCTGCATGCAATAATATGCTCCATGGACAAGGGCGCGATGGTTTTTTATCCACACGCAGGATGCAGTAGTGCGCATGTCGTTTAGGGTGTCAAATCGGCCAATGGCGGGCGCACCCTGGTCTCCGCGCTGCGACCGATAGCGTTAAAATTTGGACATGGCCGGTGGTCGCATTTGTACCCACATGGGCCAACCTTCGTTGCATCCTTCTCTGATGTCTTGTTACAACTTACAACTCACAACTTACAAGCGGAAGCACTAGACCTGTAGCCTGTGGGAAGTCGTTGTTGAGCCGACCTGGGTTATGATTCTTCCCACTTCAAGAATCAACAGTCCAACAAGCGTCAAACTACAAAGTATATTGTCCGGATTAACCTTTCAGCGTAGTTTTGTTTGATTGAACATGGGTTCTTTGGTTCCAATAATCCATCCAACCCAACCTTTGGTCCTGGAATGCTTCCGGTTGGATTTTCTTGCGAGACGACGTCGGCTTCGGGCTTTACCAGGATATCAGATAAAATTTATTAACTATTAATCATTTATGAAACGGGTAAATGGATCTCTCAGGTTCTGTCTCGCATTATTCTCCCAGGTGAATTGTATTATTCGAAATTCGAAGAATAATAATAAGAACACCAGATTCGTTCCCGCCATCCTTATAACGGTCATTGGTCTTCGCATAAACTCTGGATCTAACGTAGAACTATAGATTATTAGGTAGTCCTAGTATGTACCGGCGAGGGCGGCTTTATGGGAGTGGTCAACGTGCATTGTTAGGCCAACAGACTGACCTTTGATAGCTGAACGACCTTCCTAGAATGTCTCGTTAGAGTGCGCACGGGGGGCGTGTGTGTGTGTGTCCGTGACTTTTGAGAGGGTCCTGTTTGTAGCCGAGGATGTCATGGTTGCCAGTGGAGAGAGCATTGAGGATCCACTTGGGGCGCGGACTGCGGCGGACATACAAGGGTAAACGTTATTTCTCAAATAATTCCAGTACAAGTATTTGCAGGCCCCAGGGAGACAGAGTTGTTCCACACAAACTAGGAGTCCATGACGGATCATCCGAGATTGGCACGGAGGAAGGGGGAAGAGGGGACGGGAGCAACCACAAGAAGAAGAAGCAGAAGACCTAAAATCCAGTACCGTGAATTGCCATATTCTTGTTCTGCAAGAGAACCGTCCCCATGGCATCCGTTCGGGGCGTTTCCAGGCTCCGGGTAGCGTGGAGCGGCTTCACACCAATGAGGCCGGGCCTAATCTGGTCCGTGTTCGAGGCTCAAGGCCCAACATTACGGGCCAACCTTTTCGCTTTCTGCTTCTTCTCCATACTCTGCGCTAAAGCTGCTGTCCGTTGGCGATGTTTGCCTGTCCCAGTTCTACAGCGTATACTCCGTACGCTGCGAGAAGTGCCCAGAATAATAATCAGTTGGACCCGACGCTTGGATAATGTATCATTTCAAACCTTGCTGCCAAGCAGCGGCCGGAGCCAGCGTGCTGCCGATTCGTGCGCGGGTCCCCTCGTGTTGGCTTGACTCCTCTCCAAGCTAAGAGAGTTTACTAGCGGTCTCCGACTCGTAGCCACCAGCGCGGAACGGTGTGAAGGGCCCTGCTTCCCTCCAGCACAATTATTATACTGGAATCCAGGGATCTCACAATTGCCACGGCTATTGTTTTCCATCACGCCGGGATTCGCTGATCTCTCCCCAAAATTACTGCCCCCCGAGCCCACCAACAGCCTTGAGAACAATATTAAAGTTGATCACTTTTCTGCCACTTGCAGTGCTTTTTTCCCTCTCTGGAGGCTGAGTTTGTCCGGGGGGTGACGCCGGGGGGTTCAGTCTCCTCCAAAATATCTCGAATCCCAATGCCAGACCGCCTCCTTTGTGCTGCCTGCTTCTCGAAAGGGAAACAATGAGCCACAATGTTTATGTCACGTGCAGAAGCCGTCACTGGTCCCATCTCGCACTTTCTTTGTCTTCGCACACGGGCGAGCAGTCCCAGTCCCCACCTCGGCATCCGTACCCAACGTCGAGGAGCTGGCAGAAGTGCGTGGCAATTTTATTCCGGCCTCCTATTCCCTACTAGCAGTAGCCAGTTCAAATTGCGTGCCTGTAATGTCTCCTGCGAGGAGCATGGGGAAACCGCTCCCTTGGTATCAACCACTCTCCCGGGAAAACACAAGCAAAACCGCTTCTGCACAACAAACTTGAAACCCATGATTATTATATCTTGATATAGTTTATTAATAGTTGACTGACACTATCTAATCCATCTGGCCTTGAAATTTGCATCCATGGACGAGGATGAAACATTTTCCCTCACTTCGAGCATCCGCAATTACGAGTTAGTTGCCTCTCTACCTTCCCGTTAGCCACTGGTCGTTTCCATATACGCAGCTGAACCTCTTAATACTCATGATTTCTACAGATATTTCGGCCATCGAAGATACCATGCTTACCATGCAGGTGAATATTTTATGCCAAACGACGAGGAAGAACAGGAACGCTTGGATTTGATGCACCACCTGTTCCTCCTCAGTTATGATGGCGAGCTCTATCGTGCCCCCATCCCAAAGACTGTTGGGCGCACCCTCGACATCGGATGTGGTACCGGAATAGTGAGTAGATGATGTTGCCTTTATCTTCCTCTATCAACGTCTGGATTTGTGTAGTAGCTAATTCTTTTGCGACTGGGGAATTAGTGGGCGATAGATTTTGCTGATGCGCACCCCACAGCCAAAGTCATCGGATCTGATCTCTCAGCGATACAACCCGGCTATATCCCGGAAAATCTGCAGTTCGAAGTCGATGATGCCGAGGAAGATTGGCAGTACACCCAACCGTTCGAGTTTATTCATGTTCGGGGAATGGGCGGAGCGATAGCAAATTGGCCGCGGTTGTTAAAGCAGGCATTTGATAACCTGGCACCGGGAGGCTGGATAGAGCTCGCTGAATTCGATGCATGGGCTTCGACTGACGACAACAGCCTTCCCGAATCATCTGCTTATAATCAGTTCCAGACTCTCTTGGGAGAAGCGTCTGAATTATTCGGCAAGCCGGTCAATGTGGCCTCCAAGTTTAAGGATTTTGTACGAGAAGCTGGCTTCACGAACATTGGAGAGGACAACCGGAAAATACCTTTATCGCCTTGGTCGTCAGACAGGAAGATGAAACGGCTCGGGAATTATATGCAGATGGCCATGTCGGAGTCTCTGGAGCCATATGCCCTGGCTCTCTTTACGAAGGTGCTGAACTGGGACAACATCATGATACAGGCCCTGCTTGCCGGGGCAAGAAACGATCTGAAAAATATGGATTACCATATATACACCACTGTGTAAGAGGCAATCTTTAATAACATTAGACACAACAAATATTCAAAAAGCTAACCGTCAGCTGCAGCCACCGTGTATTTGCGCAAAAGCCGCTCTCTTGACCATCTCAGGGCAGAAATAAATGAAAATGATCAATGATCACACCTTAAAAATCCAAGATAAAACCTTTCGAATTTCTGTTCAATATATTCAGCCCCGCCGCGTTCTTTTTTATTTATTATCTATCCTCTCTAGCTTTACGATTATTTATTTATTTTGTTTTTCGTCTCGATTTTGGAGGGGCGGGTCCTACGCTGCTTGGGTGTTTTTCCTGGACATTGGCACGGCGCGGTACATGGTTCCATTTTTATTTCGCCAAAATTTCGACCTTGCTATTGTTCCTTTCGACTTTATCATTGTTCATTGTTGCAGTTGCAGCCGCACCGCCTATTGTTATCTGCCATGATATCACCACCCAAATTATTATTATTATTATTTTTTTTTTTCGGAAAGACAATTTTCGGGAAACTTTTCTCGGGCCTTTTCTGATGTGTTCTTTCTTCCTCCTTTTCTTTGTCTTTCTTTTTTTTTTTCTCTGGTTTTTTCCATTTTCCAGATTTTTGGATTAAATTCTATTTCAGCCAGATTGTACTACCCTACCCATACGCAAATCCAAAAACAAGCGTCGGTCGTCGCTCGCTTCTTCTGCACACTTTGGGCAAGCCGTGGCCCGCGATGTCGATCACGTGCTTGTCTTCTTTTAGGAAGGTGTGACCTCACGATGCAACCTTCAATGCCCATTTAGCGCTGGTGGTCTGTCCATGGATCAATTCCGTCATCTTACCATATACGCGAGTCAGATAGTTAGAACAAATCGATCTAACTCTTTGGTATTTCGGCCATTTACTGATTTAGTATTGCCAGTTGTCTTTTAACGTTTTTAGCTATAGTTAAGAAAAGCACCCACCAGGGTGTGCTCGAGTTGCACGTGGTGGATCTTGAAGCTGCCCCGCTCGACAACTGCGCCGAATGTCGCAATGAATCCTCCCGATGAGCTTGTCCCGCAAACAGAATCTATCGCAGACGTTTACTCGACCGACCCAGCTGGCGGAGTCAGCATATCTTCCGACCAGAAACTCCGCTGGAGCAATTTCATTGCCCAATTCAAGAGCCTCTACGGTGCGTCACCGGACTTCGTCGCGCGGAGCCCTGGCAGAGTCAACATCATTGGCGAGCATATCGACTACTCCCTCTACGATGTCTTACCAACCGCCGTCAGTGTCGATGTCTTGATTGGTGTCAAGATTCACCCGGCAGAGACAACGCAGGAATCTTGGGCGAAAGTGGCCAACACCAACGATACCAAGTTCCCTCCGGGTCAATTCTCTATCCCTAGGGATAGAGATCTGGAAATAGACAGCGCCAAACATGAGTGGATAAACTATTTCAAAGCTGGGCTGCGGGTGGCATTGAAACTCTTAAGAGAGAAGAATCAAGATGGGGACTTTGCTCCCGTTAGTTTTGAGGTGATGGTGGATGGCAATGTACCCCCTGGCGGAGGAATATCTAGCAGCGCGGCATTCGTCTGTTCAAGTGCACTGGCCGGAGTAAAGGCAAATGGTTACGATATCTCGAAGCAGGAGCTGCAGGATATAGCTATTGTTTCAGAGCGTGCCGTTGGAGTATATTCTGGAGGGTAAGTTTGTCGCGCATCAAACCAGGTAGCTCATATCTGACCATAATCGCAGAATGGACCAAGCGGCATCCATATTTTCCCGCCGCGGCTATCTCCTCTACGTCCGCTTCTTCCCCTCCTTCCATATCCAACACGTCCCCATCCCCAAAGCGGAGCCAGAAATAACATTCCTCATGGCTCAGAGCTTTGTCACATCCAACAAAGCCGAAACAGCACCTCGACACTACAACTTGCGTGTCGCAGAATGTACTCTAGCCACGGTCGTTCTTGCCAGGATGCACAACCTCGCCCTCCCTAAAGATTCCAGCTCACTAGGCTACAGCCTGCGTAGCTTCCACGAGGAACTCATGCGCAAGGAAGGCCGTCTTCAAGACCCGCTGGAATACCAACTCGACTCCGTCATCATGGCAGTCACAGATTTGCTGACCAAGGAAGAAGGCTATACGCGCGAGGATGTCGCTGCTTTGTTAGGCATATCTGTTCCCGACCTCGAGAAGCAATTCCTCTCTATGTTCCCCGTGCAAGCGGAACGCTTTCTCCTGCGTCAACGTGCGCTACACTGCTTTAAAGAAGCAAGACGTGTCCTGGACTTCAAATCATGCCTCACTCGCTCTCAGCACCAGGGCCATCTGGATGAGCATAATGTGAAGTACCTAGGCCAGTTGCTGAACGAGTCAATGGCATCTTGCCGATACCTGTACGATTGCACTTGCCCCGAGGTGGATGATATTTGTGAAATTGCGCTTCGGGCTGGTGCTCTAGGAAGCCGGGTGACAGGCGCCGGTTGGGGTGGATGTACAGTGCATATGGTCCCGCAGGATAAGGTTGCCGACGTGACGGAGGCATTAAAGAAGGAGTACTATTATAAGAAGTTTCCGGATATCACTCCGGAGAAGTTGGAAGTGGCTATGGTTATTAGCAAACCTTCCAACGGCACTTTTTTGTAAGTGTTCTTGTCCCCTTGGCTTTTATTTGAATAGTCTGCTAATGCCCTCTTTTTCTTTCCTGGAATTAGGATTTCTGGGGCCGCAATCTCGGAGAGTGTATAGAAATATTTTGCTTCTACATGCGAGGAGCTGGCAATGAGTCTTTAAATACTGAAACCTCTTTAAATTAAATGATTCGATGTGTGCTATTGACTGGGCTTAGACGCTGTGTGGTCACGGAAGTCATCGAAGACAACATTTTAGCCGATGACTTGCTTATGGAAAGTATTATATCATGGTTCACGACGGTTTCGAGCGAGACCTGGGCTGATATATTTGGTCTACATCTTCTGCAGACGGTACAAGCCAATATATATCACGGGTGGTAGCTATCATCTATATAACTAATACATATAATATATTGAGCAGATAATTGTATCGGATGTGATACGGCTGCAGCTAATGTACCAAGGCCGTTCGTAGAGCGGATGGTTATCGACAATTGAGTCGGCAAGGGTCTTGAGTGTCGACATAAGTAGTGGCCACCAAATCGTCCCTAATTAGTAATCGTGTGTCTTATGTCAAGCCGTAGGTAGTGATAAAATGTCTGTCTCGATGGATGCCGCAGGAAGTCAGGCAGGCCCCTGGTAGACTAGGGCGAGGGTGACCTTAGCAAAATCTTGAATAACCATATGGATTTGCTAGTTGTATCGTTAGCGTCGACGCTGGAGGTTTTCAGGGGAAGTGCAAGAGGCCACCATCTCGAATCCGGCCATAGAAGGATAACCGAGATCCATCTAGAAAAATTAAATGGCCGTTTAGGTTCTCGACATAACGTTCCGGGAATTTCGAGCGGGTCCATGCATGGGGAAAGCCGGAATGATTGGCATGTTTAAACGGTGAACCAACTCTAATGTGTTGCGCTGTAACCACGCAACTCCCATGAGCTAGATAGTTATGTCTGACATGCTTATGTATGCAGGCCCTCCCAATTGCAAACCTGGAATTCTCATTGCGTCTACCCAGGTATTTATGTCTTCTTCTGGAAAAAGGAACTCAGCTTCTTCATCCCGGAGACATTCACCTTTTTCAGATCCCTCACCGCCCTCGACTCGCCCATCCTCTTCTTCTTTTCTTGCTCCTCCTTGCGCTTCTTCTCCGCCCTGATATCCACTTCCTCGTCATCCTCAGTCCCCCGTTTCCGAGAAAAATCACTCATTGAACGGGATGCTAGTGCTTTGGCGCGCAATTCTGCGACAAGCTTTAGGTGCTGGGTAAGGGGAGAAAAATCTTTGGGGCTCGTTTCGGGACTGCTGAGAAGGGTTTCAATTCGCGATGATAGGTGTTTGGGTAGATAGGAGGATTGTAGAAAGGATATTGATGTTCGGACGCGGAGTAAGTGATGAACGTCACAATTGGACGGAGAGTTGTCTATGGGTGGTGTGATTATAGTGTTTGGCGTCGAAACGACAGACGCAGCAAAAGAAGCCGACGACTGCGACTCGGGCTTATCTGGCGAATTCTCAACGGTATTATTCGTATCATCAGCCACGTCAGATGGATTTGATGACGTCGAAGTTGTTGGAAGATCATGCCTTTTCACGCTGAGAACTGGGAGTTCTAATGCCCTATGGATAAACCGTTCTTCCAGGCTCGGGGGAAGTCCACCTGCGGCCATCCTCTCAGCCTTGGAAATTAATTCCTTGAGTAATTTATCCTCATTGAGCCTGTACATTGTCTCTCCAGCCTCGACAGTGTCGCACACAGCTATCATTCTCGCTTCCACCCTTTCTCTGAACGTTGCGACTGAGAAGACGTGTTTCAGGGTTGCTGAGAGCGTATCTTGGGAATCGATCATATCATCAAGTGGCTGGAAGTGTTTCCGGGAAGCGGAATTACCACGAGCTGGCACTAATATGGGCAAGAGGAAAAACAGTATGTCCACAGGTGTTGCCACCAGCAATTGCGCCTCTTTAGCAATCGTCGCTTTAGCTAGTGCTTGGTTTTCAACTACTTGCTGAATGATCTCGTTTTTTTCTGCACTAACATCATCGGCCGCTATATCACTAGATGTATTTCGTGCATTAATTTCTTGTTTATCAGTTGCCGAACTTGTGGTGCATTTTGCCGTCGGTGTGAATAGAATGCTCCTTGGAACAGCAGACGAGGATATTGCGGTAAACTCGTACAGGCCCAGTTTGGGACAGAAATAATACCGACCAAGGGCGCCGCTTCGAGGGTTCTCCAGTAAAATGAACCGAGCATCGTCAGTCGCATTACATGGTAGAATGAGGGTTTTCGTAGGTTTTGAGGGTGCTGGAAGAGCGGGTTTGCATGTCTCCTGGTTGGTGCCAGAGCTTCCAGCGGGTTGTTGGGATCTTGTTCTCATTGTGACGGAATTAAGAGGATGGCATAATTAGTTTATAACTGGGCAATGAATATCATACCCGTTGGTAATATATGTCGTTTGTCTAAAGAAAAGAGCAATTGTTGTGTTGCTCAGCAGAACAAGTTTTGACGTGAGGTGGTCTGGTGGAGGAATCAACAAAGTTTCGAGATCGCGACTCACGCGTTGTCGTTAGACGCGAAAGTGACACGAAAAATTGGCTGTGAAACTGGACAACCTCGTGCGTTTCAAAAATATACAGCCCATCTCAGCTGGAACCAACGTGCATTGTTCAAGTTAACGGTTGCATCGTTAGAGCATATAAATATCAGAAATCAGCCAACTTATTTTACTTACAAATCCCTACCGAATATAAGCTTTATAGCACTTGGGGAGCAGTTGTCGCATCGCAATTGCGAGCAATGGGTCTTGCAACATAAAAATACGACAGTATTGCTAACTCCTAGGTTCCTATCGCCTGAGTGATTGGCAGCAGTAAGTTTTTCATTCTATCTGTTTTCCAACTCAGACAACTAATGACGAGCCTGAAAGTGGCGGATCTACGTTGGCCTCCCAGATCTCCCTACGAGGCGCTCATGAGCTCTCCCAATGGGCGCAAGAGATTCAAAGAGATGCAAGAACGTAGGCTAGCCGCCAGTGCCTTTACGAAGGGCTTCACCACGTCCCCATATGTACGAACGAAAGCTAGTCAGCTACTGGAGGACGGGGTCGAAAATGATCTAGAAGAAGGCGATGACGATGATGAAGACGAAGAAACGCTACAGTTGAAACTAGCGGCGATTGAGGCACGACTAAAACTTAAGAAGTTACAGCAGAGCAAATCCAAGTCGAAGCCCCCCAATTTCGACAAAGAGACAAACAGTGATGCACCTATTTATCCCTCCAGACCACCCAGCCGATTCCTTATGGAACGCAAGCGGAAGGCAGCAACCATGTCGCAGCAAGATAATATACAGGTGCCGGTGTCACCTTCGAAGAGATTGGTCGCTCCAGCGGATCCTATTTCTCCACGACGAATTGTGCTCGGCATTGACAAGGGTAGGAAGGGAAACGAGGTATCGCTAAGACGGCCTCCCAGTTCGAGTTCAACGGGGAGGCCCTCGAGCTCTATTGGAGGATACCGGGACGAGCTATTGCTGCGGCGGGCGCATAGCTCAACTACTCGGGGCGCACGCCTCACTGCTGACGAAGGGATACAAAGACCCAAAAGTTTCAGTGAGAGGGTTGCTGAGAGCAGATCAATGGATAAAAACAGAAGGCAGAAAACACAACTTCTACACCGTAAAAGGAATACCACTTTTGCAGTTGACAAAGACGAAATGGAGCGTTTTCATCTTGCTGCGAAGGAAGAATCGGGCAAAGCGTCAAGTTTCGATTCTCCAAGGAAATCACAGTGCGTCGAGGAATTCAGCAGGGACGATGTCATCCAGTCTTACAATCTGTCGGGTTCTGGACTACGAAAAAGCAAAAGCATCTCGAGTATTCACGGCAAAGGGCCAGTTACCCAATGCACCCCAACAGAGGGTGGTACTCACCAATCTCTGGGGTTTCAGCGGCAACGAGAAGCGCGCCCTGCACCATACAGCACTGAGGGTGACTCACAAAATATCAAACCAACAAAAGAATCTGATCCGTCCAAATTTGAACCCTTCTCGGGGCTTCACCTCTCAAATCGAATCTTGCCTCACTCCTTCCTGACCCGAACCCTTGACGACAAGAGCCCTATGCGAATACCGGACTTGCTAAAAACCATTAAAGGACCTCAATTCGACCCACCAGATATAGATGGCGACTACGTCGTCTTTGGTATACTAGCATCTAAGTCAACTCCGAAAGAACACCAAGATCCGAAGAAAGGCGCCTCCAGTAGCAAAGATGCTGATGACGACGGATCAAACAATAGTTCTAAATACATGGTCCTTACCCTAACGGACCTAAAATGGTCTATCGACCTCTTTCTTTTCTCCACCGCGTTTCCCAGATATTACAAACTCATCCCAGGCACCGTCATCGCCATCCTAAATCCTTCAATAATGCCACCACCACCAAATAAACTCGATACTAACCGCTTTAGCCTTACGTTAAACTCATCAGACGACACAATTCTCGAAATAGGCAAAGCCCAAGACCTAGGTTTCTGTAAAGCAATCAGAAAAGACGGCAAAGTATGCGAAGCATGGGTCGATGGTCGAAAGACCGAATTCTGCGAATTCCATGTTGACCTGCAACTTCGCAAGACAACCGCGAAGCGGATGGAAGTGAATAGCGGTCCTGGTATCTTTGGGCCAGGAGGCCGGCCAGGCTCCCGGACCGGCATGTTTAACAGAAAGCGGGACAATAAGGATTTTAGGCTTAAGCCTGAAGGCGCACAGACAGACCGTTCTACTGGATCTACCTACTACGTTGCGCCTCCTGTCCCAGGTGGTCGTTCAGCAGCCAGTCTGATTGATGCAGACGACCCTTTTATCGCTGCTGCTCATGATTTCCAACGTGGTGGTAATGGCAAACTGGACCGTTTGCAGAAACGTCTCGCGGAGCAAGAGCGGGAGCGCAATATTGCCAAATTACTTGGGGAATCTAATTCTGTTGGGGCTCAGTACCTGCGTCATCGACGGGCGAATGACACTTCGGGGCGCGACGGTCCTGTTGTTGGTGTTCCCAGCAGTAGCAACGGCCTCACCTCCGACACTGGCAATAATAATGAGAAAGACGATGAATCTGCATCACAGTCGGCACGGATGACACTAGGGCTAAGTAGCAAAATGAAGAGTGCTAGCCATGTCAAGCTAGGTCCGATGAAGAAGGGTGCTGTTAATAAGAAGACCAGATTCGTCACAGCGAAGGGCATCAGAGATGCGGGGAGGGATAGTCTCGGTGGTCCTGGTGGAGGTACTGGTAATGAAAATAATGTGGATTATGATGATGACTTGGACATTGTGTAGAGCGTGCTTCGTTGCCGTAATTTTATGCTACGCAGAAAACGCTGACCTCTTTTGTTTACCCCCTTATTTCACCTTAGTTCTAACATTAATGCTGTTTTCGGTGTGTTAAGCATTTGTGAGTTAGAACATTTTTCGGTTTGGATCGCGAGGGCTAAGCTTGGTGGAATTTCGCCTTGGACGCGAAAATGAACGCGATCATTGGTTTTTTGATGAATTATTAATGACTATATCGATTTTCGGTTTGATCAGGGATGCAGCATTGCGTATTTTCATCTGTATTGTACTACTAAACTCCATGTATTTTTTAATAACAAAGCCCATTAACTCAGAATCAAAGCAGGACAAGAATGAAATTGCGGGTTTTTCTCAATTCAATTTGCTACCGTTAGCTATGTGATGAGGGGAACTAAACAGGATCCCGATCCTTTCTAAACCATAACCACCTATGGACGGATGAGTGGAAGTGATGTACTGTAAGGTGAGGAAGAAACTGACACCAATCAAACAACGAGGAAGCAAAAGGGGACGAAGAAATATAGAAAAGGAAAAACAATACATGTTTCCCAACAAAAATAGCACACTTTCCCCTCCCTTGTCAAAAAGTACCAGAATCGAAAAGAACTCAAAAGGAGGAAACTAGCAAATGTGGAGGTTAGAGCCTAGAACAAAACAGAGGAAACACAAGGCCAAAACGTAACGACCCGTACTTGTGTGGCCTAACTCGTGGCAGAGACGTGGGAAAGATGGGTAGGAGTCTCAAATAAAAAAAGTTGACAAAGTTCAAGAAAGTTTGAAAGAGGAAACGATTCGCCATTTTATAATAAAGGAAACATAGGATTGCCATGGTCATGATCTCGTCATAAAGTAAGATTAAAGGATAAGTAGGAGAGAAAGGAAAAGCAAATGTTGCGAAAACGACAGACGTCCGCGGAAGGAGGTAGAAGGAAATAAAGTGCAATAAAAAAAGTGTATAATGAATGAAGGTGGAACGATGCAAACTGATTAATGTCTGATGAGTTTCAAAAGGAGGAGCGAAGGACCAAGATAGGCACTGCTAATCAGCGATGGACCAAAAGAGCGCAGGTCTCTGTTTCACTTGCTGCGAGCTTTCTTCAAAACGGGCTCGACGCTGTCACTCGATGAAGTGCCGACTCTCTTTCTAATTGTTGTAGGTGATGCTTGGGATTTCGTCCGAGTCCATCTGTCGAAGGGGCTCATGCGAACAGCGGTCCTATTGGGAGGTTTGGAGGGACTTTCTAAGCCATCCTGCGCTTCCTTTTTGTGCGAACGGAGGGAGCGGCCACCAGTAAGAGGAGTCGTGGGGGTTGATATAGCCGATCTGGAGGGTGGTGTTGCAGGGATATCTTCGCATCTGGTGGAAGGAGGATCGGAATTTGATTCTCCTTGGTTGGGCTCATCTCCTTCACATGCTACTTCGGCATCTATAGTATTGTCGGTACCACTAAATCTCGAATCACGGGCTTTTCCTCGATGTGATGCATTAGGGAACAATAGACGTGGTTTGATGGAGGAGCGAGTCAGCGGTCGGACACGTGGGATGCTCGTCTCTTCTAGAGGATCAGCTTGAGAAGCCAACAGTCCCAGATCTGTCTCGTCATCTTCTTCTGTGTCGGAATTGAATTTTCGGAATATTTTCTTTCCGCGGCTGTAGATATTGTTAGCGTTACAATTGTGGAGGGCGGCATTTTGGAGCGAATACGTACAAAACATAGAGCATCCCGTCGTCTCTATGAAGGGCTTCTTGGACTTTCTCGTTACGCTGAATTTCATGGTTCCCATGTGAGCTATCATTAGACCGGCTAATGAAGGGGTTGTCCGACGTCTCGTGGACTTCAGGGATTCGATCCCTAGAGTCGGTAAAGATAGCGATTTCATCATTTCCTTCGTTTTCCAGCTCTGAGTTGAAGCTTTCTAGAGAAAATCCCTTGAACTTTCTGCCCTTTTGCCTTTTCGAAATTGGCATTTCAATGTCTTTAGATTGGCTATTTCCCTTGAATAGAGTACGTGCAACAGCACTGGGATCAGGGACAACATTCTTCCGTGGAGTTTTTGCAGGGGTTGGAAGCATGTTGGCAGTGAGGGTTGTATGTTCACTATCCATGTTTGACGAGACACCTAATGAGGAGTGAGAAGCAAGGTCATCTTGTCCTCTAGTGTTCTCAAAGAATGAATGAGTTTCTACAGGCGGCTGGCTGGTCTTGGTTTTTCTGTCACTTCTCCTTGTAGGAAAAGCTTGTGTGGATTGAGGCGGGGAAAATGAATCCTCCTCGCTGGCGCATCGTTTCGCGCCCATTAAAAGGTCGGTGTCATTGGGTGAGCGCGGAGAATTGGGTGTGGAGAGCCCTGGAGAACCTCTAGATGCCTTTCGATTTGCTAAACGAGCAGAATATCGGGTCGAGTACGGTTGATACGAGTCGAATCTCGCCCCATGGCGCGGAGCAGGTGGAGTCCTAATGGCACGGGGGGGCGGAGTTGTCGCCATTGTAGTTTTCTCCCCTCCTGCGTCTTCGCTTGACGATATTTGCGTTGAACAGCAAATGCTCCGGGTGGTCAATATTAGAATTGTTCAACGACCAGACTCGAAATTCAAGAACAAGATCAAAGTAATCGCAATTGTAAACGGTATCAGACGACCTTGAAAGCAGCAATGCGCGTCAGTTTTATGTGTTTGCTGGCAGGCAGTGGTAGGGTGGAGTGCAGGCTGCTAAATGCAAGTAATGAGGAGGTTGGTTTGTGTTGTCTGCGCTGGTTTCGGTAAACGCGAAATTGGGTGGCTGAACACTTAAAGTTAACTATTTAAGCGCGGTAGACGCGCGAACTCCGACGCAACACAAACGGTTTTACCAGCCATTCAGATAGCTGTCATTGAATTGCCAACTCCGCGAAGAACCGTTCGTTTAATTCACACTAAACCCTCCTTTTTACTCCTCTTGCTTCTATCGCTATGTCGATATCTAGTACTCGTGGGGAAATGGAGAGACTGCAGTTGTCCAACCGAGATACTGAGTCGCTGCTACAATCCCCTTCCGAAAATCCCGGTTTTCCATCTGCCCCTGAGACTTCCCGTACCACACCTGATGCAAACTATGGACGAAATAGCGAAACCCAATATGATCGTGAACAGGCACGGGAGGCGTCTCTACGGAGTGAATTGGAGAGTGTCCGGAGCATCAACAAGGCGGTGGAAGATATCATTGACAGTTTGAACCGTGCGAAGGGCAACATGGAGGTAAGAAATCAACCAATTGGTTCCGTATTATCCATTATTATTAAAATGTCTATTGATTTTGCTTTACAGAACGTTTCCCGCACCGTCACATCCGCATCTACACTTTTAAACACATGGACACGAATTTTAGCCCAGACAGAACAAAATCAACGACTCATCCTGAACCCTTCCTGGCAAGGTGCGTCACAAGATATCGCAGATATTGAAAACGAGTCGATTCTACGACAGCAGGAGGCGGAGAGAAGGGAGCTAGAACTCCAGCAGCGGAGAGAGGCGCTGGCCCAAAAAGCGGAGGAAGAGGAGCGGAAGAAGGCAGCAACAGCTGCTGCCAGGGGATCACGCGGGGCGACACGAGGGAGATCACGAATGATGGGTCGGACTCCTTCTACAGCGAGCTCATACAGCGGGACAAGAGGCACAACTACGACAAGGGCTACAACGACAACAAGGGGCACGACAACACGTGGAGCGACAAGCCTCCGAAGACCAGCAGCATCTATATCAGGCTCCAACGTTTCCAGAGCGAGGGGCAGGGTACGAGGACCATCGTAACAGAAAGTCTCACTTTTTTATCCTACTTGTTTTCAATGAAATAGAATTTAATGATACCCCTAGAACACACCACATAGCCAAATGAGGGAGGGGCCTTTGGTTGTTTTGCATGTTTTATAACGTAGCTTCAATAGAGGCGCGCCAAGACGCTTGCCCCATAGAACCTTGTGCGGCGCGCATACCAATATTCGAACATACCAACACCAACGAAGTCACCTAAATATTTAACTCTTCTAGCTAGATTGCTTGAAACAAATCCACAAACGCAAAGCGACAGGAGACAGTATCCCAAACCCACCACATTTCTATAATAATAAAAATAATAAAAAAAGTCACATGGGTAGCTTCGCATATACCGCTTCACCATGAATTTCGCTCCCTACCAAGACGAGTCCCCGGAGATTGAGCGGGCTCTATCTCCTCCACTCCGTGATGCGACTCGGTCCAAATCCCCTCCTACCCAGAACCAGACCCAGAACCAGCGTACATCGCCGTCATTTCCCCCGGCAGGAGGACTCCCCTCACCGAGCTACTTTGCCAACCCCGAGGGAGTTGGAGGCGACACAGGTTTCGGACGAGACGTGGAAGGAGGGCGATTAAGCCTGGGTGCTTTCGAGACGAGTCTTCCCATTCGCATGGACTTCGAAGCTATGCTCGCATACCTCCTACTACCTCCTGCTGGGGGGGTGTTTTTGTTGTTGGTGGAACATAAGAGCGACTATGTGCGGTATGTTGTAGAGCATCGAGAGGCTAGCTTCAGAAAGGTTACCCTGATTGTATACATGGATGTTGACTCTGATCACTAACGGACGGATCTATTTCTTTGTTTAGATTTCACGCATGGCAGTCCAGCATGCTGTTCACTACGATATTTGTACGCATCCATGGATAATATATACCACGTTTACAGTTTTCTACAGGCCATGCCTAACCTTTCCCCTCTCGCAGATAATTCACATGATATTTGCCTGGTCAAGCGTCATTTCATGGCTCCTGTTCGTCTGCGATATTGCCTTAATCGGCTTCTTAAGCATGCGCGCCTATCGAGATGGTAAGAAGGAATGATGGGATTCCCACCCTAATTCCGTACTTTTGGTGATAATGTCGCTCATCATAACTTCGCCCTTTGCGATATGTTTAGTTGACTCCCTCGAGCACTTCGAAGTCCCCTTCTTCGGCCGCCTCGCGAATTCTTTTGTTGATGACGAATAAATACTATCAGTCAACGCCTCAATCAAGAAAATATAGAACATCCGACAACAATCCAAAAACCTATTCCATTCGGTCCATATACGTCAACACTAACCGCCGAAGTGCTTCGTCGCAATCCCTCAACCCGAACATCCTCCGTCCTACTTATGGAAATACCACTGTATAATTCGTAGATACCCAGCTAGCCAAGCACAGCTCTTTCGACCTGTATACCCGAGTATATATGTATATATTTGTTTGCACTAATTAGTACTTCCATTTCGCACGTCACATTGTGCACATCCCGTTCTATTTTCATCTTTATGTTCATTGTTGTCTATAATTATCTTTCGATCGTCCTTCTATTTGCGTTTCATATTCTCACTGTGTCTTGATTTTTGAAGAGTCATAAGTATCACTATTTCGCAAGTGCCTGTAGTTCACTCCTATTCCTTTTTTTCTTTCTTTTCTTTTCTTTTCTTTTCTTTTTTTTTCTTTCTTTCTTTTTTTTCTTTTTCTTTTTTTTTCTTTTTTCTTTTTTTCTTTTTTTTCCTGCTCCTTTCATGCATATCTGGCTGGCTTCTTCATTTATATGCGCTCTATTTGTTAGATTCTCATTACTGCTTACCACTTCCGATGCAAGCCTCCTTGTCGATGGAGCAGCAGCAATCAACTTCATTTATTTGGTGAGAATCTACGTACGTGGATCATATATTATTCCCTAGCTTCACATTAACGGCTTGATAATTAAATGTCATAAGCTTCATTCGGATTTCAATTAAGCTACTCGTCCAAGATATATAAATAACGCTGAAGGGGAAAAAAGGGTGCATGGTCAGCAAGGGGAGTAACGGGAAACGAAGTCAGAGTCAAAAGCACATTGGCCTGCTTGAATCAAATATAATCAAAACAAAACATATCGAAATCGAAATAAAAGGTAAATAGAAGAAAAGCAACCAACAAGATCAAAGAGGCCATTCTGGAACACATTGCTAAAACAAAAGAAATGAGGGAGGTGTGCATAGTTTCAAGAGGAAAAAAAAAAACGCAAATTGGATTTATAAATATCACTGGTTTATGAATTATCACAGGGATATTCTTTATGAATTGAAAAATGACGCTCTACAACAACCATCGCAGCCCAGATCTATCAAAGAAACCGGGTGTAAGCGTCTGCGCGGGCGTAGGTGTGTTGGGCTGGTAGATCGAATTAGCAAGAGGGCACCAAAATCAATCGGTGAGGGGTACGTCGTCGTTGACATTTAAATCGTGGTGAGCGGTTCGTTTTAAAAAATTATTAGTTATTTATTTATTTATTTTAGCAGTGCTGGAGATAATTGCTCGGGACTAGGCCAGGGTGGGTTCGCTGGGGCCCGGTTACTTCTGCTTCCCACCATCCATCGTCTTGGTGTCTGAGGACCGCGAGTATATCCCCCTTGGTGAAGCCGAGCTCCTCAGGGATAGCAGCGGTATAACTGTACATTGCACGCGCTGTTTGAATTAAGTCAGTGACGGCAAGGAATGAGGAAAAAGGATATCGAGGAGAAGTATTTATCGTACCATAATGTAACACCGGACGCACATCCACACTGAGCTGCTGATTACCATCTGTAGTTGCGACACTCCTGCTTCTGGCACGACTGCCTTGGCTAACGTCCGGTGCGGAGCCATAGTACATTGACATTGGCCGTGAGTTGCCCCGAGTAGCGTGGTTTCCATAATCATGGGTATGCCCGCCGCCATACGGGTCAACTTGACTATGTGACAGCTGAAGTTCCATTCCGCTCGCACTAGATGGCCGTTCCTGCCGTCTAAACTGTGGTTGAGGCGAAACGGCGCGTTGTACTTGAACGTCATTTGGGGACCCATGACGAGAGTACTGCTGCGGCGAATATGAATGACTAGCAATTACTTTTGTCGGGGTTACGGTTGGAGATTGGCGATATCTGCTGCCCATGCTGCCTGAGTGAGAGTGGTAAGAGGAAGGGCTAGGATTGTTTCGGCTGTCGTACTGCTGGCGCGGCTCCCCTCCACGGGACGGGGGAGGCTGGGGGCTTAGGCTTCTTCGTGGTGCAGGGGATATAGCTCGGGGAATTGCCTGATTGACTCTATTTTCAGCCTGGTTCGTCCGGGTAGAGTTGTTGTTGAACATCTCCTGCGTTTGTCCAACATAATTACGGGTAGTTTTCTGCATCTGGGCTGAGGTAAATGCTGGCTGGGGAGCACCAAGTCGCTTCACTGATTGATCATTGTATGCTGGAGGCGGAGTGCCACGCTGGGCAGCAGCGATATTCCCATCTACTATGCTGCTAGAGGCGACACTTGGAGGGACCGGTGTCGTAATTCCATGATACCGATCAGCTGAGACGCGAACTGATGACTGTTTCCCCACTCCTTTGAGATCGGCAAGGGCTTGGGCTATGGGGTCCAGGTCATCTCCGTCTTTAGTTGCATTTGTGGCCGCAGGAGGAGCGCCATCTGGCGAAGCAACGTCGAAAACATTATTGCCAATGTTTAGCTGGAAATTGGCTCTTGGGTCAACGGGTTCAGGGGTTCCTGAAGGGCGACCAACATCATATTTTGGCTTTTCATATTTTGGCCTAATCGGGCTTGTTTGTTTTTGCGGTGGTGCAGACCAAGTGCTACGGTTCGTAGGAGCCGTAACTTGACGCTCCTTATCATGCTTACTCTTTCTCCGGAAAGGACTGTTGCTGAAAAATCCACTCCTCTTTTTCTGGACTTGTTTACTAGCAACCATCCCGGGAAGAGCAGTGCCGTTAACTGGTTTCTTAGGGGATTGTTTGGCACTGGGTGGCTCCATACTGGAGAACGAAGTTGGGTTGGAGATGTCACTATGAGAGTCTCTGCTAGATGGCCGATTGGCACTGGTTCCACTGCTTCTTTCAGAAGGTGGCCCGGTTCTGCAGAACATTGTCATTCCGTCGGTAGGATACTCATTGTGAGGCACGTTTGGGATATCACCATGGTGGTTGGGCTGATAATTAGGTGGAACTTGTCCTCCACGTCGGAGATCAAGAGGAGGAGGCGGCTGCTGTTGTTGTAATTGTTGTTGTTGTTGTTGTTGTTGTTGCTGCTGCTGCTGCTGCTGTGAGCTCTGTGGCTTCTGTGTTCGCTGTGGGGTCACAGTAGATTCTCTGCTTGCCGGTGTGGACGAATCAGGATGTGCCACTTGCCTTGTCACGAGGTTTGCCTGGGGTTCATGATGAGATTCATGACTAGAAGGTGCGGGTGAAGAGCTTCTGTATGCTGGATTAATGGTTCGCTGGAACTGTGCAACCGAATAGCTCTCTTCTTCGGATGTTTCTGAGGAGGTATCGTTAAGGTCTCCGCGGCAAAAATTAATATACTTGGGCGGATCAGGGATTTCCTGTCCTGTCCCCCTCTCCATTATGAATGTGCTGATATCCTTTTCTACCTCACAACTCTCAAGAGATACCCGGATTCTTTCACAGGACTGCATTCATTAGAAACTGAAATGTCAAATTCTAGATAGTTATTGAAACTTACAGCATCGTCGCTAACGCACGCAGTCGAAGCAATATTTGCATAATTCCATAGACTACTCTTAGTAAAATCTAGCCTTTCTTCTTCCAAATCTTGAAATTTCTATAATAGACGTTAGCGCAAAGTTGGCTCTTTATTTATCAAATGTGTCACTTACATCGCAAGCAGCCTTCCACTCTTTATTCCAGCGGCCGGTTGTTTCCTCGAGTACTTTTATAGCAGCTTCGTACTCGCTGCTATTGGAAGCTAGTTGTATCTGCGTCTTCTCCAGTTTTGCCTTGTTCTTGCGTTCTTCCTGTCCCATGACCATGTGTCCTTGGGCCAAGTAACCTTTGATCCGGAGACAGTCTTGTTCATAGCGGTCTCGTGACTAGATAGTGAATTCCTATTAATGACTATTGATAATAAAGCCGAAATGAGATAAAATACCTTGTTGACAGCATGCATTTGCTGTATTTTGGTTTTGAGAAGCTTTTCAATGCCATTCTGTACAATCTTACGGCGTTCTTTCATACCACCAGCAAAAGCAGCTAATGGTTCTTCTAACTCACTTTTCATCTGAGAAGCAATAGCTGCATGTGTCTTGCCAATCGCTTCTGTCTCTGCGCGAACGGTATCAAGTGAGGCGCGCAACGTCCCGGACTCACTAGAACCGAGAGCTTTTCTGCATAATATCAGGAGCTTTCTTGCGTATTCATCCTCTATGGCAGCGCGGGCTGTATGAAATGGAGGTCATTAAAGGGCCGATTCCCGTGGAGCAATTCAGATAGCATTTGTATTATCTATCACTCACTGCTGTAGAAGGCTTTCAGTTCATCGCACGTAGTTTTGGCATTGTGAACGCGCTCTAGCATTGGGGAAACGCCTGCGTCATCTTTACCCCAAAAATTATTCGCAACTAGAAAACACCATATCAGCTTCATTCGACGACAACTTTTGGGGAGTAGTTTGGCTGTAACCGCACAGGACAAAGACACGCTCGGGGCTTCTGAGACAGGTCCAGGCATTGTGAGCAGTTCTGGACAAAGCCAAATACCAGCAGGCTTTGTTTGGAATAGAAAGATGGGCCTGATCCGCCCAGCATGGACCAGCGGCAGCACAAAAAGAGTTATTCCTGCAGAAGCCAAAGAAATGAGAGAGACTACCGCTCCTTAAAAACAAAAAGATGACATCTTGGAAAAAGGTGCAGTTGGAGAGGAGAAGAAGGTGATCGACCCTGGCTGTTGCTGCCGTCGCAATGACAAGAGTTGTTTACATCCCATCCATCCCTGGATGCGGTGGTTTCTCGGGGCAACGCTGCCAAGCATCATCAACGCCAACTCCATGTTGACAGGGTGTGCTCATTATTCAAACTTACACAGATCCCAGGTTTTTCTTCTCCCGCAACGAAGCTTATAAAGTCCGGTTTGATCGAGAAAGGCATTGATTGAATATTTACGCCAAGCCTCATCTCCCAACAGCCAAACTCAATAGATTAAAATCCATAAATCCAATCACGTGATTGATTGAAATGTCTCTGAGCTACTTCGACCCCATAACTCAGACTGACAATACCGAGAAGCTGGGATAAGTGTTAAGATGGATATTCTTTAATGTACTCTAGAAGCTGTAGATGGAGATTCCATGTAATCAAGTTATCGTGGCTCACCGTAGATGTTTTTTTTGTATGCGGAGTTTGCCCAGCCAAAGTGATAAAGTGATGTTTGTGGAGCTAAACCACGAAGAGAATGCCAAGCCCTAGAGCCTCTCTCGTGCTGGTTCGGCTTCACCTGACAACCTCACCTCCTCGCTCCCTCTCTTGCTCAACAACCCCCTCCACCTTTCTATCTCATCCTCTCTTCAATACATCCATTCCCTTCTTCTAATTCATATTTATGTCCCTGTAGGGAAGCCTCCATTTGGGCGCTGTTACTCGTATATCTTTTCTCCCGTTCGTCTGCTCCTCGACGAGCCTTGCACACGTTCCCACAATTTTCGCAGCCACACATCCAAATGACCGCATTCCCAACTTCATGAGTTTCCCTTCCCCCGCTCAATCTTTGATTGCTTCTGGCACCGACAAGCCATCAGCTTCCAGGACGGCGAGATCCCAGCAATCTGTCTGGGGTTCCAGTGCGTCCCAATCTAGCATCCGCCGTGGCCTCGCGCCGCTATCCACCAATCTCTCCAACTCAAACTCCAGCGTATCACCTCCCCGACGTTCTGTCCAACAGCATAGTCCCGCTCCTGGCGCTTCTGCAACATCTCCCCTTACGTCCACCTTTTCCGCCGTCCTGACATCCTCTAATCGCCTTTCGATCAACCGCAACACGTCTTCCCCGGCACCTTCTCACACCTCCTTCTCTTCTCTCCAACAAGCTGGCTCACACCAACAGCAGCAGCATCAAAGTCAGACAATTTCATCACCGAAAATCAGATCTCTTACCCCTTCTTCAGTCTCGCATCTGGCTACCTCGACGTCTTCAGGAGGAGGTAGCGGGGGCGGTGGAGGTGGTGGTGGAGGAGGTGGTGTGGGCGCGGGAATATCCAGGAGTGCTGCGTTCTCTCCGCTGTTGACGGGGACTACAATCAACTCGCCAACAGGTTTCCCTTCTGATAAGCCCGGAGCTGCCGTTAATTCAACTGCAAACGCTGGCCAGTCGTCCCTGTCGAAAATCTCTGTAGCTCAAGTGTTCCTCCTATTGGACTCCATCAACGAGAAGGAAGGGAAAGAAAAGTGGGAAACTAAAGCTGCACAGATCCACAAGGTATGCATTTTGCCAGATCATGAGCTGTTATCAACCCGCATAACATGGCTAACAATTCGATTCAAGCTCGTTAATTCAAACGGCATGGAAGTTTTTGCAAAGTATTTTCGTCGCCTGCTCTCTGGCAACGCCCCTCAGATCTTTCCGGGGATCAACAAGGTGGTGGAAAATGCCGGGAACTATCCTTTGCTAGTGCAGGAGGTTCAGAAGGTGTCACAGGATCCAGATCAAGGCCAGAAAATTGCTGAGACTATTGATGCCTCTGATGGTGATATCTTTCGTGACTTTGACCTTTCAACATTCCTCGAGCACTTTAAATTAGACCCTATTGTCAAAGTCGCGTTGACACTCGCCTTCAAGAATGTCAGCAAGGCAGATTTACGCACAAAAGGTTAGTTGAAGCTACCCTACTCTTTCAACGAGCTATTCACTGAGTAAAACTGACCATTATAACCCCGCTAGCCGATGCAATTCTTACCAATTCAACCACCCAGTTCCTGCATAGCGTCTCTACCATATCTGACACGAACAAAGATTTTACCACATCTTTTATCAGCCTTACCCTTGAGCGCTTCATCCTCCAACCACCCCGTAATTTCGACGACGACATTAAACAAAGGCTTGTTTACGCGTGCCGAGCGCGATACCAATCCGCAGATATGGACATGCCTCCAGAAATCGAATCAGCTTTGCAAATGTTTGGGTTGTCTGATCCGCAATTGACTCTTGTTCGCCAGATACAAACGCGAGGGCCAAAATCGATGAGCAGTCTGGATAACATCGTTGAAACCATAAATTCAGCTGGTCCCAGTGGCTGGAGCGAAGAGCAGATTGCTTCTGCTCTTTTGTATGTTATAATTTCCCCTAATTGGCGTCACTTCTCTCCCGAATTGATTCTCACTGCGGCCAAAAACCACCGAGGTGAAGCCTTTAACTGGTCAGCCTTCATGCACGGCTTCGATCGGGTTGGTGTGGTCATCGATCCGAATCAGTTTGGTCGACTATTTAATGTCCTTGTTGCTGCTTCCCACGATAACCCAAGCCTTGATGTTCAACTGCTTTGGAGTGGAGAATGGGAAAATCGAGACACGCAACTATCATTCTTAACCGCTGCGCTCTCCTCCAACATCGACATTTCCCGCATCCCCAAGTTCCGCTCGACATACCCCTCCGACATTTTTAGGGACGCTTCCGAAACTGTTCGTCAGCAAGCTGAGCAGGCGCAACATAGCCTGCTTCGCTCCCGCGATGCGGTGAAAGCCATCTTTGATCTTATTCTCGAGACACCAGGGACGTGGAGCCTTCCAGACAGTCAACGATTCGTTAAAACAGTTCTTCAACACGATCTACCCATATTCCTTTGCTCTGCATTCGCCATTCCTCAACCGTGGAGCACTGTTCAGGTCAACTTCGTTGTGCGTTCTTTCTCTATTTTCGTTTCCAAGCGCCAGGATGGCTATCAATTTGCCCTTCATGGCGTCTGGAAACTTAATCGAGAGTGGGTTGTGGAACAGCTCTTTCACGCATTTACTCAAGATCCTTCGTGCACTGAACTTATATACGAGCATGCCGTGGAGCATGGTTGGTTAGACTGCATTTTGGAATTTACCAACGGCCTAGCTATGGACCTTGCATCTTTGGCGCACAGAAAGGACGACTATGATCTCGAACAGTGGGTTAAAAAGGCGGCTCAGAAAGCTCCCATCGACATGGGAAATTTGTTATCGAAATTCCTGAGAATAAAAGCTGAGGACGAACTACGCGTCCAACGGAAAGAGCAACCAACACCGCAGATGGTCAGCCTGTCGGTTAAAACTGTCTTTGCCCTCCTCCAAATTCTTGAAGATTACATTGTCGATCATGAAACCTTGACCCCCATCCAACGAATCTGCCTTCAAGCTTACCCACGACTGATAAACTACGGCGAAGGATTTGACGATATTATCGAGGCCAACGGTGCTCATGGAAATGCTATTCCAGTCGAAATTGATAAGCAGATGCAAGATTTATTCGGCAAAATGTATCACGAAGAACTTTCCCTGCGTGAAATCCTCGAGCTGATGCGACGGTACAAAACGTCACGCGATCCTGCTGAGCAAGATTTATTTACTTGTATGGTCCATGGCCTTGTGGATGAATATAACTGCTACCATACATATCCACTAGAAGCATTAACAAAAACAGCTGTCATGTTCGGGGGCATTATAAATTTCAAGCTAATATCTGGTATCCCGCTCAAAGTTGGCCTCGGAATGATACTAGATGCGGTGCGGGAGCACGAGCCCCATCAGTCGATGTACAAATTTGGCGTTGAAGCTATCGAGCAATTAATGGGCCGTCTCCCAGAATGGGCTGGATTTTGCAACCTGCTTCTACAAATCCCCACACTTCAAGGAACGCCGATTTACCGCAAAGCCGAGGAAGTGCTTCGAGATCAAGGCCACCACCCAATTAACGAAGCTGATGGAACTGAATTAAATGGACTGTCCGATGGGATGGCTATGACTAATGGCAATATTGATGAGCTCCTGGCTACAGATACTACTCATCGCAAATTTTCTTCCCTCCACGTGGATCCACCGCTTCGCCCTGAGATATACCGCGACCCGGACGAAGAAGCTCATGACAAAATTCTCTTCATTCTAAATAATGTTTCAGAACAAAATATCCAGGGGAAGCTTAGAGATCTAAGAGATGTTCTACAAGAGGAACATCATCAGTGGTTCGCCTCGTACCTTGTTGAAGAACGAGCGAAATTGCAGCCGAATTTTCAGCAACTTTACCTCGACCTGTTAGAGCTTATTGGCGACAAAACTCTCTGGATGGAAGTTCTTAGAGAGACATATGTTAGCGCAATACGATTACTGAACGCAGAATCTACCATGAACTCGGCAACCGAACGCACATACTTGAAAAATTTGGGCGGATGGCTAGGCTCTTTGACCATTGCCAAGGATAAACCAATAAAACATAGAAATATATATTTCAAGGACCTCCTTATCGAAGCATTCGATAGCCAACGCCTCATGGTTGTCATACCTTTCACCTGCAAGGTGTTGGTTCAAGCTATGAAATCCACGATTTTCAAGCCACCAAACCCATGGTTAATGGATATCCTTGCCCTGTTGATGGAGATATACCATTTTGCGGAACTGAAAATGATTCTGAAATTTGAAATAGAGGTTCTCTGTGGAGACTTAGATCTTAATTACAAGACAATTGAGCCGTCGACATGTATTAGGGAACGTCCAGCACAACTAGAAGATGGCATTTCGTCGGCCAACCTTCCTGAAGGCCTGGAGGCCTTCGAAGATATGTCACTGAGTAACATAAACCGTGCTATCCGCAACGAGAGAATACCCCAGACATCCATGATGCCTAGTCTCCCAAACCTGGATCAAATCTTGGTGTTCCCTCCTTCTGCGAGTACAATGGCAGATCCTAGCGTCCTTAGGCAAATTGTCCACAGCGCTGTAGAGCGGGCAATTGCTGAAATCATCACCCCAGTCGTCGAACGTTCCATCACGATTGCGTCCATATCAACGGCGCAGCTTATACTAAAGGATTTTGCAATGGAGCCTGATGAGGAGAAAGTTCGCCAGGCTGCAGGAACAATGGTTCGGGCACTTGCAGGCAGTTTGGCTCTGGTGACATGCAAGGAGCCCTTAAAAATGAGCATGACCAATTATATTAGAGTAATTCAACAAGAATTCTCGGACCAGCCAATGCCTGAAGGGCTTATCCTTATGTGTGTTAATGATAACCTAGACGCCGCGTGTGGTATCGTTGAAAAGGCAGCGGAAGAAAAATCTATCTCTGAGATCGAAAAGGTCATTGAATCTCAACTAGAAGCTCGCCGCCGCCACCGCGCAGCACGCCCTAACGAACCCTTCATCGATCCTTCCATCAGCCGTTGGGGATTCTTCATTCCAGAGCCGTTTAAACAAGTCCCAGGTGGCCTCAACAAAGAACAGCTGGCTATATATGAGAATTTTGCGCGGCAATCACGAGGGACTGGACAGAACCACATCCAGAATGCATCAACTGATTCCGGGAAACAAATTCCAGACGTTCTTCAAGAGTCTTTCCCTGCAATTCCTAACCTGTCTACGCCAGCCGAACAACCTGCTCTCCCTCACCATATAACGCAGACGCAGCAGGAATCCAGCCTGCAACAACCTGCCATTACAGTCCCTCAAGGCCAAATAAATGGTTTCCTTGAATCAGCTGACCCGCGCGAGAAAGTAGAAACACTCGTTTCTCAGCTACAATTGGCGGCTCGGAATGCTTCAGAGGAACACCTCAAAGATCTTGGGCGTGATAGCAGCATCCTTCAGGACTATAACCAGCTCTTCCGGACGATTCTTAGCGCTCCCAACGGTGAAGATTTAGCCCAAAGGGTGGCCTCAAAAATATGCACCACGTTGTATGCGCGGACCGAAAGTCGTTTGGAGATTGAGCTGCTAGTTCACATCCTGGCCAAGATCTGCGAGTTGTCGTCGCCTATTGCCAGGTTCACCTGGACAGTACTTGCCAATGTGGGCGATGAGCAAATGTTCAACGTACCTGTCACCGTTGCCCTCATTGATGCAGGGTTGTTGGATCTTCAACGAGTCGATATGATACTCACGAAACTCATCCAAGATAAGAACATGGCTGCCCTAGAATTACTATCTAACCTTATTGACCGAGTTCTTTTGAACGACGAACCTTCCGCTTTACGATCGGACTTCTCAGGAAGTTTGGATGCGATGAATAAGTGGGTTGTCGATAACCCAGATCTCACTGTTGCCAAAGATATTATCCGGAAGCTCCGCGAATCCGGCATCCCAGAAACTGTCAATGCGCTCCTTACGGATCAAGCTCGTTCAAAACGCGATCAAATGGAATACATTTTTAGTGAATGGATTGGCGTGTATAAGTTTGCCGGCTCCAATGACAGGACATACAGCACCTTCCTCAAGGATATGCACCAGAGACAAGTCATGAACAATCAAGAAGATTCAGCCTTGTTCTTCCGGCTCAGCATCGATATTTCGGTCGCCATGTTCGAGCATGAATGCCAAAATCCAACTGGGAACATCGATGAGGCGTTCTTGTACATTGATGCTCTCGCAAAGCTAGTAATCTTGCTTGTGAAATTCCAGGGCGAGAGCAATGGAGCTGTCAAAGCCAGCAAACCTGTATATCTGAATTCTATTCTGTCACTTCTAGTGCTTGTCTTGAACCACCACCAAGTGATGCGGGGAGAGAATTTCAACCAGCGGGTATTTTTCAGGCTTTTCTCCAGCATTCTTTGCGAATATTCTATGTGTGGCCTGCAAAATACGGATCAACATAAAGAAATGATGTCCGTCTTTGCGGACAAGTTCTTGTCGCTGCAGCCTAAACATGCACCTGGGTTTGTCTACGGATGGCTTGCACTCATTTCGCATCGACTTTTCATGTCCGGAATGCTTAATATGCCGGATCAGTCGGTAAGTTTTTGAAATTATCTAGACCTTCTATGTCGTCACTAACAGAAGAAAATCCAGGGGTGGGAATCATATTGCGAAATAATCCAAGTTTTACTCCCGTATGTTGGCGAACAATTGAAGCCAGCCAATGTTTCATTCGTCTCCAAGGACATATACAAAGGGGTTCTTCGCATTTTGCTTATTCTCCATCATGATTTCCCCGAGTTTGTGGCTGAGAATCACTACCGATTCTGTAATGTTATCCCGTCTCACTGCGCGCAACTGCGAAATCTTGTTTTGAGCGCCTACCCATCGTCGTTTCAGAAGCTCCCCGATCCGTTCAGAGAAGGATTGAAGGTTGATAGGTTAGACGAAATCCGGAAAGCGCCGAAGGTCGCTGGCGATGTGTCCGCTCCTCTTCAACGTGCAAATCTGGTCGGTATTGTCGACAACGCTTTCCGTACTGTCGCTCCTGACAATGCGGTCCAACAAATCTGTGATGCGTTATCAAACCCGGTTGTCAAAGAAACTGGACAGTTCTTCACTCCTATCAATGTGGACGTTGTTCTGATGAATTCGCTTATCCTTTTCATTGGGCAAAATGCCGTTGCGTCGATTGGTCAGAAAAGCAACACACCCGCGGTATTCAGCAATTCTCCCCATACGGTTCTGCTGGAAAAGCTTTCAAAGGCTCTACAGCCGGAAGCTCGGTACTACTTCCTCAGCGCCATCGCCAACCAACTGAGATATCCCAGCAGCCATACGCATTACTTCAGCTACGTCATCCTTCACCTTTTCGGATCTGAGCAACCCGAACAACAAGGATCGGATATTCGTGAACACATTATTCGTGTCCTCCTTGAGCGACTGATTGTCCATCGACCCCATCCATGGGGCTTAATCATCACTCTCCAGGAACTGCTACAAAACCGCAGCTATACCTTCTTCCGCTTGCCATTTATTCAGGCGGTACCTGAGGTAAGAATCCGCAATCTTTCGTCATACAATGCTGAATATCCTTTCACTAATTACAACCGTTGTCATAGATCAATAATCTCTTCGACGCGCTACTTCAGCACATCCAGCAGCAAAGCCCCAGGGCCCTAACTTAGGGGGTAACACTAATGTACTCTACCTAATCCGAACACACCACAAAAATTACTCCGTGAACCAGCTTACGACACCCTCGTTGTGGGGATGGATTTGACTTTGGGGGTATATGCCATGACTATAATATCACTTTTTTTTCTAAGGCTCTAGGTAGTTCAAAAGCTGCTATTTTCTTCATTCTTTATGTTGTGCGTGCCGATTGCAGGGTTTCTGGGTCTATTTTACTTCTTTCATTGTTTTTCTGCGAGGTTTGCCTTTTTCTCCTTATCTACACTTTGCTCTGGGTTGTTTTGGGGGGGATGCATTTTCCTAAGTGTGCTCACCATTAGTGAACCGAGATGGTTGCAGAAACATTTTATCTTATTGATTTCTTCCCTTCTATTCATATATAATGTTTCACCCTATATTTGACTCGCCATTATTTAAATTCGCTTTGGCGTCGGGGAAAACATGGAGGATCTGGAAAATCATGAAGGACATTGGACGGCATTGACGCCACGAGATATGAAATTAGTAGGGATGAGTAGAAAGAAGCGTTTCTCTAGCCAACGAAGTTGTATTATAAAATTTCGTCAATGTAATGGGAATATCTAACATCATGTACAGATTACTACTCAGTACGCCATTTGTAATTGAAGATTAAGTAAATTGAAAATAGCTGTGAAGAAGTTGCGGTAACTACGTAGTCTGCCGAGCGCCCTCCACGTGTAGTAAGTAATGTGGCGCTTGGCACGGCTACTGTCTTTTCTTCTCTTCGGTCTCAAGCGCCCGCAGTTGCAGCGCGATTGTCACCTGCGAAACTCAAATATGACGGCACCAACAGCTAACATAAACAACATGCGAACTCGATACCTCTAACAACCGTCAATTGTGCCAGGATGGAGGGCGTCACAGGACTAAGCCAGCCATTATACTCTAGGGCGTTGGTATGTATGAATGCTACCAAATTCCATTTCCTTTCCTATGATTTCTCATCGTTTAAGACATAGTTAGCTTACGACTCCAGGCCCCGTTTAGAGAAGCTAGCCATACCATAATCTCTAAACCTGCACGGCGAGCCTATATCAACACCGTCCTCTTTGCTCTCACGTCTTTGGTTCTTTTCTGCATTTCCGTCGTCGCATATTGGATATTCTACTATAACTATGTGCCGCAGATCGGGATGGAGCGGCAAGTTCACCTACAATTCGGGTATGCCCATGGTTCCCAATCAAGTAAATGATATGAACACGAACTGTTTATGTAACTGGGGTATAATAATAAAAAAAAAAATAAAAAAAAATAGTGACGGGCACCCGTATGGCACTGCGACGTTGGGCACAGAATTGATCCCTGCGCAGCAATATGATATCAGCGTCGCTCTGTATCTTCCGCGCACCCCTTCCAACCTCGATGCCGGCAATTTTATGCTTGATCTTGCACTAGTCTCTACTGTAGACACAAATATCAATACAAATGCAGAAGCGTCAGCGGAAGAAAATATAATTGCCCGGTCGCGGAGGCCTGCTATTTTGACATATGCGTCCCCCATGGTGGATACGGCCAGGAGGGTGTCGAAAATGCCGCTCTACGTGCTTGGGTGGCAGAGGGAGGCCGAGAAGTTGAAGGTTAATATGATGGGGCGGGTGGAGTTTGCGAGGAAGAAAGGGGCTATGCCGAAGATGCTGAGGTTGGAGATTCAAAGTGATGAAAGGATGCAGGTTTATAATGCTGTTGTCAGGTTTGACGCGAAGTTTAGCGGGCTACGGTATGTACCCGTCTTTTATCTTGACTCTCATTCTTGATGTTTGGAAAGAGACTGTGTGGCTTGCTTTGCGTTTGTGGCCTCAACTCCTACGAAGGGTATGCGGGAGAATGTCATGGGCTAATGATTATTCGATGATAGATGGATTATGTATAATTGGAAAATCCTCTCCTTCCTAACATTCAGTTCGACCTTCTGGATCGTTTCAATGTTATTTACATCCTCGGTATGGATAGCTCTGGCGGGCCAGGCTGAACCAACATTTAAAAAGAGGCCAAAATTGGAAGATGAAGCTGAAGAAGAAAACAGCAGTGATGTCTCTGTGAAGGAGGAGGAAGGAAGCGATGATGAAGATAGTTCTTCAAAGCTTATTAAACAACGCAAAAGGCGGATGAGAAATGAACCGGGGCAGATTAAAAAGGAAGAAGATACTGAAGAGTCTACGGTCCTCCAGACTTTGGCTAGAGAAGGCCATCCCGACGTTGAACCAGACACCCATCCGGCTAGCACCAGCACTTCATCGCAGACAGCTACAAGGGATAACTCGGATCCAGCCGTCCAGAGGCGCAGAGCCCACGTGCGCTTTGAATATGGCGAAGGCGAGGACTAACTAACTCCCTCTGCCATTTAATCGTGTGCTTGTGGGAGCCATGCTTAATTTACTTTTGGCTTGCAATGATACCCCTAGACTTTTTCGCGGCAACAATAGTAAAATAGTATATAATACAAGTTCCATAAAATGTTAAACTAATCTGAGCACTGCATAAATCCATAATTTTGCGCTCGGGGGCAGTCAACCGCGGAAGTGGGGTACCGTCCGTCACCATAATGTTTGCCCCACCAAACATGTCCCTTTTCCTGTTCCGCAGCAGCAAGGAATAATGTAGAACATCAACACCACAGCAATCCGACGCCAGTTACATTCAGCTTGGTGAGAGGATCTACGAAATCCGACCACAGATCGGGCAGGCCTAACCAAGTTAGCCATACGCAGTTTAGGTATTTTGACGATAGAGCAGCTCGCACCGGAACCTTAACTGCTTCAATTCAAACCCATTGTGCATCTGACAATGCATATACTCGTAAGTCGATTGAAACTGCTACATTAGGCATTCCCACATTCCTAAATACATCCAAATTGAAAGCACCCCTTGTCTCGCCAAAACCTATGTCTGGCCTCTCATTTACTCACACTTCCTTTAGGTTGTCAACGACGACGGGCCTCCCTCAAACCAGTCTTCGCCCTATGTCCATTCACTAGTTCACACTCTCGAGTCTGCCGGTCACGTTGTCTCCGTCGTCCTCCCACACCGGCAACGGTCATGGATCGGTAAAGCTCACTTGGTCGGAGCTACCGTGAAGCCTACCTACTTCCGCCCTGGCACCCTCTACAAAGACGACGGGACAATTCACCACCTTCCTTGGGGAGCCGATGGAGATTACGACAGCAAGCCGCCAGAGAACGAGTGGATCCTCATTGATTCAACGCCCGCCAGTTGCGTCCAAATCGGACTATTCCACTACTTCAAGGACCGCGGCCCCATTGACCTTGTTATCTCCGGGCCCAACTACGGCAGAAACTCAACCGCCGTCTTCGCACTATCGAGCGGTACAATCGGTGGGGCATTGGAGGCTGCTGTATGCGGGTACAAGGCCATTGCGCTCTCGTACGCCTTCAGCTCCCGGGACCATGATCCCATCGTCATTGCGGAAGCGTCGCGGCATTCCGTCCGCCTAATCGAACATCTGTACAAGAACTGGGAGGAGGATGTTGATCTTTATAGCATAAATGTCCCCCTCGAAGCCGGGGTTAGTGAAGCCAAAATCCTTTACACGAATGTGTTGGATAATCGTTGGACATCCGGGAGCTGTTTTGAGGCCATAGATGCTGCGGAGAGCGGGGAGGGCCCGGATTTGCAGGAACAGAAGTTGCGGCAGGCTGGGGAAGGAGACACCAGGCTGGGGAAATTGAAGGGGAAAGGAGCGAGAACAAGCACGACCACGCCGGGGCATCGGCATATGCATTTCAAGTGGGCGCCAAAATTTTCGGATGTCTACAAGAGCGTAGATCTTAGTCCTCCAGGTAATGATGGATGGGTAGTTAAGGAGGGGATGACTAGGTAAGCTTACTTCCCACAGTCCATACGGAGCCTGTTTTATCTCACTATTTTTGTCGAGAGTATCCCGTCTACTATTATTCTAACTATGTGCTCTTTTGTCATTACAGTGTTACCCGGTTGAAAGCGAATTTTTTTCACTCATCAGGTCCTTCAGGAGAAATTCACTTGTGAGTGTTTAACTAGCTCCAATGCGATGGCGTTTTGTGGGCTTATGCGAGACGATTATTTATAAAATATCCACCCACACACACACACACAGAGAGAGAGAGAGAGAGACGGCGTATAGTTATATGTTACTGGTTCTTTTGTCGCTTTGATTTTCTCTTCTTTCGTTGTCATAAACTATTCCCATCATCACCTTGCCTTTTCCCGTAGAGGTGCATTCTAACTATAGGGACCCTACCTTTCGATCTCCGGACAGGCCTTTCAAGATACCAAAATTCTACGCTCTAGTGGAATGCCAGGACCCATATGTGCAGCCCCTTGTAATCCAAGCCATACGGGCCCGGTTGCACGATATCCCTTACGAATTGATATTTTCCCTTTGCGAACTTCCCGACACCTCATCCCCGTTATTACAATACCGAGTGTACGAGCAATGCGACTTTGAGCACGTATTATCCCATCCTACAACGTCATTGGTGAATACCTATGTCATCCGCAAAGCGCTTATTCGCAAACACTTCTTATCAAACACGGTATCGAACTGGGTGGTAAAACATCCCAACAGCGTTCTAAAAACGCACTACAAACCAGCCGTTGATTTTGAGCTAGATTACGCGGAGTTTCTTGATGAGGCGTTGGTCGAGGCCTATGAGTTACGAGAGAGTTTCGAGGCCAATGAGGGGAAGGAAAAGGCTGAAAAGGAATGGTGGATTCTAAAGCCTGGGATGAGTGATAGAGGACAGGGTATTCGCCTGTTCAATAGCGAATCGTCCCTGCAGGAGATATTTGAAGGTTGGGAAGACGGCCAATCCGATTCCGAGGATGGCGTAGATAGCGAAGACGGGAACGTTGACGCCAATGCCAATAAAGAATCAGAGAATGATGATAACCGTGATGTCAACCATGGAATCATCACCTCGCAGCTCCGCCATTTCATAGCACAACCATACATCCACCCACCTCTCCTACTGCCATCGGAGTCGAATCGGAAATTTCACATCCGTACATATGTGCTAGCTGTAGGCTCGCTGCAGGTTTATGTGTACAGGGAAATGCTCGCCCTATTCGCTGACAAACCCTACCTGCCTCCCTGGCACAGTAGCGGTGACAGAATTGACGACCTCACCCGTCACCTGACAAATACGTGTCTTCAAACCGATCGTGACGGCACCGCCAAACGGAATGCCGTCCGACGCTTTTGGGCACTTGAGGATACCGCCCCGTCTTCCTTCTCTTCCTCGACGACAGGAGATCTCGACTCCAACACCAACTGGAAAGAAAGCGTATACGAGCAGATATGTGCTGTGACAGGCGAAGTCTTCGAAGCAGCGGCACGGGGGATGCTAGTGCATTTCCAGACGCTACCGAATGCTTTTGAAGTGTTTGGCGTTGACTTCTTAGTTGACAGCTCTGGCAAGGTGTGGCTATTGGAGCTAAATGCGTTCCCGGACTTCCGGCAGACGGGCGATGACCTAAAGGAGGATGTTGTCGGTAGGCTGTTTGAAGCCATAATGGAGGTTGCTGTGAAGCCTTTTTTCGGAATCGAGAAGGATATCGAACGCGCTAGAGGACGGGCTGAGGCATTGGGCTTGCAGCTGGTTAGAGATTTGGATATGGGGATGAGGAGGTGATTGAATGCTCCTTCCACCTGTAGCGCTGAATGTTGATGAACCCACTTGTAAGTATATGGTCAATACTTACCTCTTGCTGCTAATGAGGTAGAAAGTCGGAAAACAGGTTGTTTCCGGCGGGCTGGGCAACTGAGGATCTTCCAGTACCACCCCTCTACGTCACACCATTGGATGTGTTCGCAGGAGGAAACTTGTTTTATTGTCTGTCCCTTTCCCTTTGCGGTCTCAAAGGTTGGAGAGGTGGATGCTGGGTGACCTAAAATACTTCACAGCCGTGCCATTATCGCCGAGAGCAATACAATATCTAGGCTGCATTTTCTTGTGCTTCGAGGATTGGTTGAAGTTATGGCTGTTCTATTTTCTCTTTTTTTTTTTCTTGTATTTATTATTTATTTATCTACCCTTTTTTTTTTTTTTTTTTTTTTTTTTTTTTTCAATCTGGACAACAGCGTGCATACCATGGGGCGTTTAGACAGGGAAGAATTTCAAGAAAAGTAGTCCCGTACATTTCAGACAACTACAATTTAGGTTTATAAAATATAAAACGTATCAAAATTGATAGTTAACACATCTACCTCTCTTCCCAGCCCACACCCCCCATTCTTTTCTTCCATTCCTTTGTGTTCTTCTCGAATTTCGAGAATGTAGCACACGCGCGATAACCGATGAATGTCGAGGCCAGTGGGTAGTTGGAGATTAGCAGCATTTGCCTGCAGTAGTTAGTTACTCCGTACAACGAACGAGCCGCCACTCATGCTTTAGGGCTGCCGTTTAAAGCTCAACAGACTTGTGCTGGGGTGGATTGGCTAGTTAACTCCATGCGACTGGGGCGGCATGGACCTGCCTGTTTTTCTCTGGCTTTTCTTTTTATCTCCATTTGCTGACTCGAAACCCAAACAATATACGTCCTCTCTTGGAGGTTCTCTTCTGGTCCTTGCGAGGGCAGAGGCAGACGCTCACTCCCACTGCTAATCCAAGCAGGTGACTGCCCGCCCCTGGCATACCTCAGTTTAACAGCCGATGCTCGAGCTGATTGTGTACAGATCTAAACTCAAGGAGTAAATAACATGGTGATAGTTATGATTGAATAACTTCATAAACAGTTTCTTTGTTGTGTTCATTAATATTGGACGTACGTTGATATACTCTGTACGGAGTAGAGTAGATGCATATGATAATCCAGCTAAGTAAGCCCTATTAAAAATATTTGCGCATGCTGCATGCTTTTTCTTGCCTCTGTAATTATTGGATGCCTTTCCTCTTCAAGTTATGAGCAAGGACATGCCGTTGGGCCCCTTCGATGTACTTGGTATGTACTCGGTACGTACTACTATCTCCTCTCTTGTCTCCATCAAGACCTTCGTCTCGAGTTCTGGACCCTCATTAGTTAGTTACGCAGCGTAGCTTAGGGTCAAGGTTAAAAGAGCCCAAGGAGTATCCACAGAAGTAGCTTCCGGAATTCCAGGGGGACCGATTTATCATCTTTCAAGTTAGTTAACTTAGTTAACTTAGTTACCACAAACAGAGAACTTCTTTTTATTCAACCCGTGCATCCCATTTCTTCTTTCTCTGCGACACAAATATCTCCCTGTCTCTTCCACTTTCATAGCTCTCTATCACCATTTCTCGAGTATCACTCTTTTTTTTCGTTCCGGGAAGTCGGGGATTTGTCTATTTGTTTTTTTTTTTCATCTAGCAATCAATTGGCCTTGAGAAATGGAAATGTGGCAGTGTTATAATTGAACCTACCCGACGCCGAACGACCAAGCTTCTCATGGTATACCTAACTGCTACCGCCCCCTGCCCTATCTGTACATCGGAGTTACTTATTATCTCGGTCAA